AGTTTGTTGAAGGGATTCTCGGGTCTTGGCCAAAGAATTTTCCAGTGTTGTTTGATCGAAGTCAGGCTGGGGGGTTTCGGCTGACAGGAGTCCAATAACTAACACTTCAGTCTTGAGCTCCGTAAGTCTCTCCATCAGCCGATGCAGAATGGGGACGGCTGGTGATTCCGTCGGAGTGTAAAAAAGAAGGCCACCAACCGTCTGAATGAGGTTGTCCAATAAGTCGGATTTTAATTCTGAAAGGGGATGGTTGATGGCCTCAGTGAATATAGTTTGGGCCTTCGCTGGAACTGGAACAGTCGATAGGATAGCTAAGTCCGAAGGCCCCTGCAAGTCTTACAGTTTCAGTAAGTATTCCAAGGGAGGTGCAAAATTATTCAGATAATATATGTGTCACCTCTGGGCGAACTGCTGTCAGTGAAGGGGGCAACAATGAGGTCGGTCGAGTAGGGCAGACAGCTGGTATAATAGCAGCCGACTCGTCGGCTGCTGCGAATGGTCGCTGAGGTGCCAACCTGGGTCCCTTTGGAAAATAGTATATAAAACAGTTAGTGTTTTATAGAAAGAAACATTGTGGCATGGATTGGTTTAATCTTACCAAATTCACAGAAGTCTCCGAATCGGACGAAGACACTTCTTCCATTTCTGGAGGTTGGGCTGCCACAGGTGGTTCTTCTGCCTGCCACTCGATTGCTGGAGGTAACGCCGCTGCTGGCTGGGCGGCTGCAGGTTGGGCGGCTGCATCTAGAGCCACTGCAGCCGGGATCTCTGGAGCAACTGGGATAGCCGCAGCCGGGGCACTTTCGGTTCCCAGTGCGGCTGCATCCGTTTGGACTATTTCGAGATCACTAGCAGCAGGTATGTTGTTGTGAGGGTCCGCTTCGGCAGGGGCAGTTGGTTCTTCCTTCGAAATGGATGAGTCTGATGCTATGTATGGCGGTCGACCCATCTGGGAAGTAGTCCCCTCGCTGTCAGAAGAGATCCCTGCTGCTGATGCGATGGGTGAAGGTGTCTGTGAAAAAATCATGGAAATGTTGTTGTTAAATCTATCAAGGTGGGTCATTAGAATCCTAAGTATTGCTGATGAGAGAACTTACTGGTTCTATAGGCACTGCTGGTAAAGATTGCCTCCTGGTCGGGTGCCTGGCCCGACCACTCCTCGGTACGGGAGGAAGAGTTTGCCTCCTCGTCGGGTCCTCCGCCCGACTGCTCATTGGCAAATTGGTCTGGACCAAAGGTCCGATTGAATGGTCGGCTGGGGGTGGCGTCGTTTGTGTGGTCGGTGTCACCAAGGTCGGTTCTGGTGAGTGAAATAAGTGAAATCAAAGTTAAGATATAGTGAATTGGTTCACGGTTTTAAGAAAAATTACCTATTCGGGGTCGGGTCCTTGCTGACGTCCTAGTAGTTCCAAGGTCCGCTGGAGCTTGCTGGTCGGCCCCAGAGGTCGGGGGTGTTTGCAGCTGGGAAGCTTTCCTTTTTCGCGTTGGAACACTAGATCCGATTCCCGGGGCGGCTGTTTGTTGCTGAGTGCTAGTATGTCTGGCCGCCCCTAGAACCAATCCTTGGGGGGGAAGGAGTATGTTCAGCAATTGATCCTCATCAGGGGAAACCAGGGGCCATACAACCGACCACCATTCATTGAATGTATCTACAGTCTCAGGGTTGGAGCGGAAAGGAATATAAGAATTGGAAATTATATACGTGGTGAGCTGGGAGATATAAGAAGGGATTGAATTAGGTAGGACTCGTCGGTCAGGACTTTGAAAAATTATATGCGGACAAGCGACGGGTCCAGGGATACCTTGGCAACAGCCGAACTGGCGCGCCACGAATTGAGGTTCATAATTAAAAGTGTAAAAGGTTTTCTGCCCTTTTTTATCAAGTTTTTTGCTGCTAAAAAGAGACCTGGGTTTGAGGGCAACGTCCCAGGCAAAAGGATAGGTGGGATGAGCACAAGGCTCAGGAGTCGGAAGAGGATTTGCTGCCGGAAAGGGCCAAAAATGGTCGGGAGCATAACCCGCATATTTTTTATACATAGAAAATCGAGAGTTACTGCGGGTATCCGTTACAATTGCGGTTATTATTGGATCGGAAGATTGGAGTTTATTGCGTCCTGAGCAGAGTCGATTGAGGGCTAATCCCAAATGTTTTTCGGATGTTGGCATAGTGGGCGGAGATCCTAAGTTGAACGCGTTGGGAAAGTAAAGACGGAACCAAAGTTCTAAAAACCAAAAAGGACCCGATGCGGCAGTGTCTAATTTTCTACTATCATTATCTGTTAGACGAAGGCTAACTCTAGTAAGTCCTTCAAACAGATTGGCTAAAAACAGGGTGCCAAGGGAAAAGAACCGACCTGACGCGATATGAATGGCCAGGTCGAGATGAGAAGGAAGAACACATTTGGAAGGGGAAACAATGACGTACCTACAAAGCCAAAAAAGAATAAAGGCAGTATGCTCCCGGTCGGTCACGGGGGTCCCTGGAGCCCCTTGCTGGTCGGTTGCGAACTTTGTCCAACCCCATTCCTTCACACTTTGTAAAGACCACCCTGGATGGTCTTCTGATGGCTCCTGCCCATCTAGGGCTCCCATCACAAGGTCTTCACCCACGACTGGGAGATGCGCGATCATTGCCACATCCATAAGAGTTGGACCAAAGGGGCCCGATGGTAAGAGGAAAGTCCCATTTTCCGCATTCCAGAAAGCAGACATGGCCAACAGCACCTTCTCATGCAGGTTGATAGGCATGGTGGACAATAGTATTGCCTAGTCGATTTTTTGAGATCGCCATTGGGTCTGGAAGTGTTCTGCTACCCGTCGATACCAAGCGCGGTAAGGATCTTTTGGGTCTGTGAGATGGGTTTTGATGCTGTCTCGAATGCGAATTGCTTGGTAGTTAGGGTTGTTGATAGCCAAGGAGTTTCGAGATTCCAAAACTTCCCTCATCCGATTTGAGTCGTCAGGAGTAGTGCAATATGGGCGGATCGTCGGAGTTAGTACTTTCGAGGCTGAAAATGGGCCCTCTGGGAGGGTTCTGTCGAAAGGAAGGGCAGGAATGTATTGATTCGCCATGGTTAGAGTGTTTTGGGATTGTGATTCACAAAAGCCCGTATTGCGGGGAAGGAAGTTAATCAGGAGTGTTGCAGTAACTGGTGCAGTTGCTAAGGGAATTTTTCAAGAGGGTAGTGGATTTATGAACTTCCAAACATTGATTGTTAAATGGCGTTTGAAAGTCCCTTGGCGGCGGGCAAGTTGTTACGTACGAAATTTAGAATTAGGTTAAAAGCCCAAGGTAAAAAGAAGAATGGGCCTGGCAATAGAGTTGATTGAACTGGCTGAAGGACACCGTGAGGAAATCAAGGAAAATAGGTTTATTTCTAAGGAAAATATAAGACGGAAAGACCTCAGGTCGGAAGGTCTTCAGGTCAGGAGGTCCTCAAGACGGAAAGTCATCAGGACGGAAGGACTTCAGGTCGGTAGGTCCTCAAGACGGAAAGACCTCAGGACGGAAGGTCTTCAGGTCGGGAGGCCCTCAAGACGGAAAGTCATCAGGACGGAAAGATTTCAGGTCGGAAGGTCTTCAGGTCGGGAGGTCCTCAAGACGGGAGGTCCTCAGGACGGAAGACTGCAGGTCGGGAGGCCCTCAAGACGGGAGTTCATCAGGACGGGAAGTCCGCAAGTCGGGAGGCCCTCAGGACGGGAAGTTCTCAGGTCGGGACTCTGCGGCAGGGCCAATAAGTCGGATGGTTTGTTAGTCGGGATGTTTGTAGCTAATCCAAATAAGTCAGATGGTTTGCAAGTCGGGAGGATTGGCAGTCGGGTCAAAAGGGCGGAAGGTCTGTGGTCAGCTCAAAGAGTGGAATATAGGGATAATTTTGGTCTGCTGAGGACACGTGTCAGCAGGAGAAGGATTGGAAGACGGTTGGGAAGGAGACGTTGTAACCGTTCGGGCGACGGTTTTCAGTACAGTTTCTCAGAGAATATTTAAGGATTTGGATCATCATTTGGCAAGGTATCTTCAATCAACTTCAACAAAGCAAAGTCAGATTTGGGGATCACCACTTTAAATTTCAGTCTTTTATTTTCCAGTTTATTTTCTGTACCATACAGTGTTTAGAGATTCCTAATCTCAGGCACTAATTAATCAAGTTTAAAGATATTTTCTATATCTTTGAATTTTACTTTAAATTTGTTGAAAAATTACATCAACAAAAATAATAATAATAATATATTTTTAATAATCATAATTAAATAATATATAAAAATTTTGGTAAATATTTTTAATTCATAATTTATATATTTTTTAAAAAATATTATTTAAACAAAATAAAAATTGATCAAAAATTTGTTATGTGATCAAAATTAATTTTAATTTTTTTAATATATTATTGATATTCTCGTGCGTAACATTAAAAAATTGCATATATTAAAAATCACAAATAATTAACATACCCAATGTTCAAATACATAATTAATTTGTAAGTTTTGAAAATTAAGTGGCGAGGGAGTTAAAAAAAGGTAAGAAAATATATATAATTAATTGTAAGCTTTGAAAATTAATTGGTGAGAAGTTAAAAAAAGGTAATAAAATAAACAATTAATTGTAAGCTTTAAAAATTAAATGACTGAGGAATTTAGAAAAAAGTTATAAAATATACATAATTAATTGTAAATTTCAAAATTAAATGACGAGGGGTTAAAAAAGGTAATAAAATATACAGATTAATTCTGTAACGGAAAAGACCGTTAGGTAAATGACGAGGGGTTAAAAAAGGTAATAAAATATACAGATTAATTCTCTAACGGAAAAGACCGTTAGGTAAATGACGAGGGGTTAAAAAAGGTAATAAAATATACAGATTAATTCTCTAACGGAAAAGACCGTTAGGTAAATGACGAGAGGTTAAAAAAGGTAACAAAATATACACAGATTAATTCTGTAACGGAAAAGACCGTTAGGTTGCGTGCGTACGCAGCAACATTTTATTTTTAAGTTCACAAATTCACTCTCTTAAGACAGACAGAGAGAGAGAGAGGTGCTCACCGCCGCCGTGGTTCCATCTTCGAAGGGAGCGATCTCATTTCTCATCGCCGTCGTCGTTTGGGCTTCGCAGTTTAGATAGAATGCGACAGGCGCAACAATTCTGGTTCCGATTCTATTCGATTAAACTGGGGAGGCGATCGGAGATGATGCTTGGCGCGTCTAGGGAATTTTTTTGTCTATCTAGGGTTTGAGTATCGATCGATGAGCAATTCGCTGTTATCATCTCAGCAATGGAGTAGCCGTGACTTATCGACAAACTTTTGTGATGCAAAGATGTAATTCCTTATCGTATATCTCCTTCACTCCTTTTCTTTCTTTTGTAATGTCCACTATCAATTCTAATAGTTTTTTGAATTAGGATGGTTTGTGAGGGTGTTCTGGTATAGTTAATATCAGTTTTCTGGCGATGGATGGAAGGACATCGAACGACGCAGTTTCTTCATCTCTATGTTCTGTTTTAAGCGTGACAGGTATGTTTTCTGGTTTTTCAGTGTATTGCTCTGGTGGTTATGTCTTCTCTTGAAATAATGATTGCTAACCATATTGAGGTTTTTTTATCAGGATTTTTTTATCACGAGAAGCTGGTGTTTTCTTGCCGTCTGTCTAGGGTTTGAGTATCGATCGATAAGACAATTCGCTGGTATCGTCTCAGCAATGGCGTAGCCGATTAACTTACGACAAACTTTTGTGATGCAAAGATGTAAATCCTTATCGTATATCTCCTTCACTCCTTTTCTTTCTTTTGTAATGTCAACTATGAATTCTAATACCATATTTTTTTTAATGAGGATGGTTGTGAGCGTGTTCTGGTATAGTTAATATCAGTTTTCTGGCAATGGATGGAAGGATATCGAACAACGCAGTTTCTTCATCTGTATGTTCTGTTTTAAGCGAGACAGGTATGTTTTCTGGTTTTTCAGTGTATTACTCTGGTGGTTATGTCTTCTCTTGAAATAATGATTGCCAACTATATTGAGGTGTTTTTTATCAGGATTTTTTTATCACGAGAAGCTGGTGTTTTCTTGCCTGTCCTGTCAGTTTCTTTGTTAATCAATAAATTGATCTGAGCGCTTAATCATATGTATTTTCTTGTTGCTCTGATTAACTGAGATTTTGTGAATTGTGATTTATTCAGGCTCATAATTTCCGTCTTTGAGCGACTATTTTGGAAGAACTTGATTAGGGTTTATATTGGAGGTAAAATCTTTGGGATTTTAGTTTTCCTTTGAAGTTAATTTATTTCTGCTATTCTGTGGTGAATTTTTCTATATGTTCTGTTCTGTAAGTTTGTCAGTTTTTTTTATCTTCTTTTTTTCTGAAAAGAGAATGTAAGTTACACTTTAATGTCCTCCTGAAACCTAAGCAACAATTGATTGGTTATGTTCTACAGTTTGATTGGTATTGAGTTGAGAATTAAATCTGTGAAATAGGTGATGTGTATGCTTGGTGTGAATTAAAAATCATGGCCTAATTTATTGAAGTTAGGGATATGGACACATTTTTAGACATGGATGTGAACATTTTTATTACCCACTTGTAAAGATTACTTCCCATGTTGCACAGTAATAGGTAGATCTTAAGTTTTCTCTAATGGTGTGTTTGTTTGAATGCTTTTGAAGATCTCTACTGTTTATACAAATTTTTCATTCTAACAACATCAAATTAAATATTTATTTTTTATTTTTTATATTATACTAAAAATTAACTTTACATTCAAAATATTACATTAATATTTATTTATATCATATCATATAACTATTTCAAATTAAATTTTTTACTATTTCAAATCTTACCTTAAAATCCAAACCCTAAACACCCCCCAAATCTCATTCCCTACTAAAGAATGTATGTTCTTGTTATTATATTGGCCTCTTCTTTTCTTATACTGGCATCTATGTTCTTGTTCTTTTATTCTCTAATAATATTTGTTGTCTAGCAATGGTATGTAAAACTATCCATTTGCCGTACAAAAATATCAAATTAACTCGAACTTTTACATAATTGGATGGTCTTCACTACTACACTTTGGTAACTGTTTTAAACCTTCATTTTGTTGCTTGAAATTCACAGATTAAAAATTGCAATCCCACTGTTGGAGTAGGGGCCTGAGCTGGTTCAGATTATGGCCTGGGTCTGGTTTGGGTTTGGGTCAGTTGTACTCTGGGTTTGGGTCTGGTTCAGGGCTGGGTCTGATTACGGGTCTAGGTTGGGTCTGGCTTTGGGTCTGGTTCAGGTCTGTGTTAGTTCTGGGTCTGGGATGGGCCTGGGTCTGGATTTGCTTCTGGTTTGGGTCTGGGTCTGGGTCAGTTGTAGTCTGGGTTTGAGTCTGATTCAGGTCTGGTTCTGATTACGGGTCTGGGTTGGGTCAGGTTCTAGGTCTGAATCTGGGTCAGGATTTGGGTCTGGTTCAGGTCAGTGTTGGTTCTGGGTCTGGGTTGGGTCCGGGTCTGGATTTGTTTCTGGTGTGGGTCTGGTCTAGGTCTGGGTCAGTTGTAGTCTGGGTTTGGGTCTGGTTCAGGTCTGGTTCCGATAATGGGTCTGGGTTGGGTCTGGATTTGGGTCTGGTTCGGGTCTGTGTTGGTTCTGGCTCTTGGTTAGATCTGGGTCTGGATTTGCTTCTGGTTTGGGTCTTGGTCTGGGTCTGGATCAGGGACTGGTCTGAGCCTATATCAGTTCTGGTTTGTTTTGGGTTCTACTCAACTCTGGGTTTTGTTCAAAACTATTTTCTTATAAATTGTTGAAAATCTCAGTTTTTTTTCTCTTACCAATAGTGTTTTCACTATATCAAAATTAGTTTTATTTTTTTCTTTTGGCTCCCTGCATCAGCATTTCTTGTCTGGAACATGCAAATAATTCCCACACATATTATGTAGTAGTGGGTAGGTCCTAAGTTTTCTCTAATATCAATTTATTCCCTGTTAAAAGAATCTCAATTTGCTATTAGATTTGCCTCTTCTTTTCATATATTGGTATCTCTGTTCTTATTCTTATATTGACCTCTTCTCTAAAGTTCATTGCTAATGTGTCTTGTTTTGTGTGATGCAGGCTAAGCGATGCTATGTAAAGCTACCCATGTACGATAAAAAATGTCAAGCTTTTACATAATTGGACAGTCTTCACTTTAGACACTTTTGTAAAATATTTTAAACATTGCAACTTTTTTTACTTTGAAACAAGAAATAACTTGGGATTCTCCTCAATCTTTGCAGGTGGATTGTGATAGGAATTCTAATTTCTATGCTTTATGTCCGGGTTTCATATATTTAATGTCTCCATTGATCTCGTTTATTCAAAATGTATGCTTGTGCTAATTATGCAAAATATTTAAATAAAAATATTGCAAATCCTAGGCAGCATGCAGGTTTTGCTTAATTCATTTCCCACACATGAATTTGAATTTAGTTTTAGTGCATAACATGGTGTCTGCTCTCATTCTTATTATTAAGATGTTGCTTATGATTCCACTGGAGAAGTCAGAAGGTGTCACAGATGCAGCAAACTCAGAATATACTCTTTCCATTTTCCATTTGGATTTTTTATGCTCCTAATGTTTTGGGGCATCCCGACAATTATATACTTGCTAATCCGATGTCCACCCTGGCGCCATTCCCAGAACTAGCAGTTTGTTTATACCCCCTAATTAAATTGTTATTATGTTCCTTGGTGAATTTAACGTAGTAATTACATGCTACTACTAAAACCTTCTTTGTTTATGTGTTAATTCTTTTTATTGAATTTTTTATCTTTCATATTGCAGTTGATTGAACCATTGGAGTTGTAGAATTCCTTTCAACTTCATGTAAAGATCATAACCAACTCTCAGGTGGACTTGAAGTATTGTGAGTTTACCCACCAAATTTCCTAATCCGAAATTGTTCTATGAATTTGTATCCTTGCTCTTTCCAATTGATTAATATTTACCGTTTATTAGGTTCTCATTATCTTCTGCTTCTTCAGTTGGATGGAGGGCCAGTTGAGGCTGCCATAGTAAATACTAATATGAATCTAAGAATTTCGTCATATATAATTGACTGGTAGTGGTATACTGGTATACGCTTTTGACAACATTCATCAAGTGTTCTTAATTAATGGAGCATTGCTTTGCATATGCATGCATCTATGAATTCATATTATATGAATAACCAAGTTTATTTCACTTTGCTTTTCTATATCAAGGGATGTGACCATCTCCTGAATAGGAGCACTTCGAGGTTGATTATCTGTCCATTTCCCGAAACTATTTACAATTGCTTTCGACGGTAAGTTTCCATATTAAGGACTTGTATTGCTGCTGTTTCTGTTTTTCTTTTCTTCCCCAACTATGAGGAATAGATTTTGTGTGTTTGATTCCTGTTGTGATTGTTCTTCCAATTCTAACATATTGTAGTGAATTTTTCACCCCTTATGGACAACGTCGAGGCCAAACATATGAAACTTTTGAGGACACTGTCAAATATAGCCAGGTGTGCAGTAATTTTGTATAGATTTCAATAACCTTCACAAGCTTAACTTTTATTTTTATTATTGATGGATGTTTACAGTGTTTAACGCTAATCTATAATAATAAACTTAAAAATACTTTTACAATGTCTAAAATGGATAAATGTGTCTTCTTATATGTTTTGATGTTATGCTTCTTTTATCTCTGTTCATTTTGTTTTAAGTTGTATACTTGCCAGTGAGGTAGAGCTGTACTAAAAGTACTGATTGATAGAGTTCGAGACAATGCTTCTACTATACAATTGTAAGTTCTTTTATGTTGGAGCATTTTTATTTGTTAAGATACTACAAAAGGTTTTTTGTTGGAATATGATATGAATTTTATTATGTACATGTAATACTCCCAGGGTAGATATGTACTTTATTACTTATCCATTGTGATTGAAATTCTAATTTCAGAGCTTTATGGTCCAGTTTCCACATATTTAATATGTCACCATTGACCTCCTTAGTCCTTTATGCAAAATGTATGCTTGTGCTAATTATGCAAAATGTTCTAATCATTTATTATTCATGGTGTCTGCCTTCATTCTTATTATTACATTTTCATGTTAAAATTGTAGCTTAGGATTCCACTAAAGAAATATGAGGGCGCAACAGATGCAACCAACCCAGAGGGGAGATGGTGAGTGATGTTCGTTTACTCCCATTTGTATGATCATTACATATGCAATTCATATTAGATTTTGTTTTTCAACCCTTACATTAGAAACTTAATGCACTTCTTTTTTTAACGTGTTTTGGATGTCTTTTATTATCGCTACTAATATTGTTTAAGTTACGTACTTTACGGTGAAAGAATTGGTTAATAGAGTTCGAGATGATATGAATTTTATTTAGGTATCAATGCTGGTTGTTTTCCCATCACTTTGCCATGACATATTTAAATTTAACACGATCATTTTGCATCCCCATCGTTTGACAAGCTGTAAAAAAAAAAAAAAAAAACCCCAACTGACATCAACTTAGGAAAACTATTGGCTCAAATTTATGAGATTCTTGTTTTGTCCACGTCTATTTTTCATGTTAAAAGTATGCATTAAGACAACCTGCCTTTACCATCTTATAGAATTTTCTATTGTATTATATTTATTTTCCTTTTTGTTGTTTCCTTCGGCAGGTGTCGTCTTCTTGTGCAGTCAGTCGATAAACAAGATTTTGGTAAGGGCTTTAAAGTTATTTACATCAAGCCAACAATAGTGTATGTTATCTAATAGATAATGAAAGTTTTATACACATGTGTATATATATATATATATATGTTTATATCATATGAGTGGAATTACTTGACAATTGACAGGCACATAAAACTCTTTTGATTTTGGGACATGGGAAGTGGACATAATATTCCAATGCATCGAGGTAAATTTGTTACAAAAGTTATTATTTTTTGTTTTTTATCTTTCTCTTTTATGTTTTTATGCTTGCATAAAAGAAGTTGATTCGTTTATTTTTTTGCTTGTATGTATATATGTAGATCATTAGTTGTTGTGTTATCTGTTAATGCATATTTATGGGTGTGTATGTGTACGTGCAAGCAAGTCTTTATTACATTTGTATTTTTTACATGATCCTTATGAATTTAGTAAGATTAATTTAAGTAGTTTTTTTTTAAGTATTTTATGGTAGTTAGAAGAATGAAGTTGATTTAATTATAATTAAGTATTATGTTGTATGCATGGTTGTGTATGATTAGGTTTGTATTGTATGTATATTATGTTTGGTATATATATCTTTTGCTATCTTTGACTGAGCTATAATTTTATTTATTGCAATGTTTTTGTAATGTTGATTATGTATGATCTATTAAGATGCATGCAAGTATTTTCTTTTTAGTCTGTATGCTTGCATGGATGGATGGATATGTTTCTTACACTAAATATGAATAATTTTGTATATTTTATTATATTGTGTGCATGCATGATTAGTAACTTCATCATGTATGTATAAAAATGTTTTCTTTTGTATTCTTTTTTTTTTTTTTTATTCGCATGATTAATGAATCTAAATTGTATTCTTTTTTTTTTTTTTTTCATGTTATAAAGTTTTTGTAATAATATTTATGGCGAGTTTGCTTAGGTGTATGCGAATGATCTATGTGCTAAATGTATAAACATATGTATGTATGCATGCATAGGGCTTATTGTATGGATTATCTATTATTTATACATATATGCTTATTATTAGTTTTTTGTATTGAGTTTGCGTCAAGCATATATGATCCGACTTTATCTTAGATGTCTATGCATACTTTGATTAAACTTTTATTTTGTGTATTTATAATGTTGATTTTGATGGAAATATTATTCAGATTTATACTAAGATGCATATTGTGTACACAAGTTTTTTTTTTTTAATAATATCTATAGAAATGTGTGCTTGCCACCACTATGTTGTGTTTGTGTACAATAGGTTTATATTGTATGTTAATTGACTTCTTATGATTTGTGTATGTATGTATATATAATATTTTTTTTATTTTTGTATATTTCTTTTGCTATCTTTGATTGAGCAATAATCTTCTTTATTGCAATGTTTTTGAAATGTTTTTGAAATGTTGATTGTGGCAATTTATTAAGATGTATTGAAGTATATCTTTTTATATTGTATGTATGGATGGATAGATATATGGATGGATAGATATGAATGTATGTGTATGAATGGATGAATGAATGCGTGTGTGTATGTGTGTGTATGTGTATGGATGTGTGTGGGTGGGGATGGGTATGTTTCTTACACTATATATGAATGTTTGTTTTTGTAGGAATGTTTGTGACGAATTTGTTATATGTATATTATATTATATACATATATGATCAATTGACTTTACCATTGAAATATTTAGATGTATTTGATTGAATTTTTATTTTGTGCAATTATAATGTTGATTTTGATGGATATTATACAGATCATGAATATAAGTTATTTGTTTTTCACTAATATAAGTTAGTTTTAACACTATATTGTGCATTTAGTTTTTGGCCATGAATGTTTGTTTAACTATTTCTGGTATGTTTGATTGAATTTTGTTTATTTATTCATTTTGTTTAACTATTTCTGGTATGTTTGATTGAATTTTGTTTATTTATTCATATCATTTCTTTTCTAATGAATTTATTTACACGACTTCGTTGTTGGATGCTTGCATATATAAAGTTGATTTTCTTATTAATATGTCAATACGTGTATGTATACATGTGTATGTGATTGTGTGTATGTTTATTTATATACGTGATTGTGTGTGTTTATATTCGTGCATAGAATTAATTTTTGTAGTGTGCATATGTATGTGTGTGATTGTGTGCATGTGTGGATATTGTGTATTAAATTGACTTTCTATTTATTCATATAACTAAATTTAAAAATAATAATTAATTGATTAAATTAATGATATTGTTTTCTAAAATGTGTTGTATTATTAAATTACTTAGTTATTTAAGTTGTGTTTGATTGTAACTTGAAATAAAGTGTTGATTTTTTTATATAATAATAATAATATATTTTTATTAAAAATAATACAAATTGAATATTAATATTTTTAATGTGAAATAAAAACACACTTCACTCTTTTTCAAAGCCGCTCTCTGTCTCATAGAACTCCGGTGGATTCATAGGTTTTTTTTTTTAATATATCATTTTTTTTTCATTCAAAAGTAAAATTAATTATTATTTTATCTCAAAAACATTAAAAGTGTGTTCATTTTTCTATTTCAAATAAAAAAATATCATTATTAAAATATATTTTTATTTTCTTACAAAATATTATATCAAAATATTAAATAAAAAAAATTTCAAATAAAAAAAATAAAACCAAAACAAAATAACCCCAAAAATAAGTTCTAGTTTAAATATTTTTTATGTGAAATTTAGGTCTCCTATAAAAATATAATATTTTATGTTAAATATAAATTTTTTTATAAAATTGTAGAAAATAATAAATACATTGTGAATTGTATAGATGAAAATTTAGTCAAACAAACAACCCCATAAAAACAATACAAATAAAATGCTAAAACAACAAAATCAACAAAAACACAAATTAAATGCATGTAAACAAGTTGGAATGAATTTTGAAGTACTATAATATTTTGTATTAAAAATAATTTGAAAAAAATATATTTTTCAAAATTAAAATCCAATGAAATATATTCATAAATGTCTAATAAAATGTTTTGTAAAATTGTACATAAGTTTCACCCAAAAATAATATTGAACATGTGGAAAGAAAGTCCTAAAAAAATTGAAAGTAATAGGTTGAGAATATATATCCCCATGAGAAACTTTTGGTTGGAATTTTAATTTAAATAATTTTTATTTTTACTCCCTACTGTTTATTCTAAAAAAGAACAACGTTACATCAGCTTACTTTTCATAGCTATCATTCGATATAAAAAAAAAAATTATTCTAAAATTTTTCAAAACTCTAAATCTAATCTATATATAAAATAAAGCCTATATATCTTAAATTTCTCTAACACTATTTCAAATTTGAACTCAATTTGTTAACCATGACTAAGCATAAAATCCTAATTCCAAAACTACCCTACCATAATTTCCGAGTCCAATAAAACTTATTTAAGCTACAAACTATAAACCAGCGGCAATCAATTTATACACAACAAGAAGTCCAATATAAGGCAAAAATAGCAAATAAATATAAACAACCGATGGGCAAAATAGGCGTCCAAATTAAAGCACAAAGAAGCATCATAAACACATAAGGATAATTAAAACTAGTCGAGTAAACATACCTCCTATTTAGAGACCGGCACGACAACAGAATCCCAAGCCCACATTTCCGGTGCGCCGTCAGCACCAACAGCTCCCGTTGAGACACTGCTAGTGAATGCCGCGGAGTTTCCAAGTCCAACGGTCGGGGGTGATATCCCGGTGTAGGAAAAATTATTGTCCCCGCGAGGGGCAATTATTGGGGACACATTATTGTGACTTATATTGGTCATGTTGTTGTTTGCGTAGTCGTCTGGTGTGTTCAGATAGTTCTGAAGAAGATGGCTCAAACTTGAGGTCAATGAGCCACGTGTGACCATGTCTTCAGCTAGTTTCACCTGAATAAGGAAAAATGGTAAGTTAGAGATTAGGTGAATTAGCTAGGTGGCAAGTCGGGAGGGATAAATGACCAAATCACTAATAATAATAACATAAATACACATTATATATATATAGAACAATTGACCAAACAACACATACTACCATTAATCTCTAACATTAGTATAGTCTCATGAGGCATTATATTACCAGTTAGGGAGTAGATAAATTTAATTAATTGTAGTATAATACCTTAATAATAGAAAATAAAAATTCGATTGATTAAAAACTCTTAAGTTTTTACAATAAGTGAGATACCTTGGCTCGTAAAGCTTCAACATCGGATCTAAGAACACGATTATTCGTGGTAGAATCTTTGTATTGTTGAGTGGCATCAGCAAGTTGTTTGTACAATGACTCACTTTCCCCTCGTAATAATTCAACCTGTATAGAGCAAAATCCTCGAGAAAGTATACAGACTCATTGATTATTGAGTGAACCATATACGCAGCCGACAGAAAGTATACCTGTTGTTCAAGCTCAGCTAAATGTTCTTGCTTTCTTTTCCTTGACCGCCTAGCAGACAACTTATTGGAGACCATCCTGAATTCATATCACATTCTTCGATGTTAGTTTTCCTACTCAAGTCTTTTTAACTTTTATTATCGATCATGTGTATTTAAATATATATATATATATAGATGTGTGTGTGTGTGTATATACCTTTTAATGCGCTTAATTTCTTTAGGATTTGTGATTTGTTCACAACAACCAGTTTCTATCTCCTGATCATCTTCATCTGATTGTTCACGTGATGAACTATCATCTCCCTTTGTAGTATTGACCGATATCGGGCTGTCAACTATACACAAACCAACCAGCGAAAACAACACGCAATTTTATATTAATATAATACAAATACAGCCTATGAACAAAAAATATATGACAATTTTCCGCAACACATACTACCATTAATCTCAGTAGAAAAAATATTTCCCTATAAGTATGAACTTAATCTCTCACTATTACATATTTTAACCTTATGCTAACTCTTACAAACCTAGGATAAGCTCATTGAAAGCTAGATCTCGACTTACCACATATTGCCGACTGGGAGTCAATTTGTGCAGGGAAGTTAGAGTGCTTTGAGTAAAAACTCTGAGACCATATGGGAATATCCGCCAATGCATTAGAAAGAATTTCCTGACATTTGAGAGCAACTGATATCACAAGTGCAGTACGAAGATTATTGTATATAGAATTGTTCGTAAGAGTTAATGTACTTATTGTAAGGTAACACATAAGGTAAAAAGGAACAATGGGGAAAACGGATTTGTGAAGCAAAGCCTTCTTTTTTATTCCCGGACGATTGGCCGGTATACGTAAAGTGTTAAAAGACCACTAATCTTGCAAGAGATACCTCTTATCTTTACAAGGAATATCCTACCAAAAATACAACAGGTAAATATGAGAAACATAACACATCGATATAAAATATTCCCAAATATCGGAAGTTATAAAAAATCAAATAGCACCAGATTCCTGGGCCACAACTAGAGTATTAGAAGATTTTGTCCAACAGATTCTTATTAATATAAAAACAGAAAATATGGGGCAAAATTAGGAATAAATCTTAAAGCAGTCTTTCATGTCATAGTTGTATCACAACCATAGCCCTCAATACTTGGTAGTTTCCTTAATCTCTCACCATATAAGTTGTTTGAAATTCGAAAAAAGGCTTAAAGGGAATTCCCCTAAATAAAGATTAAGAACCTGTTGGATGCCAAATACAAAAGATACCACAAACAAAGAAAAAGATATCAATGAAATTCTTGGCACAAAATGTTGATATTAAGTTCTAATGAAATGTAAAGCCCGGAATACAATAGTTAAAAAAACACAGACAAACACACCCTACTTTCTCTCTTCTGTAGCATACATGGACAAAAGTTAATATTGTTGGCTTCCAGTCGCCAAACTAAAAGACAAAGACAGTCTCAAGGCAGATGTACAGTTTGATAAATCGAAGTTTAAACACTTTGACCAAAAAGGAACAGAACACGACTTTACTTGCAGCAGCACGCCAATATTTTTCTTGAACTCTATCAAAGAGTCATGACTCATACAACCAGTCCGTTAAAGTAATAAAGAGCTACAGTAACATATAATGATTGAGAGAAACAGTATTTATACAATAGCTTTACTCCATGGAAAAATGAAGACCAAATCCTATTAAATAATTTGGCAAACTCCCTTCCCTACTGGTAGGTTTCCTTCAGGATTTTATTCCTTTTCAGTTTATTTATATTGCTTCACTAGGCAACAATTCTCCATGTTCTTGCAAACCAGCAAACACATAAGCACGAACTACAAGTCCATTTTGCAGATCAACAGGCTTTCCGACAGTTCCACCCAAAGATCTTCAGCAAAAATCGCTTCAAACCATACATAAATAAACCGAATCCTTCGTTCATCGATTAACACCACATATCAATGGTACGAACACAATTTCAAACCAAAAAAAAAAAAAGCATAAAAATAAGTGCAAAATAATCGCCCAGCGTTTTCACACACACATATCTTATCGAAAAATAAAAAATAAAAATAATCTGAAGCTCACCTGATTCTCAAGCTCAAATAGCTCATGGCGAGGTTCAGAGGCTCCAAAGATCTGAGCTCCGTGATGCACTTTCGTGTCTTCTTCGGAAGCTAAAAACTCGTCAAACACCAAGTCGGAATCACTTCTCTTCATTCCGCCGCATCCAAGGATTGAACTGCTCCTGGAATTCGATCTGCCATCCATAATTTCAACTTCCTTAGCTCCGAAGGATGATCGGCAAATGCGCGAAGGAGAAAAAAGTGCGAAAAGGGGGAAAGTGTGAGGGGGTCGCTCATCATTATATAATAGGCGCAAAAAGGTTAGGTTCAGTGGAAGTGACAAAAGCACCCAAAGCCAAAGCCGCTTTATTAATATGAAAGAAACTGAAGCGTACTTTCGGGATTCTGGATTTACTTATTTACCCCCAATCATTTCCATTTACTTATTTACCCCCAATCATTACCGCAGCATTCAAACTGAATCGTACTGTCGGGGTTCCTGAATTTACCTATTTACCCCCAATCATTACCGGAATTTATAAGTGTGTTTTTCGGTGTTTTAAAATTATAGATTTGTTCACTAAACATTTTTATGTGAAACAATTTTGTTATCTATTATTTAAAAAATACTTTATATATAATATAATATATATATTATTTACTAATAAAAAAAATTAATAATTAAATACAAAATATTAATCATTCAATATATCTAAAGTAAAATTAATCTATCATTGCGGTTATAGTATTAGTTTGGTGAAATCAGTATTGTACCGATTTAACTCAATTATCAAATATTTATAAAAAGATTATAAATTATTAAAATGATATATAACCCATATTTAAATAATACATTATATATAATATGTAGCGAGCTATATTATAATTTCAGCACAAAGTAAATTGATCAAAATAATAAATATTTATAAAGAAATTAGCACTTATATAACACAACATATATTATTTTTTTTCTAATAATTTGCTAATTGTTTCAACTTAATGTACTAATTTTATAATATGTTGTCTGTTGTGTGATAATTTGTTAATTATTTCAAGTTAATTCCAAATCAGCAATGTTCTAATCAATACCGTAACTGTAGCCAATAAATGTACACCTAAAAACCAAAAGAAACAAACCCGATTTTTTCTTTTAATAATATTATGATATAATGTTATATTGAAAAGAAGTAAAAAAGAAGAAGGCACAAATAGCATAAAATTTCATTATAGTTCCGTAATTTACTATAATCTTAAAACTCTATATAACTTATTCGTAATTCTCAAAATACTGTAGAAAAAATTAATAGTATGCAAACTTATGTTTTTTTACCCTAAATTTCTCAAATTTTACCATTTGAAATTTGCGTTTTTCGGAAAAATAAAAAATAAAAATTATCTCACAAAACATCCCATCAAACATTATTTTAATATCAAACTCAAACCAAAATTTTACCAAAACTTATAAAAGAAACATACAAAAGATTAGTTAAACACATCTCAGTTAACTGGAGGAAGAAAATTCCAGGACGCAAACAAATAATTCTACTGGTGAAAGATTTCTTTGTAAGTATATATATAAATTTTATCGGAAATTTTTCTTTATATTTTCTATGAACAAATTGTTGTTTGGCAATCAAGATGGACTAAAAGAGAATAGTATATGAAATTGACACGTGACTAACAAGTGGCACCAAATATTTTTCAATAAGACTGTATTTGATTTATTAATAATTTTATTATTTATATTTTTAATAAATAATAATAAATTGTTAGTACAATTTATTTAAATAATAATATTCTATTAGTTAGTATAAACATATAAAATAATTTTAATAATTTTATTTTTTATATTTTATATAGTATTATTATTTAATTATATATGTAATAATATATTTGTAATTTATATAAAATTTAATGGTATATTAGTATTAATGTATAATTATTTTTATTATAATATAAAATAAATACTTTTAAATCAAATAACTAAAATTATAAAAAAATATTTTTAATTGTAAGAACAAATTATTATTCTTATTATTATTTTATCATTTTCTTAATATTTTTTTGTATAATATTTTATTTTATTTTTTATATCTATTTTGTTTTGATATTAATATTAAAAAAAATTAGATCATTTATTAAATTTAATATTTATATATTTTTTCTGTTCCAATTAATTTATCTATTTTAAATCAAATAACTAAAGTGATAAAAAAAATATTTTTAATTGTAACGAACAAATTATTATTATTATTATTTTATCATTTTCTTAATATTTTTGTATAATATTTTATTTTACTTTTTATATCTATTTTATTTTGATATTAATATTAAAATTAGATCATTTATTAAATTTAATATTTATATTTTTTTTTCCAATTAATTTATCTATTTTAGCAGAAAAATAATTATGAAGATTAAAATGAATGACTAAATAATTTATTTAAAATAAAAAAAAATTTAAAATAGCAATTAAAATATATAATTATATTTAAAAAAATAAATTATGTGAAATTAATGAAAATAAATAAAAAAGATAAATTATGTATAACAAATAAAATGATATTTAATGAAACAAGATTCAAAGTCGTAGGATTTGAATCAAAGAGTATTAATCAATTTTTTTTTTAAAAAAAATATTAAATTAAATATTTATATGTTTTTTTTTAAAAAAAAATATTAAATTAAATATTTATATGTTTTTATATTATACTCTATGTCCGTTTCATTTAACCACACAGTGATAAATTCAATCGTACACCACCACCGGCCATCGTTTGCGGACATTAACAAATATATATATTTTGAAAGTGTCGAGGCATAGTGAAAGCAGTACATTAACAAAGATATATATTTTGAAGTGTCGAGGCATAGTGAAAGCAGTACATTAACAAAGATATATATTTTGAAGTGTTGAGGCATAGTGAAAGCAGTGGAGCTGAGACGAGCGGCGACTCAAAAACCCTAGTCCCCAAACATTCATTTCATTCGCTCACCCCCTTTTATTTAAACCCTAAACCCTACTCACAGCTCATCATAGCTTTTGAGTGGTGATCCAAAATGCCGCTCGGAGAGAGACACGCCGGAGACAAGAGCGAGTCTCGCTACTGCGGCGTCGAGGCCGACTTCGATGACGACATGCCTAATCTCCTCTCCTTCAACGTCCATGGAGGCTTCGATTTCGTTGTCGCCACTCTGGTTAGTTTGTTAGTTTCTATTATTATTTTTTTTCTATTCATTTTTATGCGCGTGTGGCACCGTCGGTGTTTAAGGAGATTATATTACCTTGTCGCCGCTGTATCCTCTCTCGTAGCGGCATTTCGGTCTCTGTATCGAATTTGCAGCTCGGACGGTGGTATTCCGACTCTGGTTTTTGTCTGCTGTTTGTGAATGTGTGTGGTGTGGTGTAGCGGAGCGTTATGTTGTCGTTGTTGGTTGTTTGTCTTGGAACGGTGCTTCATTTGGCATGGAGTGATTATGGAACTATTTTACTTGTTTCTAGTTCTGGATGCTAAGCTTTTGATCTGTAGCATATGTTGTTGTGATTGCACATGATGGTGATTAATTAGCCAGTCACAGTTCTTGTATGTGTGAATGGTCAGTAAATCACCTATATTTTGATGTGTTTAATGGCCTGGGATCACATGAGTTTGCCATCTGGGTTATTACTCCAATGTATGAACTAGTTTGCACCATATTCATGTAGGCCATTAGCACTATATTACAATATTTACTTTTGAATAGATGAATGTATAGAATGTTGCTTTCATGTTTGCGTCCATTTATTTTCATCTATATGCATATTTTCATTCATTGACCAAAGAAATTCTTTGAATAGAAAGATGGAATTCATCCCAAGGACCTTGAACCTCATTTTGGAGTATTTTATTCAATGTTATAGTTAGGAATTGATGATGGACAAAAGATAATAGAATGATTTTCCTTCATGTCAAACCACGATGGTGGCTAATTAGCCAGTCATACATCAGCTGAATTGCTGTCGATCTGTATGAATGGTCAGTAAGCTCACCTAGATCATTGTGTTGATGGCCCCCTGCTAGGGAGACTTCATGTTTCTCGTTGCGGTTATTAACCACATCTAAATTGCAAGAACTATGAATAATGTTTGTCATGCTACAAAATTTGCAAGTGATTCCCTAAACATATATTTCAACTGTATATAATTTGATGATTTTAGCCAATATATCATTTTTAAGAAAAAAAAAGTACTGAAATGAATCCAGTGAGATGTCTGTCCAATGGACAATGTAGGATTGTACAACTGATTTGCTTAAAGTGTTCAATAAATGGCTATGTTGTGGATGTGGATATTTAGCATTAATCAAGTTTAATATGATAGTCTTCACTCTCCATTTAAAGTAACTTGTGCTTTATATGCAATTTTATGATGCAGATGGATCCTAGTTATAGACCTAGTCTCTTAGACAACGAAACTAGTAGATCTCGTGCTCTGCCATTTGCTGGGTCAGACCTGGTTCTAAGCCCTTCACAGTGGAGCAGTCATGTTGTTGGTTGTGCCTCTTCCTTGACTGCTGTATTCTGCCATGCTCCAAACCCCAATACTTTTAGTTGCATTCTTATAATTAGTTGCTTCAATATTTGATGTAATTCTCATAAGTCATGAGTATACTTTTTACTCACTAAAAGGACTGCCTTGTTTTCTGTCACTACCTTGTCAATTTTTTTTTCACAGGAACTCTCATCTAATGTGTCATTCTATCCAGGAAAAATTAGTTCATGGATTGACTTGGATTCTGAAGATGAGACTCTCAGAAAGGATTCTGAGATTGTGTTGAAACAAGAAATAGCTTGGGCTTCTCATCTGTCTTTGCAGGTGGATTGCTATATGACTTCTAGATTCTTCTTTGACCCTTCTTGGGGTCCCCTGATGTTCTGGGGTTCTATTTCAGAATTTCATGTTCATACTTTTTCGTGGTTGACCTCTTTTATTCAGAATTTGTGCTATTTGGTTTCAGGCTTGTCTCCTGCCTACGCCTAAGGGAGCTTCTTGTGCTAATTATGCAAAATGTTTGAATCAAATATTGCAGAACCTAGGCAACATGCAGGTTTTACTTGGTCCATTTCCATGAATTCCAATTGATTTTTGGTGCATAAGTGTTCATGGTGCATGCTTTCATTCTTATTATTACTTTTATGTTAAAGTTGTGGCTTAGGATTCCATTGGAGAAGCCTGAGGGTGTCACAGATGCAAACAACCCTGATTTTATGGTGAGTGATCATTAGATTTTGTTTTGCCGTTTGTTGTTCAGATTTATATGCTCTTTTCAATCCTTATTTCTTCTCTCTAGCAATTGTTTCCTCCGATAGGTTTTTTGTACCCCATATGGTGTGGGCAACTAATTGAATCATTACACATATTTTTGGGTGGATTTAATGTAATCTGCATGCGGCTAAGACCTTTTTTTGTTGTAACTATCAACCTTTCTTTATCTTGTACACAAAAAGTGTTTGTTTGTTGTTTAGCATGATGTTTACATCCATTACAGGAGGAAAGGATAAATGATTCATGGGAGTTGTGGAATTCGTTTCGGCTTCTCTGTGAGCATCATACCCAGCTCTCAGTTGCACTTGAAATATTGTGAGCTTAAATATGGAATTTCCTGATCAGAAATAGTTCCACGAATTGTTAATTCTTGCTCTCAGCTGATTGGTTTTTGTTGTTCATCAGGTCTTCATTACCTTCTGCTTCTTCAGTTGGACGATGGTTTGGAGAGCCTGTTAGGGCTGCCATAGTAAATACAAGTGTAAATATAAAAATTTCGTTATTACAATTTATATTGGCAGTGTTATAAGTGTAAAAAATCCTTAATAAAGGGAGAGATGCTCTGTATATGTATGCTTCTGTGAATTCATATTATCTGAAAAAAGTTTATCAGAAAAAGGATGGAAGAGCTGTCAATGCATGTGATTTTCATTTCATTGTTGTCAACCTCTTACTGAAAATATTTTCTTCCTTGTATTAAAGATTTTGCCTTCATATAAGTTTTGTCCTTTTTAAAGGACATAGTAAACCCTCATTGTTATTTTCATGATGTCGAATTTTCCCTTTTCCAGGCTTTTCTAACTAATGCAAAAGGGTATCCTTGTCTATCAAAGCGTCATCAGATGTTAGTAACTGCATTTTTCAACCACTCAGTTCAGGTAGTGGTTTGACTCAGTCCTGTTACCTTTTTATCAATGAATTCTTGTTGTAATGATATGATGAGAGTGTTGTAATTTGATTAAACAGATGTATATGTATTATGTTGAATTTAATTATAGTTAGAGATGATTTTCTCATTAATTGCATAATCTTTATTGTTTTCTCTGTCAATTAACAGATAGTTGTTTCTGGACAACCAGTGCATAGCATACCTCTGGGTGTATCCGGATCAGATTCTGATAATAATGTTGGGGGTGAGATGTGAGCTGAGTCTAATATTACTGCAATAGTTTTTTGCTTTTAACCTGACTTGTATTTTCATAAGTCATGTTCTATACTTCTATTTGTAATGTTTTTAACAGTTTCTGGTACTTTCTTGTATGTGATGTTGAAATGGTGATTTATTTATTTTTGTTCAGGCGGTTGGCGACACCCTTTAAAGTCATACTTGGATTATCTGGCTTATCTATATCAAAAGATGGGACCACTTCCTGAACAGGAGCGCTTTGAGGTCAATAATCTGTCCCTTTCCCAAAAGATTGAATATCTTAATGCATTTTTATCAACTTCTCATAGTATATTTCTCAGACATGCTTCTTGTGATTTATCAGCTCGGGTACAGAGACTATCTACAATCACCATTGCAGGTAATTTCCATGTTAAGGACTTGTCACTGCTGCCTTTTCAACTATGAGGAATAGATTTTGCATGTTTGCTTCTTGTTGTCACAGTTCAACCAACTTCTAACATCTTGTGATGAATTTTGCAGCCTCTCATGGATAATTTGGAGGCCCAAACATACGAGACATTTGAGAAGGACACAGTTAAATATAGCCAGGTGTGATTTTGAATCAATTTCAATAATATCACTTGTGGACCTCTTATTTATATAAATAACGACTATCTACAATGATTCATACTGATATATATTAATAAACTTAAAATACTTCTGCGATGCGTAAAATGGGTAAATGCTTCTTAATGTGTTTGAATGTTATGTTTCTTTAATATGTGCTGACTTGTTTATACTTGCCAGTACCAAAGAGCTGTTGCTAAAGCACTGGTTGACAGAGTTCCAGACGAGAATGCTTCTACTGTGACAACGGTAAGTTCTTTTATGTAGCAGTGTCTTTACTGCAATTGGTTGGTCTGTTTGATTATCATAAGAAGTTTATTATGATGATATGTGCAATTCTTTTGGGGTAGGTATTGATGGTTGTGGGTGCTGGGCGAGGGCCTCTTGTGAGAGCATCGCTGCAGGTTGTTCTCCCATCACTTCTTCATGACATATAGATATGTATCATGATCATTTAATTTTGATGCATTAGACTTCACGTAGTGACTGCTTGCATAACATTTATTGACAGGCTGCTGAAGAAACCGAACGCAAATTAAAAGTTTATGCTGTGGAAAAGAATCCGAATGCGGTGGTTACCCTCCATGTAAGTTGTAATAGTTTCTCAACTTTTTCATTTTTCTCTTATGCATATAGAAATGCCTTTCTTCGGTATGTGTTTATGCATGATATTACCTATTGCTACTTGGATGAAATACGGAACCATATATATTGAACGCATGAATTAGGTGATTGGTCCAATAAATTAATGTAATTAAAGACTTGCTTATCGTCTAAAGTTGAGCTTGTTTGAATAAGAAATTATAATTTATTACTGATGATTTCCCATGACTTTATTACTAATGTATATCTGTTATTTGTATGAGTTACTTATGCATGTCGACTTATGCCTTTGAGAACAGAGTTTGGTTAAGCTGGAAGGCTGGGAAGATGTGGTAACTATTGTTTCTAGTGATATGCGAGATTGGGATGCTCCAGAGAAAGCAGACATCTTGGTATTGTTCTTTCCAAAAAAGATTATACTTACAATGCCGACGTGCCTATAGAGGAGTCAGTTTGTCAGTAAGATTCTCTTCTTTGGAACTTATTGTAGGTCAGTGAGTTGCTGGGTTCTTTTGGCGACAACGAGCTCTCTCCCGAGTGCCTCGATGGTGCCCAGAGATTTTTAAAGGAAGATGGAATTTCAATACCTTCATCGTAAGAATGATTATCTTCAAAATGCCCCATTCTCTTTCTTACATAAAAATATTCTTGAGTTGTTTTATGATCCACTAACTTGTGTCGTTGGCAGGTACACGAGCTTCATTCAACCTATAACTGCCTGCAAGCTTTACAATGACGTAACAGTTTATTCTTTAATCTTCAGTTTGGTTTGCCGAGATTTTCATACCCTTACCCCCGTCTAATTTATTTTGTTTATGGATTAGATAAAGTCACACAAGGATCTTGTGCACTTTGAAACCGCATATGTAGTCAAGCTACATCGAGTGGCAAGACTCGCACATCCTCAACCGGTTAGTTACTATTCTAATTCATATTCCACACTTAGTTGTTTTATTGTTCTCGACTGGCTCTAGGCTTTCACTTACCTGTTTCTTAATGCATAGGTTTTCACATTTAATCATCCGAAACCCTCCTCGGAATCCAGCAATGAGCGCTATACAAAGCTACTTTTTGATATCCCAAGTGACACTGGATCAGCCTTGATTAATGGTATTTATAAATTTATTTTTCCTGCTGATTTCTGTGTCTCATCATTATTTACATAACTACTATTCAACTGTTCCATTGTAGCTTGGGATATTAATTTTCGGGGGATATTGTATATATAGAGCATAAATACACCTGGAAGTATTATACAAACACATATTTTGTGTTTTAAACAAACATCCGCCTTGCTAACAGGGTTTGGAGGCTATTTTGACGCCACACTTTACAAAGACGTACATCTTGGCATTGAACCCGCGACAGCCACCCCGAACATGTTTAGTTGGTACGGTATTTTGGTCATTATTTTATCTTTCCTGTAATTACTTGTTTGGTTCAATGCGGAATTTTCTTGTTATCCGAAAACAGGTTCCCAATATTTTTCCCTTTGCGGACTCCTATATATGTTCAACCGGGCACTCCTTTAGAAGTTCATTTTTGGCGGTGTTGTGGTTCGACCAAGGTATCCATCTCCCTATTCTACTTCTACTGTACGTTCATTATTTTTGTCATTTTCTCAATACAATCAGAGAAATAAAAAAAAAAAAAAAAAAAAAAAAAACGGCACCATTTATTTAATTGTGCTCGAAACGGCTACAGGTTTGGTATGAATGGTGCATAACATCTCCATCTCCTTCGCCCATGCACAACACCAGCGGTCGTTCCTACTGGGTCGGCCTGTAGACTTTAGTCATAAGGTTAGCCCAAGCTATATATAAATCATTTGCTATAAAACGGCGCTTTTGTGGATTAATCGTCAGGATTGGAATAGATATAATACACCGTGCCCTCTAGAGCAGAGCCAATTTGTTCTTTTTTGTGCGTAAATGCAAGATTTGTTCGAATTTCATTATTTAAATTCAAGGCGTACGCCGAACATTGAACCTCGACCATTATTACAATGGTAATAATTGTCGACGTTGATGAACCCAGTTCTCGTAATCTTGTAGCACCTGCTGCAATAGCAACGGCACCAACCGGTCGACCATCGCCTGGATCATCCTGCGATCGTCATTAAAAATGTAAATCTTAGTCCTTAGTCGAATAAGTGTCAAGTCTAAATCAGTTTTTGAGTTCTTACAGGTTTCCCGGACGCTTGACAGCTGATGTCGGCAGCAACAAGAACGGCCGCGTATATATCTGCCGCAGAAACAGAAAAATCATTCATTTCACTACAGCTGCAGTATACAGACAATATTCAAGAATCGACAGCCACCTCGAGTGCAAGATCCAGTCGAACATCGATGTCCAAAAATGTCTCGGCACCAACTGTCTCCCATCTTACGCAATTCCTCATCGAAGCTGCAAAAAGAATTTGAGACAGGTTTAGTAGGGTTTTAACGTTTACTAAACCAAAGAATTAATTCTGTTTTACCTGTGAAATGCTCGTTTTGGCTTTCGACCATCTCCGACCCCTCGGAACTACAAAAATCACACCGCATTCATTTTATATCTCGAAAGCGCAACATCTTACCCGTTCGATCAGCACGGCTATTTATTTCCGGACACTTGGCTTACTTTGCACGACAGCATCTCGACTACACAGTCTCGGCTAGTCGGAGTCACTTGCAAGTCTAGCACAGGCTCAACCTCGAAGTTTAGAAGCTGAACCTGTGGTAATTTACACCTAAACAACAAGATAATTTTTTTGAAGAAAACATTTTATAAAGTATAATATGATAGATTTTATTTAAATAAAATGTTTCAAACCTCTAAAATCCAATTTAGACTGAAAAGAAACAATTTGATGTTTGAATAGTTTTGATTATACCTAAACATGGTAAATACTTTTGAATTCATACGATATATTATTAGCACTCATGAAAAACTATGTTTAACTTGAATTGGGGGTGAATAATACGCTTTTATAGGTATTTGTGAGAATTGTAGAATGAAGCAATTAAATAATAATAAAAATAAAAAATAAAAAATACCGGGATAAACATGACCTAAAACATAAAAAAAAATAATAATAATAAATCCAAAATGCAAATAAGCTCCAACTGGATAAAATTTTACCCATATTTTCATTTAATATATATAATATTTTTTCGTATCAAATTACATTTAATAATTATTTTAATTAGGATGAGCATGGATTGGGATTGGGATTGGGAAGAAATACTTACGGCAGTATAATAAGCAAATGAAATTAAATTAAATCAAATAATAAATGAATTAGCTGTAGAGTAGTAAATTGGAATATTGGGATTGGGGATGTCTGCATAGCCCTAATATTCAAAATGGCTTGAATCCCACACTGACTGGCGACTGCTCAAGAACTCACTTATATTTAATTCTCCATAATTTGGGATCTTCACCCTCTCTTTCTTCCTCGCTGAAAGATTTGCTTTTCTGACCAAAGTCAGAATTAAATTAATTGATTTCGAAAATCATATATATAATGGGGTTTTGTAGATAGATAGATAAATTAATGAAGAATGGATATACATACATAGATATGTAATGTAATGTAATGTACCTGAGTTGTTGTTGTTGGAATTGGAAATACAGACGTGGGGAGAGGCGTCTAATGGTGGCCATTGTTGTTTAATTAGAGAGAGAGGATGTTTATATATAAACATATGTGTATGTGTTTGTGTAGAGAAGATTTTAATTTATTGGTGAAATCAGACATGTTCTTGGGAAATACTCACCAGCAAAATGCTAGCTTTCCCATGTGGGATTTTATTTGGTGGGGTTTGTTTTCTTTCTTTTTATTTTTTATTTTTCCTTTTTCTTTCTTTAGAATTATATTCACATCGATTTTGTTATAGCAATTAATATATATATATATATATATATAAAGTAAGGCATATAGCTTTACATGTGACGTATTATAATATTTTTGTTAAAATAAATATGGCTATGTTTACACATCACCTTTCACTTATTTAGTATTATTTATTTTTTTTAAAAATATTATATCAATTTTTTTTTTCTCACAAAATATTAAATCAAATATAATTTTTTACTTCTTTTTAAACTTTCAAATTTTCAAAAACCTCAAAAACCTACTATCTAAACAAACCCTATAATGTTTGATGTGATAAAAAATTTTATGAACAATATTAAATGTTTCTATAATATATATATATATATATGTCAACGAAGTACCTAAATCAAGTGTACTCTTGTTTCACTTGACTAATAAATTAAAGTTTAAAAAACACATTATACATTTAATAATTTTTACGAGTTATTAAAAAATATATATTTAGTTTTAACTACAATATATAAATTTAGAATATTTAAAATAAAAATAATAATTACATATAATAATTCATTAAAACAAATATTTAATTATTTTACATTATAATTTAAACTAATTTTTACTCTTGTAATCCCATATTTAGTAATACTTTCATTGGGCTTATAGCCAGTTTGAAGAAGAAATGGCCCAAATTGCTTTCATTTACAAACAAGGACCGGGCCGAGCCGGGCCGGGCCTACGCTAAATTAATGTTGAAGTCGCTCCAAAATTAAATAAAAATAGTCCAAATTGATCTATATTCTAAGCGTGTTTGTTTACTTTTGATCAATTCCGTGATTCTCAAAAAAATACTATTAAAATAATACTACTTTCTCGTCCCAATTTAAATGGATTATTTTAGGATTTTATAATAGATTAATAAATAATAAATTTTTATTAAGTACTTAGAACTCTGTAAGATAATTTTGATATTTTTTTTATCATTTATACAATTTAACATGTAATAATAATATGCTTGAAATTTGTATAAAAAATTAAATGATATTTTGATATTAGCATGATTACTTATACTTGAATTTTAAAAAGAGGGAATTTTGATTTGTTTATTTTATTATATATTTATTAATACATTTTAAGAAATATAATTTAAAATGGGCTAGGCCCAAAACGACCCAATTTTTACAAGCCTGAGTTGGGCCAGTATGAGTTTTATCTAAATTGGCCGAAAGTTTATTTTCAAGGCTCTAAGTCTAATTTTTCTTTTTCTTTTTTTATCTTGTGCTCGAGTCCAATTAACTAATATTCCTCATGTTATTTAAATTTTTATCTATTTTTCTTTTTTGTCTTTCACTTAAAAATATTATTATTTATTTATTTTAATAAAAAATATACAACTTTTTGTATATATATATATTACCATAAACAGTAAAAAAGTAACAAATGTACAAATATATATTACCATAAACACTTTTTTTTGTGATGGGTTAATATATATTGGAATTGTAGAAACTTATATGGAATGTTTGTTGAATGATGTATATTTCTACTTTTGCCTATGAAATAAGTTGATATTTTATTAACATTGCAGTGTTCATATTTAACAAAACATGTCTATTATTAACCCAAGGAGAATATGTCATGGTCAGTTTTGACTTTCGATCCAAGTGAAATAAAAATAAAAAGTCTTAAATATATATATATATATAAATGATATTTTACCTAAAATAAAATGCAAATAATTAATTTTTTTTTTCTTGCTTTTTAAGATGCAAAAGTATCAATAATAATATTAATATTAATTTTTTTCTAATATTTCATTTTTAATTCACAAATAAATATCTTTTAGAAAAACAAATCCAAAATTTTGATATAAAAAGTTTGAACCTATAACCTTACAATTATATATTCATCCCACACCACCAAATAACACATTTTAAATATTTTAAAAATATCAAATAATTTATATATATATATATTTATAGCATAAAAATTAGGCGAATCATGTATGATAGGTGAACTCGAAAAAGTCAGGAATTTGAATCATCCCACACAACCCGGCCAATTACATGTGTTGTCTAACGGTCACATATAGATATATTTATCCATAAGAAATGATCAAATTAGTGTGATGTTTGATTTGTGGTCGGAAAGATTTCCCGTTTTAATTCCAACGACATTTTCTTGGCTGAGTTTCCCCCCGGTCTTAAGTGGCTTCAGTATTGTATTGAATTGTTCGGGTGACTATAGATGCTTTTGCGTCAAATCTTTTTGGTAGTTTAAATTTTTTAGATCAATTTTTAAGTGATATTCTATTCATCCATCCACTCTAAAATTATTTTGTTAGTTTCGACTGTCGAAACACAAAATATTATATTTTTTTAAGTAAGTATAAATTAAAGATCTCACAAAAAAAATTACAAATATCATCAAATAAAAACTTATTTACACCGGTACAATTTCATTTATTTTTATACATTTAAAATAAAAATGGTCTTTACTTCTAAAAAGAATGATCAACAAACATTAAAATGTAGTTAAATTTTTTTTAAAAAAATTACAAAATTTGTGTATAAATTAAAATTGAAATTTCATATGTTATCTAAATTTATTCTTATTTCTTTTAATCATAAAAGATCTTTTATTTTTACTTATTTGTTCTAAAACTTGTGCCCGATTTGAATAAACACATATTTGTATAACGAAGAGAATTACAAATTTTGTTTTGTTTTTGTCTTTTGATTTTTTTTTTTTTTTTAAAATTATTGTATTGACATGCACTTTACCTAAATAGATGCATGACTTTGAGTACAATCCAACCAAAGGCAACTTCTCATTCTGTCATGACCAAAAATTAAATTTAAAAAAAAAAAAAAAAAAAAGAAATGAATAAAAATGAAAAATGATTAATTGGTGGAAGAATATGCATTTATTTTTGGTTTAACTTTTGAAGTTCACCAATCAGGTCATGACACGTGGATAAAAAAAAAATAATTTCATAAAGTCAGTGCGTGTCGTCGTTTTTAAATGGCAATCAGTACGTTTCAATTCTCTCTGCACCATCCATTTATCAAGGCGTATCCGATTTGCGACACGTGTACGGTGGATGATGCACTATGCTAAAATTGAGAATCCCAGATCCCCACAAAACGACAAAAATAACTTTTTCAGCTTTATCACTACTGACCAATTTGTTTTTGAAAAGTTTTTTTAGGTCAGAAGAACAGACAACTTCTGCATTAACCTTTTTTTGCTTTGTCATTAAAAGTGGTAGGAATTAATGGAGCATCTTTATCGTTTGGTCCGGGATCGTTGATCCTGTTCATATAATGATTCAAATCCCGATCGAACGGTTGTCGTGGGTTTGGGTCTTCTGATCCCGGGACTTTCTATGTATTATAGCGTGCGTGACCCTGTAATGGTGTCCCGTGCACTCAACTATGTGGGCCCAATTTTTATTTTTTTATTATTATTTTAAAAAGATTAACCGATAGTGACGTGGCATCTTTATGAAAACGCCTTTCTGTCTAGCGTAAAAACGTTAAATATTAGCAAACACGACTTTATTTATATATATATATTGATTTTATTTAATTTTATTGGTAACACGCTTTTCTCTTAAAGACACGCTTTTTCTTATCCTACAATGAATCTCGCATTCATGTCTGTAGTTGGAAAGTTTCAACTACTTTACGCTTTTGTCATTTATTGTTTCCGGAATTAAATAATTTAAATTTTTTAAACTTTCAGTAAGATAATAAATAATGTGGAGTGATAATATTTTTAGATAAATGTAGGAAGTAGAGATTAAATGAAATTAATCAGAATACTTGAAAATTTGTCCTCTATGGGGTCCCACTACGAGTCTAACCCATACCACACCATAATTAAAGTCAAGATAATTTATAAATTTATTTTCATAAATAATTATTAATTTTTAAATACTAGTATGATATTTTATCAGCCTGAAAAAGAATATATACTTGAGTCACTTTCTTTATTTGGTTAATTCCGAGGAGTTCGATGGTCCACCAAGATGGACAGATCTGTACCGTTTAAATTTCAAAGATCTGTAGATGAACGTCTTTGATCTACCAGGCGTTCGGGACCCTGGCCCTGCCAAATGAAATGGTACAGTTGTAATTATTGCTGAAACTAGGGGTAACTTTGATTTGTTGTCGTACTCCAATCCAACTTTTGCCTTTTAATTCCTGATCTCGAATCATCTTCTCCCACGTGTCCACTTCCCCTCCAATGAGTAATTAATTCGATTTATTAAATTACTCTATTAAATTTCTTTTTCTTTTTCTTTTTCTTTTTTTTTTAAAAATAAATTGTAGCCTCCGCCCTTTAAATCTTCTTCAAGTATTCGCTGTGTTATCGGAATCCATAAATGCCCGATTTCAGAACCGCCGGAGCTACCGCAAAACGGCTGAAGCGCCACCGTCACACGGCGGAGATGGAGGATCGCGATGACAACCACCAGATTAACAAGGAGTGTTTGATTCCTGGAATTCCTGACCACATCGCCCAACTCTGCCTCTCTCCAGTCCGGCCGTCGGTTCTCAGCTCCGTCTGCCGCTCATGGCGGCGCTTGATCTACGCGCCGTCGTTTCCGCCTTTTCTGTCGGTGTACGCTCTTCTCCTACCGATCGGAACTCATCCTCATCAGTCTGATGTTCTACAGTTTACCTCCTTTGATCCGATCTCGCGTAAGTGGAATTTCCTACCTCCGCCGCCGCCTCCGCCGCTGCGGTTCCTCGTCCGACATCCTTCGTTTATTTCTCGGAAACTTTCCGTTCAATCGGTGACGGTTTCCGGAAAACTCGTCGTCGTCGCTGCAACTAACGACCAGTTCCTCCCTGCCTTGTCTCGACCTCTAGTTTTCGATCCGCTGTCCATGGAATGGTCCTTCGGTCCTCAATTTTCCGCGCCTCGCCGGTGGTGCGCCGCCGGCGCTATTCGCGACACCGTCTACGTCGCGAGCGGCGTCGGCGCCCACTACAACAACGACGTATCGCGGTCGCTTGAGAAATGGAATTTAATCGAGAACGAATCTCGTTCGCCGGAGCTCCATCGCCGCCGCTGGAGTTGGGAAAGGATCAGAGAACTGAAGGACGGAAAATTCAGCCGCGAAGCGATTGACGCCGTCGGATGGAGAGGAAAGTTGTGCATGGTGAACGTGAAAGGAGACGCTGCGAAGGAAGGAATAATCTACAACGTCGACTCCGATCTGTGGGAGGAGATGCCGGAGGGGATGCTCGCCGGCTGGAGAGGTCCAGCGGCGGCGATGGCGGAGGAGACGATATACATGGTGGATGAGTCGAAAGGATCTCTGAAGAAGTACGATCACGTGACGGACACGTGGGAGGTAGTGGTGGATAGCGAAGTGCTGAAAGGCGCTCAGAACGTGGCGGCGGCGGCGGGGAAGGTTTGTGTTGTTTCCGGCGACTGTGCTACCATTGCGGTGGTGGATGTGGCGGCGGCGGCGGCGCCGGTTCGGCTGTGGGTAGTGGAAGTTCCCGATGAGTTTCAGATTGTTGCTATTCATATACTTCCTAGATTGTGCGGCGGAGATTTCCATTTCCCTTCCAGGTAACACCATTTTTGTGTTCTTATTTCAGTTCTACAGTTTATATTTGCTGCACATAATTTGAAAAGATTTTTTGGTTTTTGTTGAGGAGAAAGTAGATATCAATTCAGATCTGAATCCCTTCTGCTATTTAATTGACTACTCCTAATTTTTACATTTTGTAGAAGTTTCTGGTTTTTTTTTTAATTATAAAATCCAGATATTTATAAATAGATGTGATATAGAAATTCAATCTAAAAACTGAATTTATAATATTTTTTCTGTCCTTAGATATTTATACAAAAAAATTATAAAAAAATAATATTTTTAATATTAAAAATAATAATAAAAAAATAAATATAACTTTTAGAGGCTGTCGCATATAATATAAATTAAATATTTAAAATATTTGAAACTTAAAATTTGATGAATCGTAGCTAAATGTCGAATGTGTCATAGCGGGAAGCAACACTCCAGTCGGGGAATCGAAAACAAGATTAACTCGGAAATAAGACTCTCGTAACAGAGTCAAAGTCAGAGTCGAAAATTAAAAGATTTGAGCATAATACATAAATTATGATATGATATTAATACATAGTCGATATATTTAATTAATATAACAAAATAAATAATTTAAATAAGAGTAAAAAATCTAATATAAAACAATAATTAAAATATGATTGATATCGTTTGAATAGCAAAATGCTACGCCTAAATGATTTATTCTGATGCATGGGTAAGGTAATTATTTGATAGCCATATTTGTTGGCAGCTTTTTGCGATTATTGTTGTGTTTTATATTTATATTCCATGGATTAGTCTTCCTTTGCTTACGGTGCAAATCTCTATTTTAGAGAAATAAATAAATAGTAACACAATGCAAGATTTATGGGTGAAAATAATAGTGTTAAATGCATGTGACTTAGAGGCTTTAATGATTATTATTGAGTCAAACATAACACAGTTGGCTGCTGATTAGCTACAGGACAGAATACAACTTTTCCATGTCTATTTAAAATACTCCTGATTCTCTGCATAATATATATATATATATATAGAGAGAGAGAGAGAGAGGGAGAGAGCGAGAGAGAGTGTGTTTTTTTAATATTCTCATTCGGTAAAATTAGAGCATTTGAGTCTGATACGGATATTAAGAAAAATAAATATTCTCTCCATCCCATAAAGAAATATTCATTTATTTTTTGCACTTAATTTTAGAAATATTAGTATTATATTGGGATATAGTACGAATAAAATAGAAATGACTATAATAACCTTATTCATATGTGTGATATAAAGTTAATTATATTTGTATAATATCTGTAAGGGTATTTGTAATGTTAGGTAGATAGTACAATTACTAAAAAAAAAAATGGATACTATGTTATGGAACGGACTAATTTAGAAAAATAAATACTTTGTTATGGGACGGAAGGAGTACTAACTTCGTTCGGCTTTAAGTATCTCATTTACTTTTTACATATTGATCTTTTAATATTAATTATTATATCAAAATATAATACAAATTAAAAAAAAAATTGTAAAAATACTTTCATTAGTGTCTTATAATACTAATACAAAGATATTTGTACAAAAAAATTATATAAATATAATGATAGTTTTTAATATTAAGTACAATGACACAAAAGTTAAATGTGACCCTTGGAGCCGGAAGGCGGAAGTATTTTATTGAAAAAAATGATAAAAGTAAAAGTTGATGGCAGTTTTGAAAATTTAGTTAGAATTTTTCTAGAAAAATGAAAAGAAAAAATATAATTAAGGTAGCGACACTTGTTGTAAATAAATACCGCACGAGCGATAATAATTAAATGTAATTAGTTGATTTTGCTAAAATTAGTGTTGAAGACCCCTGTTTGGATAAATAATTAATGACTGTGTTTCTCTAATAGTTCGATTTTTTTATGTGAGATGATCATTTTGCATCTGACAATTAATAATAAGATAAATTTAACGGACACATTAAAAAAATAATAAAAATAAATTTGACAGACAAATAAAATATATATTTTTATTTTTTTGGGATTGAATAATATAATAATTTGTGGATTGAAAAACGATTCATTAGGATACCAAACCCAATAATATTAATTTTAATTTGATTTGACCTGGTTTGTTGTTTTGCCGGCCTTTTTGTTTACTAATACTACTTGATACTAACTAGTTGTAAAGCTGATGTTGGTATTATTTTATAAGAACAAAAAAATAAAAAATTTATTAAGGTGACACAATGGTTTGTTTGTATAGTGAATAGGGATTTATAGTATTTTTTGTTAATAATTATTATAATTGTGTAAAAATTATAAAGAATAATGATTTTGATTGATCAAAGTTGTTGATTTTTTATTTTTATGTTTTGAGCATAAAAACATCAATTTATATACTCCCTCCGTTCCATAACAAAATATTCATTTTTCCATTTTAGTCTGTCCCATAACAAAATATCTATTTTATTTTTTTCAGTAACTGTACTATTATAAATATCCTTACAACTTACAATATATTATACAAATGTCATTACTTTATATCACACAATACTAATAAAGTTATTTTAGTTATTTTTATTTTATTCCTACTACATTCCAATATAATACTAATATTTTTAAAACTCCGTGCAAAAAGCAAACGAATACATAGTTATGAGACGGATGAAGTATTATAAATCTTTTACATATTAAAATGATTGTGTCTAAAATGGTGCTCATGTAGAAAAAGCTACATTCTGATTTTGAAATATATTTTTAACTCAATTTAATTTGCTATTTTATAAATTTTCTTTTGCTATTTTATAAATTTTCTTTTTATGAATAAACTAAAAGATATGTTTGGTTTGTGTTTCAAGTGTAATTTAACGTAATATTTTGTATAAAAATATTATTACACTGCTAAATTACCCCCTCTTTTTTTTTTTTCTTTTTTCTTTTTAAAGAAATATATATTATATAATATTTTAAATATAAAACTAAATTTTAATGTGATATAATAAATAAAAAATAATTATTTAATTTAATATTTTTATAAAAATTTTTTTGAAATAATAAAACCATAATAAAAATCTCACAAGCAAATCCTTGTCTTATCCTAATTTTAGTATTATAGGCATTTAATTTTGGAATACATCATGTGTGAATAGGGATGGATAAATTTACCGTACACACCAAAATACCGACTTATCGCACCGTATCGTGTCGAAAATATCGAAAATTTCGGTATACCGAAAGATTCGGTACGGAATGGATATCGTACCGAAGTTTTCGATACGGTAACTGTATGAATTTTCGAAAAGTTCGGTATTTTAGTATGATACCGTACTGATTTTATTTTTATTACATAATTTAATTATTAATATAAATAATAATTATTAATATTTTTTTAAATTATTAAAAGAATATGTAAACTATTGAAAATTTATTTGTTTTTTCATAATATTTTTGTAGTGGAGAATAGTGATATTTATTAATTTTTTAATTATTTTAAAATTTAAAATTATATTTTCGGTATAATCATTATATACCAGTATCTACCAAAATCAAAATTTTCGGTATAAGCTGTATATATTGGTATCGTATCGAAATTGAAATTTTCAGTACGGTACCAGTATCTATTTTACTCATACCGAAAAATTCGGTACGGAATCGGTATCGACAGGTATTTTCGGTACGGTACGGTATGTCATCCCTATGTGTGAATAGTTTCATCAATGTAAAACTTTAGTATGCTTACTTTCATTTTTTTTTTTTGCCATAGTTTTTTTATATGATATTTTGTAAAAAAACAATATATATATTTATTAAAAAAAATAAAAATCATGAAGTCATTTATAACATCAAGGTATCAAAGAAAATCACAAAAGGAAACATTAATCAATTGAAAAACAAAACTACTAAAATGAGATTTGATTAACGATGTAATTAATAAATTAAAATAACTAATCAATTTAATCAAAATCAATAAAATATAAATAATAAAATTTTAAAATATGATTAGAGTTTGTATTTGAATGACAATCAGGACATATCTTATCCCAGTATTAATAGGAGGGTTCTATTTCAAAATTTTAGTCACCAGGGATTGTAAATTTTGAGATTTTAAATTCGATCGGCTCTGGATTGGATTACAAATTTGATCAAAAAATCCGTTTAAAACCGCTTAAATAATACTCCCTCCGTCCATTTAGAAGGTTGACATTTATTTTTGGCGCGGTATTTAAAAAATAATTGTATTTTAATTATAGTGAGTAGTTAAAAGTAATGTAACGATATTTTTGTCCTTACTTTTTTTTTTGTGTAAAAGTAACGATGTGATGTAAAGTAAAGGTATTTGTGGAAAAAAGTAGGGTATTTAATGAAATGTTAACTTTGTAATTGAACGTCCAAAAATAAAAATATGTAAACATTGTAAGTGGACGGAGGAGGGAGTATATATTTTTATATTTTTTAAATTTTGAAATAATTACTAATATTTAATATATGAATTTGAAATATATTTTCTTATATAATTTAGATAAACTGGGCCGGGTCACAAGTCAAGGCCCATCAACTAGCTAGCTAGCAAATGGGCCAAATCAGTAACAAATATATATTTTACAAAGCAATAATGTACATTTTGAAATATATATATATATATGTCAACTAATGAATTTTAAGAAAAAATAAATAAAAGTCTACACTCTTATTTTCTATACATATATAAAAATGAAAAATATTTTAATATTTTGATATTAATTATTTTTGCTATAATAAAAAATAAATAATTTGAGTATAACAATTAAAATTGATAAAAAGAATATATTGAATTGTGAAAAAAAGACAGTATTTTATACTGAATTATTAATTTTTCTTTTTTATAAATGTATATATTATATATTATATTTTTTTACAATATTTATAAAGTCATCCTTTTAAAAAACACAAAGTGAACAAATCCTTCGTTTTATTGCTTTTAATAAAATATATATTTTTTCATTTTAAATGTATTACCCCCTTCATTCCATAAGAAGTATACAATTTTTATTTATGTATGTCTCAAAACAAAACAAATGTATCGTTTTTTAATTTAGTAACTGTATTACTTATCTAATATAATTAATATTTATAATTTATAATATATTATACAAATGTTACTACTTTTATATTATACAATATTAATAGAATTATTTTTATTAAAAATTAATATAATACTAATATTTAAAAATATAAATAAAAAAACAAATAATATTTTTCTCACGAGACTGATAGAGTATTTTATTTATCATCTTGGTTGTTTATTTTGAATAGTCGTTTTCATTTATATATTTTCATTTATTGTGTTTGTAATCTCTATGTAATTATTAATTTACTACTATTTTGTTTATATTTATTATTTCACACTATATATTTTTAACATACTAAATTCAATATTTTAGATTTTTTTTTTTTTTTTCATCTTAAACAAATTTACTTACTGATATAATATTTTTTAATTTATTAAAAAAATCTCTAAGACAATACATTTGTGTCGATAGCATCTATTAAAAAAACAACATAAATTAATATATTTAAAACAAAAACAATGTATCTTGAGTTGTATATATTGGTTATTTTGTTGTTATTGGATTTATTCGAAGATAAAGAATGTTGTATCGAACTATCTTCGGGAAGGGTCGCATGGGTACGCGCTTGAGAAAGTTTATACGATATTAAACAAAATATAAAATAATATAATGAATGTAAAAATTATGTTACATGTTGTTTGAAAATTATCATTTTCAAACGAGGAATTAAATTATTTAATTTCGGCCTAAAACCTTGTAAATTCAAATTTATTTAAATTTGAATCGATAACTTTAATGAATAAATTGAATCTTTTTAATTTGAAATTAAAGTTGCATATTTTCATGAAAAGATTGTGTCTTTTGGATTTAAAATTCAAGTTCAAATCTTTTCGGAAAAAACACTTCCTGATTTATGGCTTATCTTCACAGAATTTTCGGAGAGAAGATAAAGAAAGAGAGAAGAGAGAGGAGAAAATGAGAGAGAAACGGTCACAGAATCTGAGTGAAATGAGTAGAATACTCTCAGGTCTCTCAACATTTTACTTGTTCGATTTTTCGCCTAAAATTCGAATGTTGCTTTATTTTATTCTTGTACGAATTTCGTGTAATCCGGGGCGTTAATATGGTCAAAATATCGTATAAGGAAAACAAATCTATGCGACTCAATTATATCCACAATCGTGTATACCCTGCGAAATTCAATTTATTTGTATTTTGATTGAATTCAGATTATTTATCCAACAGTATATGAAAAAAATATATATATATTTTCTTAAAGATGCATTTAATTTATATGATAAAAAATTATTCATATTTTCCATAAAATAATGTTACTTTCTTTTATAAAATGAAACTATAATCCCCTATTACACTTTCATATTTTTCAATAATTAATAATATAAATCTCAAAAAACTGAAAATTAAAGGATTTGTTTGGTTTTGATTTGAGGGCGAGATGTTAATTTAAATTTTAGTTTTACAAAATAGTAAAAATTATATGGACTAAAATAGTGATAATTTTTAATTTTTAATTTTAAATAGAAATCAAATGCATTCAAAAGAAGTTAAACTTTGTTTGATTTTGATTTGAGTTTAAAATTTTGATTTGAATTTTATTTTAAATAATATTTTTGATACGAGAAAAAAAAAATATATTTTTTTTATTGAGAGTAGTATAAATTAATTAATACTCTTTATGTTCCATATCTATATATTCATTTAGTTTTTGCACGGAGTTTTAGAAATATTAGTATTATAATGGAATAAAGTAGAAATAAAGGTAAAAAGATTAAATTAACCATATTAGTATTATATGATATAAAAGTAATGATATTTGTGTAATATATTGTAAATTGGAAGGGTATTTGTAATGTTAGGTAGATAGTACAATTACTAAAAAGGAATGGACCAAAATAAAAAAATAAATAGATTTTTAAGGGATAAAGAAAATATTTAATTTGTATCTGTATTTGGAACGCAAACTAAATATACCCTTACAATAATATTCCATGTATATTTTATAATTATTACAAAGCATTATACATTAAATAAAATATAGCACAAATAATCGTATTACAATGGTAACGCATAATATTGCAGGTATATTATTTATCATTACCCAAACATAATATGAAATAATATTATATATATATATATATATATCTGTAATATTGTTGCATTTCATTTGATGGAAAAAAACGCGGGTTTTGTTTGTTTGTATTTTCTTTTTTAAAGTATAGAATGCTAAAAAAAAAATTGTGAGAGAATAGAATATTAAGTTTATTTTATTTTATTTTTTTTGACAACATTTTGGATAAATTTTCAGTCGAATCTAATACCCTGTCAATTAAGTCTGATAAGACAAATTATACTAGACAAATATGAAAAAAAGATAAATACTCTGTGTATTGTAATTAATTCAAATCATTATCTAAAATAGGAAAATTTGGAAAACAATTAAAAATCTAAATTAATTTGTGTTATTGGAATAAATTTCAAAAATAAAAAATGATTTCAGTTAGAAAATTAGAAACCTAAAGTTGCATTATTTTGTTTCACGCTATCATTCTTATATATACTCTTCCAAACATGGCCTTATTATTATTATTATTATTATTCTGAAATATATAAAACTTTAAATAAAAATTATACAATAATGTTTTTATTTAGTATATATTACTCTCCTGTCCCAATACAATAGTCTTATTTATCATTTTTGTCCGTCCCAAAATAATAGTCTTATTTTCATAAATAACAATATAACTATAAAACTATCCTTACTTTTTCATTATTATTACACAATTGCCACTACTTTTTAAATTAATATACTCACAAGGGCAAAAAAGTCTTTTACTTGTGCTTTTTTTACCAACTATCAATATAATATCAATATTCCTTATATCTTGTACCAAATACAACCAATAGTATACTTTTGGAATGAAAGGAGTATAAAATAGTATAAATATAAGGTGAAAAGTTTGTTTGATTAGTAATTCAAACTAGAAATTTTATATTCAACCCACACTAGTATTAAAATATCATTCCTATTTATAATATACTCTCTTCGTCCCTTGACAATTTAACCATTTTTTCAGTTTGGTCCGTCATATAGCAAAATATCAATTTCTTTTTTAATAATTGTACTATCTAACTAACATTATAAATACCTTTACAATTTACCATATATTACGCAAATGTCATCACCTTTGTATCATACAATACTAATAAGGTTAGTTTAGTCTTTTTACATTTATTTATACTACATTACAATATAATACTAATATTCCTAAAACTCTAAACAAAAGTAAACGAATAGATAGACAAGAGACGAAGGAAGTATTATACAAGTATGATTATTTTTATATTGGACAATTTTAATAAAAACGTTGTTATTAATTTTTAATTTTTTTTTAAAAATTTATACTATAATATAAAACTAATGTCGTTTATCTCACTAAAAAAGTATCAATTTTTTATTTCAAAAAAAAAATAAGTATACACTAATACCAAAATATTTTTTTAATTTTTACTTAACTGACAGATATACTATTACATATACAATTACATGATACATAAAGTCAAATAGTAGAAATGTCGAAACCTCTTCTACAATTCAATTAGCCAATAAAATACTACTATTATTTTTAAATTACTTTAAAAAAAAAAAAAACCAAAAGAGCCTTTGTCTATTGGAACGGAGGGAGTATATTCTAATATTTTTTTTTTCAGTCACACTAGTATCTAATTTTTTATTACAATAAAAATAATTAAACAATAATATCAAAGTATTCTTTTAATTTTTAAAATAAATTACAAATGTATTATTACTGGTACAATAAATTTAAACATTACTATTACAAAAAACACGCCAAACAAAATATTCCACTTTGAACTCAGGATTGCTCAGATTTTAAATATTTTGCCATCCTAATAAATAACTGCTCACCCTCACAATAAATAATTTATTCCCATTATTTAATAATAAATAATAAATAATAACCAACACCAGAAAATATTCACAAAATAATAAAATAAAATTACCAATAAAAGCAGGGGGGGTTGTGGAGAGTCTTCTCTTCTTCACCAAAAATGGAGCTTCTGTTACAGTAGAGAGAAAGAAACACACATTTCCGATTTCCCCCAAATCAAAAACCCTAATCAAAATCCCCCGCCATGTACAACTCGCCGGCGAATGCCAGCTCCTCCTCCTCCGCCGCCGCCGGCAGGCAACAAGGCATGTCGTCTTCCTATCCGATTCTCCACCACCACCACCACCTCCAGGTGCAGCACCACCCGGTGATGATTCCCCTCCCTCTCCAACCGCCGCCGTCGCTGGTGGCGTCTGGCGGAGACGACGACGAGCTCCCCAGGCGCGACGAAAGGTTTCCTCAGTGGAGCAATCAGGAGACGCGCGATTTGATCGGAGTTAGGGCGCAATTGGAGTTCGAATTCACGGCGGCGAAGAGGAACAAAAACCTCTGGGAAATGGTGGCGGTTAAGATGAGGGAGAAAGGCTACAGAAGGACCAGCGAGCAGTGCAAGTGCAAATGGAAAAACCTCGTCAACAAATACAAGGTAGAAAAGCTAATTCCTCATCAATTATGTGCTTCCAATTCAGTCTCTTCTAGTTCTTCATTTCGATTCATCTCCAATCCAATCCTGCTTCGTATTCCGACTTATTTGTTGTTTTTGGATCGGTTGATTCTGATGACTGTTGTATCTCACTTTCTTTCGATCAATCCAATCCTACTTCTGTATTCTGAATCGTTTGCTGTTTTTGGATATGATGGATGATCGATTGGTTGATTCTGATGACTGTTGTTTTCTGTTCGTTTGTTTGATTGAGTCTTACAGTTTTACAGATCAATATTTGTCTGCTAAATGTTGTTGATGATGGAAAGCCTATTAAGCATTTGGTTCTACTGTTCTGCTTTTCAACATTTGCTATTTAATCGATTTTTGATCCAAATCCGAGCATTTAATGGCAATGAGACATCTTTCTGTTATTGTTTGAAAAGATCATTGCGCCTGGCGCCGCAGATTGATTGCGATGCGTCGAATGTAAGCACATATCTGTTCTTTATTGTTAGGATTGGGTTAGTTTTAGTTGGATGACTATAATTCTATGTTGTCTTGACTCGGACAGGCTTTCGATCCCAACATTTAATGACGATCACGATTGTTGCCCACCGTGTGGGATCAATTGATTGGTCGTGCATTCGTATTATCTTATCTCTACGTTCGTTGATATTTTGGTAATACGGATCGGTTAGTTGCGTGTGGTGTAAGAGTTTCGGAAACGTTGTAATCCGATGTTGTCTTTAACTGCAGGCTCAAGAAGCGTCCGACGTGGACAACGGTCGAGTCTGCCCATTTTTTGACGAGCTGCACGCGCTGTTCACCGCGAGGGCGAACAGCCCGAACGAAATCAACATCGGTGGGCGGAAGAGGGATCGAACTCCCGATGATATTTCCGACGAGGACGAAGAGACCGAAGTCGAGCAGACGGGCAGACCCCGAACCGCCGCTCTGAGACCAAAACCCAGCAAGGAGAAGCGGCCGAGAGCCGCGGAAAAAGAAAAAGAAAAAGAAAAAGAACCTTATACGACGACACCGACGATTCTCGATGCGCTCCAGGAGATACTGAGGAATTTCATGACCCAGCAGCAGATAATCGACTCCCAGTGGCGGGAGTCGATGGAGCGGCGCGCGGAAGAACGGGATATCTTCGAGCAGGAGTGGCGGGAGAAGATGGAGAAGCTCGAGAGGGAGAGGATGATGATGGAGCAGGCTTGGCGGGAGAGGGAGGAGCAGCGACGGCTGCGGGACGAGACTCGGGCAGAGAAACGGGATGCGTTACTCACGACTCTGCTCAACAAGCTCGTCGCGAACGACGACAAAAACCCGTAAGATGGGGATGTGATTTTTAACCTCTTGTTTTTTTCTTGCATTGATCATATACAAGAACTATAGGGATATATATATTGACTGTCGGAATGATTATCGATGCTGGGTTTCGTCTTCGATGAAGATTTTAGGGTCGAAACTATTAGGATGTTTTGGAATTTAAGATACATTGTTATGCTTTATTCGGTTCTTGTTCGAATGAGGCTTTTTGGCTAACTTAAAAGCTAGTTTTCTAAGAAGTTTATACATTCGACTACCCGACAAGGTTGCTACATTATCGTAGAGTCGAATCAATAGAATCTTCGTCTTTAGTAAATATGTAGGTGTATTAAAATTCAACTCTAATTCCCTATCGCCAAATGTAGGTTATGTGAAGAGTTATTTTAACCTAATTCTCGTCTACTTATCGAATGCTCCTATGGTAGAACGAGCAACAACCTTAGATCATCGAATGCTCCTATGGTAGAACGAGCGACAACCTTAGATCATTCTAGTCGCGTAACTACGAATTAACTCGCAGCGGTTAAGGTGCAAGGTGCTAAATGATACATCGCATATACATGTACAATATATTAATATATAATATAAATGCATCCACCGTTGATCTCAGTATATATCATATGCTTAGCACAACACATTACAAACAACATTATGTTAAATATAATATAATACAATATATGAACTGACAACATATAACAATAGTCCACGCAATATAATCTCAGCATATATCACATTGTAATATTAGCACCATAACCAGCCGAGGATTAGTCTAACGCAGTCGAAAACAGTTTGATAACATAAATAACACACAAGGGCAGATCATAACTTCTGATAAAGAAATTTCGGAACTAAATCTAGTTTTCATTCATCGAGAAGCACCCCTACGGAAACCATCTACTGCAGAAACTAAAATCGATAGTCTCAGTTAATTCTTCAATAGCCCTACAGATTCAAGCCAAAAAAAAAACCAGCATCTCTACCTAAAGTCGTATCTTTATGCTATGACCAATTGTGTAGTAATGAATTCGGAGATGATATATATCTAAAATGCAAATAGGACTGACTCTATATTGAAACAAAGTTAAATGCAAATAGAGTTAAAAATAGAATGCAAATCCAAAATCAAACGGAATTAGAGTTGATCGCAAACGTAAACATAAATGCAAATTGGCATGATATAGAAATTTAATCTAAACCATAAATTAAATATCTAAAATATCTCAGTATTCTACAAAAACAGAGGCGTAATCGGATGAATGCAGTGGCGAATATCATCGATCTATCTGAAACATAAGCTTGTATTGAATGAACATACACAATTACATTGGTATAAACACAAAGCATGAAGATTGAAATCCTCCTCAGTCAAATTTTATAGTGATAGTTCCATTACATCAATATATTGAAAGTTGTTACCAAAATTATTATGCTATCCGGAGTTGCTTGGCGCCTTTTCTTTTGGATGCTTGGAAGCATAATGATCAACAAGCTGATTCTGATTTGCTAGCTGAACCTGAAATCACGAATACCTAATGAATACTTTCTACTAAGTTATAACCTGATCTGATTAATCATCGAATTTGATCAACTACCAATTTGAATGGAAACGCAGGTTTGGCAAATGTATGCAGAAGATATTCAACAAGTTTTATGCAATCGTGGTAGGTTTTGAGTTTTTAATAAATTGATTCGCAGAAAATTGCTAATGGAGAAGTAATTCTAATTTGAAATTACATTACGCAGTAATTCATTGTTATATTCATCTGCAACTGAGAAGAATTCAATCCATCCATGGAGGCAAATACAGATCCAATCGGCGAATCGAAGAAATTAGTGCTTGCGTGGGTGCGGTGAATTGGAAGTAAACAAGGATTGAAGGAATTAGTACTTTGCAAATAGGGCAGATGACTCTGAGGCCGACGGCGCGTGCTTCGAGCTGCGAGCCTTTAGGCTTCTGGTTCTTCTCGGCGTTCTTCTTCTGAGCATCGATCTTCTGCTTCCCTCTCGTCATCTCCGCCGCCGCCGCCGCTGCTGCTGCTAGTGCTGCTTGATCTTCCGTCGTCTGTGATTGGGCATTCAATCGGAAATTACTTTATTTATTGAAATAAATTATATATATAGATATTTTTTTTTCAATTTCAGAATTGATACTGTAATTTTATTTATTTATTTTAATTTAGATTGAGTGTTTCTTTTCAAATTGCATTAAGTTTATATACTTATGTTTTTCATTTAAATAATATTTTGTTATAAAAAAAAATAAAAACAAGGATGACAATTGGGAGTAGACCAGCTGCCACGACACGATAATAAACAACCTATATACAGATCAATACAAATTCGACACAATAATAAACAAATTAGAGCTAAAATATTCAATCCGTCTAAAATATTTAATCAGACACGAAAAGTCAATCTTGCCCTGTCCGAGAAAGTTCATTTTTTTTATATTTGAAATGGGTTAATGAATTTTATGATTTTAAATCTGATTGAATTATGCATTTCCTTTTGACAAAAAATTTCCAAACCGATTCCGTCTCAAATTCGTTTAAATTAATAAGACAGAACGACGATGATCTCAAACAACGTTAAACTTCCTTCTCCGGCCAAACTTTCTGGGCAGCGGCGGCGGCGGAATGCCGCAGTCGATCGACGATGCCGCCGCCGCCGGGTTTCTGCAATCTGCTTATAAGCCATTGATACTCAGCCAATGCATCTTCGGACAACGGTTCCAGAAGCTCACATTTCGACAAGATATCGGCCGGGGGAACATTGGCGACGAGATTAGTCTCCAGCTCCGGCCTCCCTTTTCTCCGTTCTCGGGTCTCTCCGCCGGCGGCATTAAACGAACTTGGCGATGCACCCGCAACGATCTCTTCCTTGAATGGCACGGCTCTCTCGGGTTGCGAACTAAAGTCGAGCCATTGCTCGACGAGCGGCGATGGCCCTCGGACTCTCCCGCCGAATTTGTCCGAATCGATTCTCGAGGTCGCTGGAATTACCTACACCGTTACGAGATTCAATATTACGACAAATTGACGAATCAAATAGGAATCGAAGAACTCGATAATTGTGAATACAGTTCAAGAATTATCAAAAAATTCGATGTGTTCACCCGATTCCCAATTAATAATACCAAATAAAACATAATATATACACTCTCACAATATATATAATATATACTCTATTTATTTAGAGATAGTTGTCACTTCAATATAAAATGTTATTTTTTCTATTATTTCCCATATCTAACATGAAATAAATACAAAAAAATACAAAATGAACACACCTATTGAATAAGAATCGGAGAACACGGAAATTGTGCATATAGTTCGAGAATTATCAAAAAATTCGACCACATATCGGATGTGTTCAAACAAATCCCGATTAATATTACCCAAAAAACACAATAGATACACACTCTCACATTATATATAATATATATACTATATTTACTCAGAAATAGTCGTCACTTCAATATAAAATATTATTTTCCATCTCTAACGTAAACTAAATACCAAAAAACACAAAATGAACACACCCATCGAATAAGAATCAAAGAACACGAAAGTTGTACATATGGTTCAAGAACTCCCAAAAGTCCAACGACATATAGAATAGGAATCGAAGAACTCGACAATTACGCATACGGTTCAAGAATTACCCAAAAGTCATGTCACAAAATATCACATCAAAATACTATTAAAACCAAAACTCAATCAAAAAAAAAAAAAAAAAACCCGAAGAACACGAATAATTGTGCATACGGTTCGAGAATTATCCAAAAATCCAACGACATATCAAATAGGAATCGAATAACACAAATAGTTGTAAATACGGATCGAGAATTACCCAAAAGTCCGTCCATAAGCTCGTGCCTGACTTAGGAACCATCACCGAAACATTCGACATGGTTTTGGCGACGGGGAGTACGTCGCTGCTCCATCCAACGGCTACCCATACGTCTCCGCCTCTGAAGGCTTTAAGGTAGTGCTGACTATCGAATAGTCGAACCTGTAAAACAGCTACATAATTTCGGGGCGGGAGAGTTGTAATTAACGGAATCTACGCTATTTTTTTCGCACCTGTCGAACGAGCAATTCCAGCTGCTCCAACACTGCCTGTTTTCCGCCAACTATTTGCAAGTCGAGACTCGAAGCATTATACGATGCTCCCATGTGTTTCAACACTGCTCCAATAATCTCCCGGGGCGAATCAACCATCGCAATCTTTCCAGCCAGTTCGGGCCGCCAAAGATCCGACCAGTCCTGCTCGACAAACGTCATCTTTAGCACCCAATACATGATTAAAAGAATAAGGCTCAAAAACAGAAAATTCGATTTTTTCAGTCTACAATTTTTTACTATTTGGATTCTCCATTTTTTCTTTTTTTCTCACAACATATTATATCGAACATTATTTAAAGATGACTTAAATTGAAACCATTATTGCAATAACTAGAAATTGAGAGGCTAATGATAACTTTCGCGACATTATAGGATTACTAAAAACAGAATCGGACCGTTAAAAGGTGAAAACTAAAGTGAGAATCCAAGAAAGATAACAATCACCTCTATTGCAGCAAATTTACGCTTTCGAAGTTCCTTTTGATTACAAGCTATCACCATGCTGCCCCACCGGTACGGCACAGCCCAAATTTTTCCTTGCGAATCAAGACTCCCGTCGGAGCTCCTGTGTAAATATACCTGACATTATTTCAGAAGTAAAGCCAATGTGGTCTTGGAAGCACGAGGCAAACGGCAATCGAAGGAACAAAACGAAACATTAATGCCGTGAGAAATTAGGGATGAAATTATCGAAGAGGACCTAATTCACACTCACTTTCTTTGACTCGGAAAGCATACTTTAAGGTTGATCAATATATAACACCGATCACTACACTACAATTGAACTAATTCATATAACCTTTACAAAGCCAACTAATGAAACACAAAGGAAATCCGAAAATCGCCATTCTCACCTTCCACTTGTAGCTTAAATCTCGAAACCAATCTTGATGTTCGGCTCCTTCAATGGGCTCGATCAACCCCTTGCTGATGGCATAACTCAGCCAAGAATCACCAAGAGTGACAAGATCAGCAGCCACAGCAGATTTAGCAGCAATTTTCCCTTTCTTAAATGGATTTGAAAGTTCCTGAAATATGTCTTCGAGACTCCTACGAAACTCTGGACGAAATCGCACTCTCTTTCCTTGTGATTTCAAGAACTCCTGTAATTATAACATTAAGGGTGTGTTTGTACCTAGAATCAAATTACAGAGAAATAATAATAGATCATAGAATTAATTCTTTTTATTAGTAAACCACAGTTCAATTGAAAAATGAAAAAATAAATAAAATTGCAGTGATTCAGAAAAAACAATGTATTACGAATGGAAAAGGAGATGATGGATCGATCAAGAGGAAACAGTAATTGAACAAAAGAGAGTTTTTGTGAAATGAGAATTTGTCGTGAAAGAATTCCTTTGTGTTTAGTTAGTAATGTTTTTTTTTTTTTTTCAAATAATAATTTGAATGCCATTTGTAAAATTAAAATAGTGTATTTTTAAAGAAAAATTTTTAAAGTTAAATAGTACAAAAATAAATGATAAAAAAACAAAAAATTAACAAACACACCTTACACATTTCTCAATTTTCATTTCTCCGGATTTTTCTGAACTTGCAAGAGAAATAAAAATAAAAATTGAGAAATCTCAATTTTGAATTATCCAACCAAACTAGGGAAATGAAAGAATTTGTTTGCCCAACCATTCAACCATTTTTTTTTTATCATGATTCTCAATATATAATATATATTTTATCATTTAAAAAAAGAAAACATTCAACATAAAATATTATTTTTTATATTACTGATATGATTCTCTATACCTCAAACTAAAATACTAAACAAACAAACCCGAAGATATTTACATTTCTCTATCCCAAATTTTCATGTGCCAAACACACCCTAATCGTCAACCTTAGAGCTCTTCTGCAAAATTCCACAACTTCGACTCGATACGAAGAAGATGAACAAATAAGCTACAAGCATGAACAATATAAGATAAATTCACAAAAACACACCCGAATCCACACCGGAGGCAGGGAACCTTCCAAAGCAACTATTCTTAGGGGAACTGTCAATGCAAACGATTTAGATTTAAACTTCTCAAATGCAGCTTTCGTATCTTCGTCTTCAATGTCACCTAAATTTTCATGATCCACCATGGCAGTTTTGGTTTCTGTTAACGGACAAGGTAATTTTAAAATATCGAAATATTTCTTGTTTGTTTGAATCAGAAAAATCAAACCTGAGAAAAAGACATCCTCTATTTTTATTTCTCTTTCATGCATAGAGAACCAGAGATAAATGAAAATTCTTAAACGACATTCATTTGGTAACTTTTTTTCATGTTTTTTACTATTCAACTTTCACAATTTTCTATAAAAATACATTATCTTTTACTCACAAAAAGTTAAGTTCAAATTATCATCTTTCTCTTCACCCACTGCAATGCAATATATTACCTATTCAGCTTAATTCTTGTTTTACCATTACCAAACACAAGAATCAAGAATTCAGTGATTACTTTTAGGTTTTTTTTTTTTTTTTTCATTCCATTCTCATACCAAACTCCCCTAAATTGCTCCCGGCTAATTATCTACAACTGAAGGAAGCTGTTGATTCATTTTCACACAAGAAACTGGCCTAAATTTTCTACAATTTGAAAATCTCAACAACACGAAATGAAATTCCATGATCCAATGAGAAATTTACAGGCAGCATGATAAAACCCTAATTTATGAAGGTACAACAAACGTAGCACGGGGTACATCCCTAATTTAAAGAGGAAAGCATATTACCTGTACCGAGGTTTTCACGCGGTTTGGCCATGGAGGAAGAAGAAGAAGCGGGAGAGATTAGGGCCAGAGCAGGAGGAGAGAAGGCCCATAGGCTGCCAATTCCTGCGCCCATAAGAAGAACCGTGGAAACTGATAGCCGTCGGAGAAATTCCGCCGCCGGTGAACATGGATTACCGTTCGGTGAAGAGGCGAATTTAAGGGACAGGGTAGGGGTAGGGCGGAGCGGAGCCAATTTTCCGGTCGTGGTCGACCTCCGGCAGTGATAACCGACGCCAGCCGGAGTGGGGAGATAGTGAACGGCCATAGTTGATGGTACAGATTCAAGTCAGATATAAAAGTACAAATGTTGTAAATTTATTTATATTTTTTCACAAAATATTACTCCGACGTCCCAAACATCATGCAATATTTCATTTTTTTGTTTGTTCCAAATTTACTGTAACATTTCCAAATTTAAAAATAATTAATAATATTTATGTATATATATTAATATATATTTCACTTCATCCATTATATCATTCAAATAAAAAAAAAAAATAATCATTTATCTTTTCAATCACGTCACTTAATATTCAAATTATCTCAAATTATCATACTTTAATACTCTCAATATAAATTTTCGTGCCAAAAACAAATATTGCACGGTGTTTGTAGTGTTTAAGACGGACGAAGTACTATTTAAAATAAAATTCAAATCTAAATCAACACAATCATTTAGCTAGGTGATTTTTTTATCTTTTTCAAATTTAAGATTGTTAAATGATACTTATTAAACTATATATATTTTTTATTATTTTAAAATTTTTCACTAAAAATACATAAAATTGTTCATAATTCAGAATTTTTTTTTTTAAAAAAATTGCATTATGCCCTTATATTTTAAAAAATATTGTATAAAATTATCTGTTATGCAAAAAAATATAAATATAAAATCATTTGTTATCACACAAGGAGGTTTTAACTTAGTGGAATTTTATGCAATGTAATATTTTTTAAAATATAAACGAAATTTTAAAATCAAAATAGAGTTAAGAACAATTTTACCTTAAACATATGAATATATATTTTAATAGAAAACATTTATTATACACCTTTAAAAAGAAAAAAAAAAAGTTGTAGTTTGTCATGTTTGACAGTGTAGTAGTTTTATAGTACTATATCGGCTCTTAGAGTCTCAATTATTTTTTTTTTGTGTTAATTTTTTAATATTAATTATTATATAAAAATAAAGTACAAATTAAGGCAAAATGACAAAAATACTTCTTTATCCTGTAATACTATTATGATGATATTTGTGCAAAAAATTATACATATACAAAAATATTTTTAATATTAAATACAATAACGCAAAAGATTAATAGGACCTTATTGCCGGACGAAGGGAACATATCTTTATTACTTAATTTTCATTTTTCTAAAGAATCAATTTCAACATATTTATGGTATATAATCATAATTTGAATTTGAATTTAAATAATATTTTATATAAAAAAATATATTTTTACATTACATAATGAAAATATTGAAATAGAGTGCAAATAAAATAAATTTGTACAACAACACAATATTACATTTATTTATAATATATTAAAATCTTACAACATATTCACTTACTAAGTATGTGTTTTCAGTTTTTATCATTCATACTAAACAATGTTGAATAATAAATATATTGTTTATTTTATTGTAAAATACATAAAAATAAAATTTTTAACAATTAATAGCAAAAATTTAAAATTTCTTAAACGATAAAAGAAATCGTTATTAAAAACTTTAACACAATATGCATTCGAATAGCTATAGTTTGCGTAGTATCAATGGAGCTCCGTATTGAGGTTGTAATGTTAAGACAGCGCGGGGAGCATGAGTGTAAGAAGGCGAGAGCTCGAATACGAAATTTTGAAGAATCATCGTTAAGGCGAGTTTTGCTTCCATGACGGCAAAGTTTTGTCCTAAGCAAATCCGCGGCCCCCAACCGAATGGATAAAATGCCAACTCGTCGTGATCTTTACCCGCCTTGGAAACTCCTTCGGCAAATCTATCTGGCTTGAATTCCTCGGCATCTTCTCCCCAATATACGGGATTGTGATGAAGCAACAACGTTGGTAGTACGAGGTTAACGCCGGGTGGGATGATTTTGTCCCTGATTTTTATTGCTTCATGTGTGTGTCGGACGGTAATAGGTACTGAAGGGTATAATCTCAAGACTTCTTGCAAAATCATCGACACCTGTAAAAGACAAAAAAAAAAAAAAAGTCTACTTAACTGTGTTTTTGGATTTAATAAACAGATCGACTACTCTCTCCATCTCGAATAATTTTGTTAGTTGTATTTTTTTGAATGTCTGTTAAACTTATTTATAATTCATTTATAGTAATTTTTTTTTCTATTTATAATTTTATTACTCATATTTTAATAAACAATAATTATTTTTTACGATATTATTTTTTAATGATTCTTTAATGCGTGTATATATATATATATATATATATGGGCATGAGTCAGTGGTTGATCCAATCAAGTCACCGTGATGCTGATTTGACCGAATCAACATATGCTATAGAGATGATCAACATATATTTATAAACATATGTTGGTCACCCACATGACATATGATGATCCGATCAAATCAACATGTTGATTTGGCTGGATCAACACAAGATCTAATACTGTTATTATTATTATTATTATTTTTTTATGTATCTTACATTTATATTAAAAATATTAATATTTTTAATCTTCGTACTCAATAAAAATAATATATATATTTTAGATAGAGAGTGTATTATACTTATATAGTGATACGTTCTCTTACTATTTTGAGTTGGTTTAGAGTTTTGACGTCGGGGATTTTCTTGCCAAAGACGTGGAGAACTTCTTCCCGGGCTTTTTCTTGCCATTGTGGATGCATTGACAAGACGATCATTGTCCACATGAGCCAATTTGCGGTCGTCTCTTGCCCTGCAAAGTAGAACAATTTGCACTCTTCCATTACATCATCGATAGTCATATCATTACCGGATTGCTTTTGGCTCTTCAGAAGCAAACTCAACAAATCTTCGTCGCCACCCATTTCTCCATTCCCTATTTTTCGTTCTTTCTCGAGGATCATATCTCTCAACTTTGCTTTTATCGCCCTGTCGATTTCATACATTCTTCGATTCCTCTTAGTTGGCAAAAACCTACACCAAATTGAGCAATATCAATGCTTGTATCCTAAATTTACAATGATGTATTGTTTATTCATTTTACAAACTCTTTTCATATGTTATATTATTTCTGTCCATCAAATTTACTCTCATATTTCACTAAATTTATCTTAATTTTAATTTTATCAAAGTCAATTGTTACTTTTCATTTACTACTTATTTACAACGAAGGTCAATATCTTTATTATATTCTTTTTGTCTGTAAAATTTACTTTCAACATTTAGCTAAATTTGCCTCAATTTTTAATTATGGCAAAGTATTATTTTTCATTTACTCTTATTTACCACAAATATCAATATCTTTATTATATTATTTCTATTAAATTTTTTAAATTTTTAACTAAACTTCAGAAAATATTTTCAGCTATTTTTTTTATATTTATCATTTTTCAATAAAATATTTATTTTTATTAATCTTCACGTCAGATCCAAATGTGCTAATTTTACTAGTCGAATGGAGTACTATTCAATATTCATGTCTTTTTATATATATATATATATATTTAATAAAACATCATATCCAAACTACTAAATTTGTCAAAGTGAACGCATTTTTAAGTGACGGAAAAATTATTTTATTTTTTTTTTAAATAAATCACCAACTGAACACATAATTTTTCTTAATAGCCCATAATTATATACCTTGAACCCGGAAAATACACGGTGGAAGCTGCGTCAAGAACCAATGCAGCTTGCTCCTTTTGAAGCTTGAATATCGTCTCGGCTTCTTCGAAGCTCACCCCAAACGCTGCTCGGGCAATGATGTCCGACGCAAGGCGATGCATCTCCGGCGCGATATCAAGCTCAAGGTTTCCACTAGAACCCTCGATTTTGTTCGTCAATCTCTCGACTAAGTTGCTACAACTAGTTAGAAACGTCGGTATCATTCCCTACCGGACATGGACAACATATATATGTTATAACGTCACATTCGACAATTATATATTCTATATGTTCTCACTTTTATTTTTTAACTCACATAAAAAATACTCATTTGTTTTTAATTAAAATTTTATATTATAAAGAGTAAAAATAATATTTTATTCATCACGTGAAAATAATGGCATTTTTATACGACAGAGAGAGTAAAAAATACAAAATAGTATAAAAGTATAATTAAATAACGAAGATAGTATAATCAGTCTGTTCACTCAACATTTTTTAATGGAATAATTCTTCATAAATAATATTAAAAAATACAAATATACACACAATATTAATATAATATATATCATCTATTCAAAAAAAGGCAAACATTCAACACAAAATATTACTACCTCCGTTCGGTTCTAAGGGTCCCATTTACTTTTTGTATGTTGATATTTGAATATTAATTATTATATCAAAATGTAATACAAATTAAGAAAAAATTGCAAAAATACTTCAATATTAGTGTCCTATAATACTAATAGAAAGAAATTTGTACAAAAAATTATATAAATATAATGATATTTTAATATTAAGTACAATGCCGTAAAAGGTAAATGAGATCGTTAGAGGTGGACAAAAGAGAGTATTTTTTATATTACCAATACAGTTCCACATACCACACAAAAAAATCAATTCATCAACCGACTGAATGCTTTTATATTTTTACTATGTATTTAAATAATAATTTCTTTAACCAAAATTTCCGAAATTTACTATTTGTACTCTGCATTTCTTTAAAAAATATATTTTTTCATCTCATAAAACATTCCATCAAACATTATTTTAATAACTCAAACTAATTTTTTTCAAACTCAACCAAAAGAAACACCCCTAATCACTCCAAATTAACATCAAACCCAATAAAATTTGAAAATAAAATAAAAATGAAGATAAAGAAACAAAAAGCTCTGTTTATTCTGTATTTTCGGATTGATATACTCATTTCCTCCGTCTCTAAATCTCACATTTATATTTTGCTTCATCGTACTTAACATTAAAAATATCTTTATATTTGTATAATTTTTTGTAAAAATGTCTTTCTATGAGTATTATAAAACACTAATTGAAATATTTTTGTATTTTTTTTAATTTGTACCGCGTTTTGATATAATAATTAATATTAAAAAAATGAACACACAAAAAGTAAACGAGACCCTTGAGTCGGACTGATGTAGTATTTTTTATACTCCTGTCATGTACGAAAAATCATACTCCCTCCGTCTCATTATAATAGTATTATTTATCATTTTTGTCCGTCCAAAAATAATAGTCTTATTTTCATAAATAACTATATCTCCATAAAACTACCCCTACTTTTTCATTTTTATTACACAATTGCAACTACTTTTTACACTAATACACTCACATGGGCAAAAAAGTCTTTTATCCATACTTTTTTATCAATTATCAATATAATATCAATATTTCTTAAATATTTTGTCTTACCGAATTAAGACTATATTTATAGAACCAGGGAGGAGTATCCAATGAATAATATATATAGTACTATTATATATATTATATATTTTTTAATAATATTAATCAAGAATTATATCACTAAAAGAAAATTAAGCATATCAAAAGCTTACTAGTACTTACGAGAAGTTTATCATGGTGGAAAGCAGGGCTGACTAATTTCCTTCTGGTCTCCCATCGACGCCCTTCCAAAGTTGATACCCCCAAAGTCAACAGCTTCACCAGAGGATTCCGAGGAACCTTCTGGAAGCTTCCATCTCTAGCGTTTAGAATCTGTCTTATTATCGCTGCATCGGCGACCACCACCTGGGCCGTAGTCCCGTGCCAGCTGCCCGATATCTTCCCGTGCTCCCGGACCATCCGGTCCCAGTACGGCTGGACACGTGGCACGATATCGTGGCTCAGCGTCATCGGCTTCGCCGCCGCCTCTGACATCAGCTTCTTCGCCTCCTTCAGGTCGCCTGAAAACAGCCGGTAAGAACTTCCGGCGACGCCGATCCGCCGGAAATATTTTTCCAGGCTTTTGGGCTTCCACCAAACACTGTAGAAGATTCTTATACTGCAAAATATGAACATTAACAAGAAAATATTCAAGATTAATTTTGAGATTAATTGGAAATCCATGATTTCCATTTCAACTTTTTTTTTTAATGGAAGAGATGATGAAATTTGAGATTTTTTGTGGGTTTTTATTTATTTTTGGTGGGGGGCAATTTTTGTTCACATTTATAATGAAGGAAATTATTGGCCATTATTGTGAGGCTGAATTTTTATTTTATTTGAATTTTATTCTTATTTTTATTTCTATTTTTTTGACTTTTAGCGGCAGCTGGCCGGCGAAGATGTTCTTTCTTTTAAAAAAATAAAAAATAAATATAAATAAATAGAAGAGTCAAATGGAACGGTTAGGGTGCTGTAATAAATAAAAATTGTTACTATAAATGGATTCTTGAATATGGTATTTTAAAGTATGTCCGATAAGAAACTATTCATTTGTAACATTAAAAATATTTTTATATTTGTATAATTTTTTATACAAAAGTTATTATATTAGTATTATAAGAGATTAATAGAAGTATTTTTGTCATTTTTTCTTTATTTGTAATAGAATTTGATATAATAATTAATATTTAAAGATCAACGCGCAAAAAGTAATACGAAGGGAGTATTTTTTCGTCCGCCTTGAGGGTCATGTTTACCTTTTGCATGAGTGTACTTAACATTAAAAATATTCTTATATTTGTATTTTTTTTTTACAAATATCCTTATATTAATATTATAAAACACTAATGAAAGTATTTTTGTAATTTTTTCTTAATTTGTACTACGTTTTGATATAATAATTAATATTTAAAGATTAACACGAAAAAATAAATGGTACTTTTAGAGCGGACGGAGGTAGTCTAAAAATAAATATTAATTTCATATTTATTATTTTACAAAAATTATAAATCTGTATAGTAATAATATATATATATATATATAATCCTTAAGGTGTGTTTGATTTATGTGTGTATTTGTATTATATATTTGAATAGTGATTGTTAAATGTAACACAACAATTAGTTTGGACTTTTGGTATTTTTTACTTTTAAAAAATATTATATTAGATATATTTTTGATTAATTATTATTATTTTTTATTTTTAAAATTCTAAAATTCTTCATTTTTTTTATCTAAACAATTTTATTTTATTTTTTTGTTTTTTTTTGCATGGTAATTTTTAAAGCATAATATAAATATTTAATTTGATTTTGAATATAAAATATGTAAGTAAATTGTAATTTGATGTTTAAAAAAATAACTAAAGAAAGAAAAAATACAATTAATAATGTGTAAAAATAATTGCAAAAGTACATCCAAAGCCATCTCATAAAGTATTAATTTAAAATATACAATAGGTATGATATGATACTCCCTTTTGTTCGGATTCAATATTGTTTTGAATTAATTATATATTTTTTAATAAAATTGTATTTTTTTATTCAATAAATTATTGTAAAATTATATTTATTGAGAACTTAAGAATGCTCGTCAAAAGAACTCCCCACTACTAAAACCTTGATTTAAGTTGCAAGCAATTTGTAGAAAATGTGTATGTATATATATTTTATATTTTAGAGAACCTACATAATATTTGTCATTTTAAAAAAAATAATTATTATATATTTTAATCGTATTTTAAATTTTAAATTTTAGAATATTTTAATCTTAATTAAATTAATAAAATATTACTCCTTTCGTGCCACATAATTTGTCCATATTTTTTATTTTCGTCTGTCTCACATAACTTGTCATTTTCTTTTTTTTTGGAAATCTTATTATCCACTTTAATCACATTTTAAATTTTAAATTTTATAATTTTTTTAAATCTTAATTAAACTATTTACTTCTTATTACGGAAATTCTAGGAAATCAAGATGGGACAAGAATTTGGTAATCCAGTTCGATCACAATGATCTACGTTTGGGGGCGCTGCCAAGTCAGAAATTTTACTATAAAGTACGCAGTCACATGTTAAAGTGAGAATACATGGATATTTATAGGCTAAGCCTATGCCAATAATATCTAAATCATATCTCTAAAATTTAGAATATAATATTTAAATCACATCCCTAAATTTTAGGATATAATCAGGCTTCATATCCTAACAATCTCCCACTTGAAGACTGATTTCATCTTCCACTTCAACATTTTACTTCACCGCAATGACAATGCCAAGCCTTCTTCTTCACTCATCGAGTTCCATTGAGGTTGAACACAACCTCAATTCATCTAAGGTCACCACCTTAGATTGTTTTTCAAGATTGCTCATAAATCGGCTCAATACTCTTACTGCACGTGCTTTCCACCTCCTAAAGGTATCAAAAGCATCATATTCACGCTTAAGGAAATATACCTCCCTTGTAACGTCGTCAATGATCGTGGTGTAGTATTGTGAGCCTCCAAGGGTCAATACAAAAGCTGGTTCCCGCAGATCCATAGGAACCAACTCCAACTTTCTATTTTCTAGGTCTCTCCCAACCTTTGAGAAGGCCATCTTTCGTTGCTTATCAAAGATACAGTCATCGCATATTCCAATATCGATGGACTTGAGACCTGACAATCTTCCCTTTGAAATGAGCTCCCCTATTCTTTTCTCGTTCATGTGTCCGAGACGAGAATGCCATAAATTTGTGTCATTATTTATGGCCACGGAACTGATTCCGTCTTGCATGCTTTTCGTCATGTAGAGAGTTCTATCTTTTCTCCCATGGGCCACCACAATGGATCATTGAGTTACCTTCTACGACTTTCTAAAACTGTCGAGTAACCTACCACATCCAATTGTCCCACGGAAATCAGATTCCGTTTTAGACATGAGACATGTCTCGGGTTATTCAGTCTCCACTCCCCACCATTCAGTGTTCTGATTCGAATCATTCATTTATCTACAATTTTAAGTGTCTCATCATCTGCAAGATAAACAACACCAAAACTGTATAGGATTCCATAATTCTCGAATCACTGCATGAGTGAAATGACGTTCCTGAGACCAAAATCCATGACTCCATCGAACTGCTGACGCTCAGAATCAGCGCATCGGATATCTCCTTCGTTGCATTTGCCGAATCCTGATCATTCTCCGACGCCCCGCACTCTCGTTTCAAGTGTCCCTTGCAATTCCAACATACCACCTGACTTGCATCTTCTCTGTCATTGTTCTTCGGCTTTAACTTTGACCATTCTTGATCTTCACCCTTTCCCTTAGCCTCAGACCTAAATTCAAGACATTCTCCCAAAGGGTTAGTTGAACCGCACTCATCGTCACTCATCGTCTTTCTGTCGATCTTCTTTTACTCAACTTCATCCATCTTGACTCTCACAAACAAACCTAAGGTTCACTTGATATAAGAGCACATCAGATATCTCTCCGCTGTGTTTGCCAAAACCCTTATCATTCCCTGCAAACTTTGCACCGCCTATCACAAAGGGACCCGCTGCCTGACTTACCGGTCGGGACTGACCCAACACCACAAGGAGACTTTCGACACAAGGCACCTCCGCAGGTCACAAGGGATTCCCACAACGACCCAATGTCCGATTCCTCTCAATCCACCCTACCAACGAATTAGACTCTGATACCACTTGTTATGGAAATTTCAGGAAATCAAGATGAGATAACAAAGACAAAAGAACACAAGAATTTGGTAACCCAGTTCGATCACGATGATCTACTTTGATCACGATGATCTACGTCTGAGGGTGCTGCCAAGCCAGAAATTCTACTATAAATTACGCAGACACATATTAAAGTTAGAATACATAGATATTTATAGGCTAAGCCAATGTCAATAATATCCAAATCCTATATCTAAAACTTAGAATATAATATCTAAATTATATCCCTAAATTTTAGGATACAATCAGACTTCAGACTTCATGTTTCAACACTTCTCTTAATTTTAATCTATAATTATTTTTACTAATACACTTCTTAGTTACATACTAATTATACTTTACTTAAATTCTTATATTTAAAGAAATATGCCCAAAATATATGAAACGAAGGGAATATAATCTTAATATATAGTGAATATTTATATTAATATTTTATTATTATTTATTAATTATAATATTTATATTTATCTTGCATTGGTTATCAAAATACTTTTGTACAAATCATCGTATCAAATAGTATTTATTTATCAAATTTTTATTATTCCCAGACTATTAAAATTCAAATTTCGAAAACACTCTTAAATACTCCATTATTCTTTTAACAAATTATTCAATTTTTAATTTTGGTCCATTTTATAACAAAATATTCATTTTTCTTTATTTTTTTTAGTGATTGTACTATGTATCTAACATTACAAATATCCTTATAATTTACAATATATTACACAAATATCGTTACCTTTATATCATATAATACTAATAAGATTAGTTTAATCATTTTATTTTTTATTTTTATTATATTTTAATATAATAATATTTATAAAATTTAAAAAAACAAATCAATAAATAGAAATGAGACGGGGAATATTAATTTTTCAATCATATATATTTAATTAATTTTGTTTTGGACTATCTTTTCATTTTCTTATTGGCCAACTAATTTTTGAAGAACGTCCTTTCAGGCTGCCGATTTCTGGGTTATATTAAATATATATATATATATATATTAATAATTTAGATAAAGAAAAATATTAAGCATTGTCGAATAGTTCCATGTTACTGGTCAAAATTGTACATCCCAAAGATCGATTCTGGTGGCGTTGACTTCGTAAAGTTAACGGCTAAGCAATATGCCTAATTAATTAATTATCCATAAATAAATAGGCCTTATATATATATATATATATATTATCCAGTAGCAGAAAATTAGGCAAAATTGCTTATAACTCCCTTGTGATTTCGAAACTCAGCGTAAATTCCCCATTTATTTTAAAAATTGCGTGACGTCTCTTTATACTTTAAAAAATGTTGCATGAAACCACTTTTTGGTTTCGAAACTCAGCATAAATCCCCATTTTACTTTAAAAAATTGCATGACGCTCACTTATACTTTAAAAAATATTGCATAAAACTCCCATGTCATACAAAACATATAGATAGTAAATCATCTTCTTATCACACGAGGAAAGTTTCATGGTGGTGGGGTTTCATGCAACGGATTTTAAAGTATAAGGGGGTACCATGCAATTTTTAAAGTACATGGATATTTTACACTGAATTTTGAAACCCCATGGGAGTTATAAGCAATTTTACCAAAACAAATTAGGCAAAACTTAATAATAATAGAAGAGGTAGACTTAAGTTTATAATACATGAGTTTTTTTAATATAAATGTATAAAATAATTTAAATAAAATTAATTACATAAAGAGCAAAAATATTTTTTTGGTGTCATTGAATTTTTTTTAATCATTTTTTTATATAATTTAAATTTAAATTTAAATTTATTATTCTATCTCATGGTAATAGAAAGAGATTGGGCGCGGGATATTGACTTGAACATGGTCATATTTCAAACCAATATGACTAAAATTGATCAACTTTAATTTGAATTGGAACAAAGTTTATAAAAAAATTTCAGTAAAATCAAAATTGATAATTGTGATTTACAATAAGACCAAAAATATTTTTTACAATTACATAAAATAACTTAAATAAAATTAATTAGATAATTTATATTTCCTCCGTCCCAATACAATAGTCTTGTTTATTATTTTTGTCCGTCCCAAAACAATAGTCTCATTTCCATAAATATCATATCACCGTAAAACTATTCTTACTTTTTCATTATTATTACATAATTGCCACTACTTTTTACACTAATATATTCACAAGGGCAAAAAAGTTATTTATCCTCACTTTTTACCAAGTACCAATATAATATAAATATTCCTTAAATCACGTGCCCAACCCAACAAGACTATACTTTTGGGACGGATGGAGTATTACTTTCGTTTGACTTTAAGGGTTTCATTTATTTTTTTTGTGTTGATTTCTAAATATAATTATATCAAAACGTTTTATACATTAAGAAAAAATTACAAAAATAAATATTTTATAATACTAATAGATATTTATAAAAAAAAAAAATTATATTCATGAAATTTGTGTATAGAATCTATTGATATATATATTGCTCTAATAATAATAATAATAATAACTAAGGCAAATAGCGTGAAGGCCTAACACATCTTCACAATTCACATGCCATTTAATGTGACAAATAAATAAAGTGGCTTTTGCCTAACTTCCTCCCCAAAAAAAGTGCCCCTCATTTTATTTTATTTTATTTCTTACACTTTGCTTATTCTTCAATCAATTTTCTTGCATCCCAATTTCAATATCAACTTCAAATCCTCTTATTTTACATTGTCCTAAAAGTAACACACACACAAAAAAAAAAAAATCAATTCTTACACAATCAAAATCAATGGCCAACTCCAACAACAAATCGAAGAAACCAATTCCCAATCTTCGATCAAATCTTGCCATAACTCTCTTCTTCATCATCGTCTTCACAATCCCTGCCTTGCTCCTCCTCCACACTCCCACAACCTTAATTTGCTCGAATAATCGATCCTCGTCGTCGAATGCCGCGCCGTGGGCCGGCGATCTTCGACGGGCCCGGTTTTCGTGGAATAGGCTCGATTTCGACGAAAAAAAACGGCCTCCCGAGGGGCTCAAAATCGCCGTTTTCTCGCGGAAGTGGCCCGTCGGGACCACTCCCGGCGGGATGGAACGCCACGCGCTAACGCTCCACTCAGCGTTGGCGCGTCGCGGCCATCAAGTGCATATTTTCACTTCTCCACCCGCCGTCGATCCCGCCAAAAGTTCGATCGTAAAATCGGACGACGGCAGGCCCGCGCCGCTGTCGCCGGTGTTGCATTGGCATGACGGCGAGCCGGGCCAGTGGCGGTACAATAAGGCGTGGGAGCAATTCGAGGAGGAGAGCCGCCGCGATGCGGCGGCGCCGTTCGACGTGATCCACTCGGAGAGCGTCGCGCTCCCGTTTTGGCTTGCGCGGGGAATCCCGAATCTCGTCGTTTCGTGGCACGGGATCGCGCTCGAGAGCGTCGAGTCGAGCATATACCAAGATTTGGTCCGTAAACCCGACGAGCCGATGTCGGCGGCGTTCAACGATAGTTTACGAGGAATGATCCCGAAAGTCCTGAACGAGATACGATTCTTCGCAGAGTACGCTCACCACGTCGCGATCAGTGATAGTTGCGGCGAAATGCTCACGGATGTCTACCAAATCCCGAGCGAGCGGGTTCACGTTATCGTCAACGGAGTCGACGAGCGCGACTTCGCGCAAGATTCTCGATCGGGGCGAGAATTTCAATCGAAAATCGGGATCCCGGAAAATGCGAGTCTCGTACTCGGAGTCGCGGGGCGACTCGTTAGGGATAAAGGCCACCCGTTGCTATACGAGGCATTCGACAAGCTCAAGATCGACAACCCTAACGTTTATTTAATCGTCGCGGGGTCGGGGCCGTGGCAAAATAGATATAAAGAATTGGGTCGACAAGTTATCGTTCTCGGGTCGATGAGCCCGTCGCAATTGCGCGGTTTTTACAATTCTATCGACATTTTTGTTAACCCGACGCTTAGGCCACAAGGGCTCGATCTTACGCTAATGGAAGCGATGATGAGCGGGAAACCGGTGATGGCGTCGCGATTTCCTAGCATTAAGGGGACAATAATCGTCGATGATGAGTTCGGGTTCATGTTTACGCCGAATGTAGAGTCGTTGCACGCGGCGTTGGAGTTGGTTGTCCGGGAAGGGTCGAAAAGGCTCGCCGAGAGAGGCGAGGCTTGTCGAAAATATGTAAAATCGATGTTTACGGCGAAGAAGATGGCCATGGCTTATGAAAGATTGTTTCTTTGTGTCAAGAATGAATCATATTGTACGTACCCTTGAAGTATCTTCTTCTTTTGTCGATCTTTTGTTTTGTTTAGAAAGAATTTCTGATTTATTTTATCAAGAAATGAGAAATGATGAACTAGGCTTTGTTTATATATGTATATTTAAAAGTTTTGATACTATTAATCAATAATAATTTTTAAAAGATATATTAGAATATATATATATATATATCTTTTACTATTTTAAAAATTCTTGAGAACTTTCCAAAACTTTTCTCTAAATGAAACTTTAGTAATTCAATCTTGCGGAGCTATTTTTTTTTTTTTTTTGGTTTAATGAAAAAAACTAAAAACATAAATTTATTACAAATTGTGTTCTTTGAAATGAATTGAGAGTACTTATTAATCCAAAATTGGCTTATAACAATTTGCAATGTTAACCCAATTGAAAAACAAAAATAAATAAATATGGGTATAAATAATAATCACAAAATATAAAATAAATGTTTTTTTTTTTTTTTAAAAAAAAAAGTTGGAGTCGGTGCCTATTCATTTTATACTTTGTATAATAAATTAAAAAATAATACTTCCTCCGTCCTATGTACAGTGTCTGCTATACTGTAGACACCGTATTTTAGGAGGGGTGTAATTAGTAGATAATTAAAAAGGTATTAGTGAAAATAATTATTCTATAATATAAATAATTATAAATTAATATTAAGATAACTAATTAGTTTAATTAAAATTAAAAAAAAAATAAATTAAAAATTTTAAAATGAGATTAAAGTGTATAATTATTTTTCAAAAAGTGAAAGTGACATGGTATATAGGACGGACATAAACAACAACATGGACATGGTATGTGGGACGGAGAGAGTAGTATTTTATTAGTGAGCGGAAGTGTGTAAAATGTTTGACATTTTTTTTTTTTGATTTTATATATAAAATAGTTGCATGTGTAATTTAAATAAAAATTAATGATATTTTAGTATTTATATATAATTATTCTTATTTAATAAAAAAATAAATACTTTTGATTAATACAACTAAAATAATAAAAATGGTATTTTGAATTTACGCAAAGTGAGTATAACACAATATTTTTTTACTTTTTTTTTTTTTACTCCCTCCGTCCCATATCTATATATCCATTTGTTTTTTGCACATAGTTTTAAAAATATTTGTATTATATTGTAAATATGCATGTCGAAAGTAAACAAACTAAATTTGATCAAAAATAAAGAATTAACCGTGAAATTAAATTAATCACTAAAGGTGAACGCAAACTCTAATCGGTTGTCATATGTTGTTTAGATAACCGATGATCAAGATACCTAAACTGTAAAATAATTCAGACATAAGTGTCGTAAGGACATCCTGTTGGTGCGGGCTTGGACGTGTGACACCAGCCACACATGGTTCACCTAGCGTGACTTGTTTGTCGCCTAGTTTACAGGGTATTAGGTTCGGCCGATGGTGGTTTACCCAGTGCGCACTTTCGGGTAGCGATTGCCGGTTCGATGTTTTCAGATCTTGGTTTTATAAATATGTTAAAAAATAGATTGTATCAAGTTATGACACAATAAAAATAATATATATTTACGGAAATTAATTTCGATTAAAAATGGAAGCCAAACAAACTCATAAATATAGAAATCATATAAATTTTTATGGGCCTCCTCTAAGGCCCAAAATTTCGGCCCAGTTAAACAAACCTAATTTGGGGCCCAATTAAGAAAATCAAACAAACCCTGAAAGTTCCCCTTCTGCTAAAACCCTGATTTCCCATTCCTCCACAGGGAAAGGGTCTAACGGCTATTCGGATCCTCCCGCAGAGCCCGACCCGTTTACCCGAGTCGCCTTCTTCGTGGCTCCTTCTCTGCCTCAAACCACTCGCTTTCTCCCCGACTCTCATGGCCGCCTCGGCGTCCTCCCCGAGTTCTCTGTAACATTTCAATTACACCATTTCCATCGAAGTCGCCGTCGAAAAAACGAGGGAGCGCTGCATCCGATAGTCGTATGGATATGAGAAGATTGGCAGCAGTCAATTCTACCGCCGCGACCAACTCCGCCGCCGCTGTCGTCCTGCATCCCATCAAACGCCCCCTCACCGCATCGCCTTACCCTTTGCCGAAGCCGCAAAGCCCTAAATCCCGACCCCCGGACGCCGCCCAATCGGATTTGGACGCGCCGGCGCCGGGGCCCTCTGATCGAGGTTTGGATTTGAGGAACCGTTTGTCGTCGATTCTGTCGAGTCCAAATTTCAATTCGTATCAGTGTAGGGATTTGTTGCCTAAATTGAATCCTCATCAGTTCGATTCCGTTTTCTGGGAAATGCATAGCTACGTTCATCCCCTTACGGCGTCGAAATTCTTTTATTTCGCTTGCAATTATTCCTGCTTTAGATTTACCCTTAGATCGTATTGCATTTTGTTCCACTTAATGCTTGCTGAAAATCTCGACGCCGCCGCCCGATTGCTGTTGATAAGATTGATCGACGGGAAGTTTCCGGTGACTTTGAGCTCTAATTCCGTGAATTTTCACAACCAGATTGTTGGTGTATTTGTGGAAACATTTTTCGAATCTGCAAAATTCAAGAATGGCCGAAGAGGAATTGATATCTTGGTTCATGTTTATGCAACTCAGTTTAGGAATTTAGGGTTCAAAGTTGTGATGGATGTTTTCAAGTTTCCATTACTTCAAGGATTGGTTCCATCGATGAAGACTTGTAGTGTTCTAATGAGTTCTCTTGTCAAGGCGAACGAATTCGATAAGTGTTACGAGGTTTTTGTTAGTGTGTTACAGCATTGTTCGCCGGATGTTTACTTGTATAGTATTGCTATAAATGCATTGTGCAAGGGAGGGAGGGTGGAGGAGGCGGCGTCGTTGTTTAACAGGATGGAGGAATCGGGTGTTGCGCCTAATGTTGTTACGTACAATAATCTTATGGACGGGTTTTGTAAGGAAAAGGGATGTTTGGTGGAGGCATTTCGGCTTAAGGAGAGAATGGTGGGAAGAGGGCTGAAGCCTACGAATGTTACGTATGGTGTTTTGATAAATGGTTTGGCGAGGCTCGGGAAATGTAATGAAGCTGTTTGTCTTTTGGAGGAAATGACGAAGAATGGAGTTTTCCCGAATGAGGTTGTGTATAACACATTGATTGACGGGTACGGAGCTGTGGGCGACATGACGGCTGCGCTGAAATTAATGGATGATATGCGGTCGCAAGGTCTTGTTCCGAATTCGGTTACTTACAATACTCTTGTGAATGGATTTTGCAAGGATGGGCGAATTGATTTGGCCGAAAAGTTTTTATATAGGATGGTGATGGAAGGGTTTAGTATAAACTTAGGTACGATAAATTCTACTATAAGTAGTCTGTGTAAGAAGTTGCGATTTGAATCTGCGTTTAGATTTACTGTTTTAATAATATCGAAGAACTTGCAGCCGAATGATGGATTGTTGTCGACTTTGATAGCCGGGCTTTGCCAAAACAAGAAGCACATGGAAGCCCTGAAGCTCTACGAAATTTTGGAGGAGAAAGGATTAAGGATCAATGTAGTGACATTAAATGCCCTTATTTTTGGACTTTGTAATGCCGGTGAATTGGAGGCGGCTAAAGTAATTGTTAGGAAAATGTTGGATAAGAATGTAAGATTGGATGCTTTTACGTACAATGCGTTAATTCGTGGTTGTTGCAAAGACGATAAGATGGAGATTGGTTGTAAGATTAAGGAGGAAATGGCTGGGAAAGGAATTCCTCCCGACATTGTTACTTATAACTTGTTGATGCAAGGATTTTGTAGCAAGGGTGAAATTGACGATGCACTTTTGTTATGGAATGAGTGTCGAAGGAATGGTCTCGAGCCTGATGTATGCTCGTATAGTATTATAATCGGTGGTTTTTGCAATGCCGAGAAAATTAAGGAGGCTATGAATTTCTTCGATATGATGCTGAGACAGGATATTGTGCCGAACTCTGTGGTGTTCAATATACTTATTCGAGGGTATTCTAGGATTGGAAACATGACAGAAGCTTTAAAACTATTCGATGACATGAGAAGCAGAGGCGTTTCGCCTACTGTTATTACGTATTCCTCACTAATACATGGAATGAGCAATGTTGGGCGCGTGGACAAGGCTGAAAACGTGTTTAATGAAATGAGGAAGGAGGGTTTGCGACCTGATGTTGTGTGTTACACTGCGCTAATAGGCGGGTACTGCAAGCTTGGTCGGATGTCCGAAGCAAGAAGGCTATTACAGGAAATGTCTGCATTCGGCGTAAAACCTAATGAGAAAACGTATACTGTCATCATCCATGGGTACTGCAAGTTGGGAAACATGGAGGAGGCGATGAAGAGCTTTGAGGAAATGTTAAGCAAGGGGATTGAGCCTGATTCGGTCACAAACAATATTTTGTCGTATGGATTCTGTAAAGAAGGGGAATTGGAAAAGGTCTTTGATTTGTGGGATCAGATGTCGGATAGAGGAGTTGATTTAGATGAAGTTGCTCATACTTCTTTGGTTCACTGCATCACCCGGGAAGTGCGTGTTGAAAATGATTAAATATGAGACGGTATGGTTTTACTGTGTGGAAAATTTCTCACAACTTTTGTGTAGATACACTGCATATTCATTGGACAAATTATGTGTTCTTGTGTAGGGTGCCGAATAAGTGTTTTTGAAAATGAGATTCTGTTACCTGCTCTAATATGTCGTCTTCGATATTCCACGAAAGATGGAGGGTATAGAGCACAGGCAATGTTTAGCAGGTATATAAATTACGGTACAAAGCATTTTCATTGATACTATTCATTAAAATTTCAACGCTGTTTCTAGCTTCGACATGGAAATTAGATCATACGAAAAGATCAAGAATTGTTCTCCTTAATTGAGAAAGATGGATTAAATATTGGAGGAATGGGCTTCTAGGTTTTCGATTTTGTTGCAAATATAGCTTGATGTTCTGCGCCGATTAGCTGACTTAAATATATTGATCTGACTTGTTTCGGTACTTGTTGAATTGTGAGGTATTTAGTTATATATTTAAGAACGGATTGCATCACAGAACCTTCTTTTAATTTTCATGTTTGTGATTCGGCTTGATCTTGATTTGCTAATTTGAAAAAGCACGCCATGGTATGCAAGTAATATCGTTATGAATCATGCCAACCATGAACTTGTAGACGTGAACCTTAGTGCTATGCTCTTAAAATCTTGTTTAATCTCTAACCCGAACCTGTTGGCACGAGCAGTATTAGGTTGTCTAGAAAAAGCTCTCATCCTATTAGTTCCATGTTTAAAGCGCTTGAGAGAGTTCGATTTGTATTGTGATGAGATTCTGTTGCGAACTATTCCTTATCGATTCATTATTCGCCGTATTGCATGACCGTATCATTAATAAACCATTTGCATCTTATTCTCATTACTTTTTTGAATTCTTGTGTTTGTAAAACGTTCTTTGAAGAACGGTATGTTACTGCTTTGTCTTTTTGTTGATCTGGTGTTGAACTCGTGCTTCCCGTCTTGTCGGCGTTAATTAGATTGCACAGAAAAGCGGCTCACAGAAAACCACACGCTCCAATTGGCTTTCGAGATTAGACTCCACTTCATTGATCCCTGACCGTACATAAGTCAAGGTTGATTAATGGCCAAATCTTTCCTTTACTATCGATCATTAAGTCCGCTATTTGTAAATTAAATGTTTTACACTGTGATACTCATTTTTTCTTTTTTAAAATTTAAGGAGAAACACATTTTTGGTTTTCTAACATAACCAGTCTCTACTTGCTCTTTAGCATCTTTATTTATTCTTGTATAGGCATTCCGGCGTTGTCAATAGACCTTGCAATTTACTTTCGTGACATTTTTTGTTGTTTATTTTGGCGGCAACTTCTTTGCTAATGAACTAAACTCTTTTTTTGTTTGTAATTCTTCTATATACACATATTATCTTTCCTCGGTTGATTTTCTTGAAATTTGATGGATTATTTCGCTCCACCTTCCGAAATAGTAATCAATCATTGTGGTGCAGCTAGAAATGGTCGATTTTATTGATTTTACATTACAATTGCAGTTACTATTCATTTTCGATGAATGCTTGATTGTTGTCTTAGGAGTTCAATGTAAATGAACGTTAACCCTTAATACGATTTAGATTTTTGTTCGCAGACGTATTCAATTAGGATCTCATTCAAGCTAAGCTTGTTGGCAATCCGACGCGAGCCCCCCTAGCCCGAAACATCCGAAACCAATGTCAAATCCAGCATCGGGTCAGGTGTGTGTCGCTCGTAATCGTAGAGAATTCTTTGTGAATCTGAAGCCACAGTTTGATTTTCGAAAAAGATATTTACACTGCATTATTCTTATTTGATTTCGTGTCGCTTTTGTTGCGACTTTTGAAATTATAATCTGTAGCGTCGAATTTGGTTCTTTTTGTCGCTCTTTTCTTACTTTAAAAAGAATAAATTGCGAATGTTTTTTTCAGCGTAATGCAAGAGGGTTGGACCAGGTTGCGGAGAGAATCCGAGCTGAAGATATCTAATTGAAAATGATCGATACGCTGGGCCTAGGAAACACGAGGAAAGTGATCATGGCGTGAAATGTGGTGATAATTTATTTTTTTTGCGCCGAAATGGACAAACTATTTAGATTTTATAGCCAAATGCCGATCAGCCCTTTCGTAGGGCCACAGGCGAGTCGAGCTGCCCGCACCCACACACTTCATGAGTCGAACATCCATCTCGACCCCTAGGATTCAGACTTCTGTCGTTTGTTGTAATAGAATACCGGCTATTGTGGATGTGATCATCGTAATCGGGTTAGGATTGTTATGCGATTCGAGTTACTTGAAAGCTCGGCTCGTTAAAGATTCGAATTCAGCTCGGTTTAATCATAATAATGAGTCGAGTTTGAATTCCAAACTAAGTTGAAGATATAAAGATTCAAATTGGTTTCGAAAATGAGATATTTGAGTTTGAATTTTGGATCCTAAAAATTGAGGTGTTTTTGTTGTCAATCTATTTAACATTAAAAGTATTTTTATATTTGCATAATTTTTTTTTTGTACAAATGTTATTTTGTAGCATTAAAGACAATTCAAAAATTAAAATGTAAAAAATAAATTGGTAGATTAACTGTGAGGAAGGTAGTATTTTTTCATAACATATTTAAAAAATAATAAAAATCAATATTTTTGTAGTTTTCAATAATTAAAAATAAAATCTTCTATTTTTTTTTAAAAAAAATAAAAAGAATACAATCTATTTATGTATTTTAGAATGTAAAATTTTAACTAAATTTTCATTATTCATAAACTTTTTCTTTTAATCAAATATTTATTTTTAAATTTTTTCTTAAAATTTAATTTTATATTCAAAATATTAAATCAAATATATATGTGTTATTATACTCTCTCCGTCTCACTTCTCGTATCCATTTTTCCATTTTCGTCCGTCCTACTTATTTTGTCACTTTCCTTTTTTGGAAAATAATTACACACTTTAATCTTATTTTTTAAAATTTAATTTATAATTTTTTTTAATTTTAATTATACTAATCAATTATCTTAATCTATAATTATTTTTATTATACGATAATTATTTTCACTAATATATATTTAATTATTTACTAATTATACCCATTCTAAATTCCCGTGTCCACAGTAACACAGACAAAATATCCGAAACACGGAGGGAGTACTAAATTTTAATTTTTTATCCAAATTCAACGTAGAAACACGTCTATCATGTCAATCAAGAACCAAAAACTATTGATTGGGATGAGATTTAGATGTTTCAACTCAAAATTAAATAGTGATAATAGAGACACAATAGATATGTAGACATCGTCTTCTAATTTTTCTAGCCTATTCCTAACTATAATACTATTTCCGTCACGCAACAAGGTTGCCATTGGTTTTTTGCATGTTGATTTTTAAATATTAATTATGATATCAATACGTAGTACAAATCAAGAAAAGAAAAATATATTTATTAGTCTCTTATAATACATATACAACGATATTTGTTGAATAAATTATTCAAATATAAAAATATTTTTAATATTAAATATAATAATATAAAAATCAAATAACAACCTTATTGGGGACGGAAAAAATATAATTTATTTATTATTGAAATATTTATGATGAAGAACACGGAATTGTATATTGTCCGAGGACACACTATTATGGGTATTCTGACATTTTGACAGCAAATTGCAATTGCACCACTACAAGGACAAATCGGATTTGTTCTTTATATACATATATATATATATATCTATATATATTAGTAGTCACTTCGTCCACAAAAAAATAATAAATAAAAAATATTTCATTCGTTCCACATAATTTGTCCCTATTTTTTATTTTCGTCCGTCCCACATAATTTGTCAATTCTTTTTTTGGAAATATAATTATACATTTTAATTTAATTTTAAATTTTAAATTTTATAATTTTTTTAATCTTAATCCATAATTATTTTTATTATACGATAATTATTTTTACTAATATATTTCTTAATTATTTACTAATCACACTTTACCTAAATTTCCGTATATAAAGTAATAGGCCCATGATATATGGAACGGAGGAAGTAATTGAAATATTTTAAAAAATTTAATTAATAGTTGAAGAAAATAAAGAAAATATAATAAAAGTAATAATACTTAAATTTTTTTTAAAAAAATTTGTTCCTTTTGGATTTTTTTCATTATTTAATATATATATATATTGTTAGATAATTTGAGTTTTTTTTTTTTAAACAATTGATACGATACTTTGTGAAAAAAATATCTTATTGAGAAATGTAAATAATGAATAGTAAGAATTTTTTTTTAAAAAAAAAATCCCTAAAAAGAACATCTATTTTTATAACTTTTGAACAATTGTTTACATATATTTTGAAAGCTTTGATACTATTTATCAATGGTAAAGTTATTCAAAAATATTCTATCAAATTTTTAAAATTTCAAACGTCTCTAAATTTTGTATGTCACACCTGATTTGTTTAGTGTGATTTGCTTTGTTGGCATAATTTACAAGTTGTTAGATTCCATTGGTAATTTATTCGGAACACACTCAAAGAGTAATTATGCGAATTCTTACATCATAAAGAAATTCTATTAAATATCTATTTTTCTTACAAAATATCACATTAAATAGTAATTTTTTTATTATTTTCAAAAGTTTTTATCTAAAGAAAGCTTATGTACAAATGAGTTTTCATCTTTTTATTGGAATTTTTTACTATTGTTTTTCAAATTATATAATGTACATATATAAAAATATTTATTTTTCTATTTTCTTGACTTTCACTATAGCATATTTATGAAATTTATTTTTCTAGAGTGAGAGAATTAGAAAGAGAGAGAGAGTCTTGATTTGAGTGGTAAAGAATAGTTATAGTTAGTGTGATTTCATGTCATTATAATGTGTAATAATTAGGACCCTTTTTCTTGTCTAATTTAAATTATGTTATCCCATCTTAATCCAATATTATTTTATCAAATTTTCAATAATTATAGAATTGATCCAACCTAACTAATTTTACTATGAATAGTGAAATTATTTCAAGAGTTTGACATATATTTCTTGAAAACCAAAGAAACAAACAAATAAAGACAAGCTAATGAAATAACTAATTTGCAAAATTATAATTATTTTTAGTTCAAACATCATAATCTTGTAATTGACTTAAAGGTCACACAATTTGCAATATTATTTATGAATTGATTGGCCTTTTTATCCATTACAAGCTCACAAATTGCCAAATATGTCGTTTTTTTGGATGTTGATGTTTAAAAACGACTAATTATGAAGTCGACAACGTGTATAAAATCACGAAGATATAACAAAAGAAAAAGCCGTGAACTTATTATCTTGGCAATCTACAACATTTATTGGAAATAATTATCGATTAAAAGTGGCGACAGTTTCTCTTGCAAATTTTACTATAATTTTTTTTTAAAAAAAAAAATAAAATAAAATTTACATTGTGAATTGTAACGGTCCTTAACATATATTTTAAAAGTTCTTTCTAATCAACATATAAAAATATAGATTGTCCACGCATAATTCAATTAGTATAACATGTGTCAAATAAATTGTTATCCTATGTTAATATGTTATATTTACATATGTGTTGTATAGACATGTATTTTTATTGAAGTTAATCTTAATATGTATCCTAAGAAGTACTATGATGTGTGGTTAATTTATATATTGTATATATAAATATATTATATAAATATAAATATTATATTATTAATTTATATTTCATGTATTGTTTCATATATCATGTGCTGTCACCGTACTGTCAAAGTAATAAAAGTAAAATTATAGCATTTTATAAGAGATAACTTACTAGTAAATTGTTATTATAAGGTTATTTTTAGGTTTCTCCGGCCAAATATGACTTTTTTTAATGTGATTTTTTTACTGTCATAATTATTATGTTTGGCTACAAATTTATCTTTGAAAAAAAAACAAAAATATAGCTATAAAAAGTTAATTTTTATTTAAAATAATATATTAAAAATAAATGCATTTTTATTAAAAATATTATATACTATAAAAAGTTAATTTTTATTTAAAATAATATATTTACATTTTATTTTACTATTATTAGTGTGTGTGCGTCTCTATATTATATAAACAGTAATGCCAGCTAATGGAATAGCAATGCATGTACCGACACCAAGGCCTACATACAATAAATGCAATATTTTTGGTTATGGATTTTATTATTAATAAAATTTTCTTCCTCTCAAATTATTAACTTAAATATATATATATATATATTTATTTATTTATTTAAGTTCGATACAAATTTTAATAAATATAATATTATATTGATTGGTTGTGATTTAAAGTAAAATTATTTTGAAATATATATGAGTGTATAGGTGATTGTGTCGTATTCGTAAATAAGTGTAATATTGAATGTTATCAAATAAACGTTAAGATTAAAAATATTTTATGATAGAATATAATTTTTTTCTTACAAAATAACTTATAAAGAAACAAAATCCCGAAAGAACACAATCTTCTATCGTATTTTATTTAAAAAAAACCTCGTATAACTTTTATCGATGATTTCACTATTTTCTTACATTTCTTATCCAAGATTAGTTGATTTCGTCATCTCTATTGTAACCAAGTATGACCAAATCCTCCCATAATGTTTTACAAGTAATTTATCTATTATTTTTTCTTACAAAATATTATATAAAATTACGATCTAAAAATACAAATACAATTACAAATCAGATATACCAATAGGCTTTGTTTACCTGTTATTTTTTTTCCACTCTTTTTTTGTTGATCAACCTATTAATTTTTTTTTAAAAAAATATAATATAAAATACTATTTTTTAAAACTTTATATTCAATAATTATTTTATTTAAAATATATATAAAAAAAAGAAATACACATGTGCCAATAAACAAACTAAAAGGAAATTACTTAAAATGAATATTATGTCACCAAAATATCTTTTAAGTTTCAAATCAATTTTTTACAATTAAGTCAATATAGATTTCGATAAAAAAAAAATCAATTATTTTTTATTACAAAATAATTACATTAAAATATTATTTTGAATAAAATTTAAATACAAATACAAACTAACATCAAGCCATGAATTTGAAAACAAAACAAAAACAATAAATATATTATTCTTTAATTTAATTTTATAATATAATTTCATAGTTTTCTTTTTTATACAATATATATTCTTTTAATATAAAATATTATCTTACCTTTATTTCCAATTAAAAAGGTAAAAAACAAAAAACTAAAGACATGCAACTAATAAAATTAAGGATAAGGTTTGTTTGGTTTATGTTTATTTAATATTAGTTCAAATAATTTTTCTATGTAATAATAATAATTTGATTTAAGATTTTATAAATATATATATTTATTAAAAATGGCATATATTTATTTATTACTGTTTTTAATTTATTAGAAGCTATAAACCTCAAACAAACAAACTACTGAAGCTAGCCAGATCATCATCAATTTTTTTTTTTAATTTTTTTCCCACTTTACTTTATTCCATATTCCAAATTTCAAAGTAAAGTATTTTTTTTTTTTTAAATAAATTTTTTATTAAAGGAATAATATGCTCCATCTGTCCGGAATTTATGTACTCCCTCCGTCTCAGATAGCGTATCTGCTACACTGTAGACACGGTATTTTAGGAGGGATGTAATTATTAGATAATTAAGAATGTATTAGTAAAAATAATTATACTATAATATAAATAATTATAAATTAAAATTAAGATAACTAATTAGTTTAATTAAAATTAAAAAAAAATTAAAAAATTTGAAATGAGATTAAAGTGTGTAATTATTTTCGAAAAAAAGGAAAATGAAATGGTAGGTGGGACGGCCAGCAACGTAGACATGGTATCTGGGAGGAAGAGAGTATTTATTTACCTTTTTATATGTAAATTTTATAATATTAATATTATATATATATATGTACAATATAGTAAATGAATGAATAAATAATTTTATCCTTGAATGACTTAAAATAAGTGATGATATTAATGTAATATTAAGTATAATAATTTATTTAATAACTACAATTACTAAAAGAATAAATAAATTGTTTTTGATTTTGAATATATCAAAATAAAAAATAGATAGATTAATTGCATAAGGAGAGTATTTTTGTATTATTTATTTTTCTTACCACAGTACTTAATAGAAAAATTATTTTATATTTTTGAAAATAATATAATTAATATATTATTTTTTCTAAAAAAATATTGAATGTATTTATAGGTTGTATTACCCACTTTGTGTTTTTTTAATGTATTTTTATATTAATTATATTGATAATATAAAAAATATTTATTTTGTTATTCAAATTTCACTTATTTTTTTAATAAAAATATATATATATTTTTACATCTATTTTTAAATAATATATATAAAAAATCGTGGAAATAAAATAAAATACTAAGTGAAATAAACCTTTTTAATTTATTATTATTTTTCAAAAATATTTATACTTAAGGGTTTTTAAAAAGACCCCTTATTTTTCTTTAATTTATATTATTTTTAAAATAACATAAAATATGAAAACATTTTCAAAATAATCTAAATACGAGCATGATTAATTATTACTACATTAAAATTATATTAATATTAATAGTTTTAATTTTTTTTAAAAAAAAATATTTAATTCGGGGAGGACCATTAACTCCACCCACCCGGCGCCGGCCACCCACCTTTCGTCGTCAGTCCACGTGTTCTCATTCAATGCCAACCGCGTAAAGTGATAATACCCGATTACCCGCCCCAACTTATTCGGGTCGGGTAAGGAGCAGCCCTGTTACCGTTACCATTTCTAGTGCTGTTGATTGAATGCATTAAAAATAAATTACTATCTGAAAGATTACTTTTTCAACAATCACATATATATTTATATTTATTTTATTTATATCATATATAAAAAAAATTGCATTCAAAATTTTCATACATATAAATATAAATGATACAAAAATCGTCAAATATCACCCAGAAATTTCTCAAAATTCCATCATGGTACTTACTATATTTGTCCAGAGAAAATATAATTTTTAAAAATACTACTCCCTCCGTTCCAGAATTTTGTATTTGACACGAGATTTAAGAAATATTAATATTATATTAGTAGAGAGTAAAAAATACGGATGAAAAGTTTTTTTTTGCCCTTGTGAATGTATTAATGTAAAAAACAGTGACAATTATGTAATAATAATGAAAAAGTAAGAATAATTATACAGTAATATGATTATTTATGGAAATGAGACTATTGTTTTGAAACAGACAAAAATGGTAAATAAGACTATTGTATTGGGATAGAGGAAAATATTATTTATTGTATTTAAATAAAAGAAAATAATGAATATATAGTTTACTATAGTAAATAAAAAAAATAAATAATGGCTGTATTTGTTGGTAAGTTTATTTAATGCTTATGCTTTAATAGTTTAAAATAATATTTTATTTAAAAAATATAGCACCCTACATATTTGTTAAAAATTAAGATTGAAATTTTCATATAAATAGTCTGATTAAATGCTTATTTTCTTATTTATTTTTTTATTAAGAAATAATTGAAAAGAACAATAAAATAATTTATCATGACAAAAAAAAATTGCTATTTAAATATCTAAACTCACATGGTTTGTCTGGTTTGAGTTTTGTAAGTAGTTAAAAGTTTGTGTAATAGAAAGATAAAATAATATTGTGTTAAATTAAATAATATATTTTTATTAAAAATTATGAATAAAAATGATTATTGAGAATAATAAAATTTGTTTTTTCTGTTTACTCGAAAGATATATTTTTATTTAATTTGACACATAATTTAAAAAATATTGTATTTAAATAATGTTGATAAGTATTTTTTGTTTGTAATTTTTTTTAAAAAAAATTCAATGTAATAGTATTAATGTAAATTTAAAAAATGTATAATGTATATAGTAAACTCTACACCTACAATAAAAATTTATACATAGCATTTGGATAAAAAATAAATAATAACTTTATTAAATTTGTGTAATAATAACTTAGTCAATAAAAATTTATTTCTATTTTCCTCTATTGAATTTATCTTACTATTAATTTTGTTATTTTTAATTATTTTTTTACTTTTATTATTTTTATAATAAAATATTTACTTCCTTCGTTCACATAATTTGTCTCTATTTTTTATTTTCGTCAGTCCCACGTAACTTGTTCTTTTTTTTTTTTATAAATATAATTATACACTTTAATTACATTTTAAACTTTATATTTTATAATTTTATAATCTAAATTAAAATATTTAGTTATCTTAATCTTAATTTATAATTATTTTTACTATACAATAATTATTTTTGCTAATACACTTCTTAATTATTTACTAATCATACTTTACCTATATTATCATGTCTACAGTAATACGCCTAAATTATCTAGACGGAAGGAGTATGTTTTAAATCTTAGTGGCATTCGGGTGTGTTTTTTGATTAATTTGAAAAATTTTAGTTTGTGTTTAATATAAAATAATATACTATAATAGAATATTTTATAAAATAAAATTTAATATATATATATATATTTTTAAAGAAGACAGAGTTTCAAACAGTAAAAAAATTAGAATTCGGATGTAAAAAAATGAGATATATTTTTATTAAAAATTTTGTAAAAAAAAAATGATTATTTTAAAAACTTTCCACAACAATAGCTGGATCCAATATACATATATATAGAGAGAGAAACGGAGAGAGAGAGAGAGAGAGAGGGGTTCAAAATCTGAACATTAATTGTAGAGAAGAATAAGTGTTGAACTGTGATGTGTCGTTGGATTCTCTCTCTCTCTTCTTTCTCTCTCTACAAATATAAACATTCAATAATTAAATAAATTACTATCTTACTATATATCGAATCCAATCCAGGCGAGTGAGTATTAAATCCATCATCACATTTTTATATATATATATATAGATATCTTCTTCTTCTTGTTGAAATTGTTAAGTTTGATTTTGTTAGAGGGTAGAACAGAAGAACACAACAGCTAGAGTTTTGTCTCTCCAATATATACATACATATATATATATCTGTATAATTTGCCCATTTCGTGTTTGTCTCTCTCTCTTCATTTCAGATATACATACACATATATAGAGAGAGAAAGAAGAGAGAGAGAGAGAGAAGATTGAAATCTGAGATGAAGATTGTGGTGGTGTTTGTAATTTTGGTTATCATCAGAAGCAGTGAAAGCTTCTTTGTCGATATTACATATGCTCAGAGTGCTGTTGCAAAAGGGGCTGGTAATTAATCAATTCTCTCTCTCTCTCTCTCTCTATATATATATATATGTATGTATGTATGTATGTATTTGTATGTATAGTTTATATATAATTAATTTGCAGTGTGTTTGGATGGGAGTCCACCGGCGTATCATATCGACAAAGGATTCGGACAAGGCATTAACAATTGGTTGGTTCATTTTGAGGTACCCCATCCCCACCCCACTTTTTACCAATTTTTACTATCGATTCTATTGGAGTGTATAAATATTTTTCGGACATTTATAATTTAAGTAAAATTTAAGAGATCCGCTTTTAACCAATTTTTTTAATTGATTTTCTGCAAATGTATAAGAATTTTTCGATATTTTTGTCGTTTGAATTTATGTATAAAGTAATTGTATGTATAACGATATGTTTATAATTTAAATAAAATTTAAGAATATTTTGGAAATGAAACGTACGAAAATAGTAAAAAAAATACTTTGAATTATTTGAATTGAGACGGCGAAATAATTTTTTTACCCCAGAACCTATTTGATTTTTAATAATACTCTTCGTAATATTGTGTAAATGAAATATATTTTATTTTTACAAAACATAATATCAGATTATTGCACAAATCAAAATTCAAAATAAAAGTTAAATCGAACCTCCAAAAAATTTCAAAACTTCACATTTTCTAAAACATATCTAAACAAATTTACCGGGTTTATATGTTCGAGTTCGAGTCGGGTATTCTTGTGAGGCAAATTTCTTTGACGGCGTACCGTAGGGAGGTGGATGGTGCAACAATGTCACGACTTGCCAAGCCCGAAAAAGCACCCGGTTGGGTTCGTCGAAGCTAATGGTTAAGCAAGTTGCATTTTCCGGAATCTTTAGCAACCAAGCAAAGTTTAATCCCGGTATGTTTTAGATTTTTTTTCTTTTTAGCTTTAATTTTTTTGCAAATATAGATTTTTTAATCGCCTTTACTAATATAGCGCTCGTTACGATGAACATTCTCTAGATTTCTATAATTGGAATCGAGTCAAGGTAAGATATTGCGATGGCTCATCTTTTACCGGCGACGTGGAAGCTGTGAATCCTGTAAGAATCCTACCTTACGTATCCGTAGTTTGGAAAGTCTTGTAGCAGGGAACGGTTAGGATGCTGAATTGAAAAAATCAGCACTCATAATATATACAAGCAACACATGATTTTATTATACACAACACATGCTGTGTATAATTAAAGACATGTTATGTTAGTTCATAATTATAAGTGTATTGTATAAAAATAGGTAGTGTGCTAAAATAAATTATTGCTTGTACTGTATAAGACTAGAGCATATGCTGTTGGTTCATGTGTTGTATTTGTATTGTTGGTTCATAATTACAAATGTATTGTATAATAGTATGTAGTGTGTTGAAATAAATTATTGCTTGTACTGTATAAGACTATAGCATGTATTGTTTATTCATGTGTTGTATTTGTATTATATGAATGCATACGGTATACTTCTGACAGTAATACCGTGTGCTGTCTGATAGCACACCGTGTGCTGCGGTGTGCTGTTTGTACAGTGCTGAATTTCCGTAGCCACCTCCCTTGTAGTATGTTAGTGTACTATGATGTTGTCTTGAATTTTACTTACATGTGGTTTGAAAAGTCTTATACTCTGTTTGTTCAAATCCGACTAGGCGAATAAACTTTACTTCCGAGGCGCGAGGGTCTTCGTTGCTATCATCGAAGAACTACTCGCAAATGGGATGAAAAATGCGGAAAATGTAAGTCCTCTTGTTCTTTTCTTACGACTAGACTTATGTCCGAATTATTACACCATTCGCCCTTTGTTTCCCTATGTAGGCTGTTATCTCCGGGTGCTCGGCTGGTGGATTGACGTCGATCCTCCATTGTGATAGATTCAGGGCACTTCTCCCCCCGAGCGCGAAAGTAAAATGCTTCGCGGATGCCGGATTTTTCATCAACGCGTAAGTGTTCACTCGCTGTAAGACAACTGCGATTTTATATGCGACTGAGGTTGTCTGATTCTTATTTATTAGTCGGGATGTTTCTGGAGCTTCGCACATCGAAAAATTCTACAACGATGTTGTCCAAACCCACGTAAGATCATATATATATGTAACAAATTCAGTCGTTTCTCGATCTTCTTCTTCGCTTTAATGTCATTTCATCGACAACTCGGCTGCAGGGATCAGCGAAGAACTTGCCTTCATCGTGTACCTCTAGAATGAACCCAGGCTTGGTAATTCTTGCGACTCGACACTGATTTTTTTCTTTTTTTCTTTTTTTATTGAAATCTTTTTTGTCGGGAATATCTAACTTCATGTAGCGATGCCGCCAAAATTGCAGTGCTTTTTCCCGCAAAATGTGGTTCCGGGAGTTCAGACGCCTCTTTTTCTCGTAAACGCGGCCTACGATTCATGGCAGGTTTGTGCAACGGTGAAAAGTATTATGTAATTAAAGATATATATATTTTTAAAAGCTTGAATTTTTAGGTGAGATGATCAATTAACATAATCCTTGTTTTGTTTGAACTATTTCGATGTCCTAATTTCGCAAACTTGAATTTTTAGGTGAGATGATTAACTAATATTATTCATGTGTTGTCTGAACTATTTCGATGTCCTATCTTCGCAAACTTGAATTTTTAGGTGAAATGATAAGTTAACATCATATATGTTATTGTCTGAACTATTTCGATGTCCTAATTTCGCTAGATAAAGAATATATTGGCACCCGGCGTAGCTGATCCGCACGGCACATGGCACAACTGCAAGACCGATATTACTAAATGTTCGAGCGCGCAGCTCCAAACGATGCAAGGTCGACAAGCAATTAGACAACCTTATTTATTTCTATTTTAGCCACATTGGATCTAACATCCAAGAAGAGGATATCTCACCACTTGATTTACAAAAACTTATTTTAACAGAGGTTTATTGTTTCCGCACAATTTTCTCGATATATTTTTTCAGGGTTCAGATTGGAGTTTCTAAAGGCACTCGGCGGCGTAGGCTCGACAAAGGGGTTTTTCATAAACTCGTGCTACGCACATTGCCAAACCGAGACGCAAGAAACCTGGTTGAGAGGCGATTCACCCCTATTGGACGGAAAGGTCGAATACTATGAATACATACACATATATATATATATGTATATATCGAAAAATGTCTGAATGTGTGAAATGTTTGCAGTCGATAGCAGCAGCAGTAGGAGACTGGTATTACGACAGAAGTCCGTTCCAGAAGATCGATTGTCCGTACCCTTGCGATAAAACCTGCCATAACCGACTTTTTGAGTAAGGCGAGCGCCTGCACGGTACGCTCGAAAACATTTAATACTCGTAAAGAAAAAATATACATATGCGAAAGGCGATGTCTCGAAGACATACTTCGATTATTTGTCAAGGCTTCTAATAAAGGAAATAATGTGCGACCGAATCCGAGCTATTTATTCGATGTTGCAACATTATTGATGTATTCGTTAATCGTTACTACGTTGTATGCGTCGATTATTTGGAAGAACATTACATTGTAAAGGAGTGTTTATGTGGACATGCTTCAAATGTTGTAATAAGGACACAGATTCGGATCATATTGATTTTGGAAAGATCGAAATATATCTAAACTAGTATAGATCGATGAGTAGCGCAAGGGTACATACCTTGATCCGATGAAACTCATAAGTTTCTTCGACTCAACTGCCCGGCAAGCTGATCTACGGCTGCCATAGCGCGCGACGCTGCTCCAAGTGAGCCCTCGTATCTGTTAAGGTGCAAATAAATAAGAAACTACGAGTACTTTGTTCTCTCTTAAAAATTAATTCAAGCGACGAATATTGTGTAAGAACATGCTTACTATAAAGGATTATCTAAAACTTTTGCGTATAATTTCTACACAAATATTAAAGAATCCTCTGTAGTAAACACACACCGTAAATTAACTCAGTCGAGTCTATAAGAACCTTCAAAGATCTATTTCTTAGTATAATCGGTTCAATTTTTTAATTCAAAATATCATATCAAACGCTTATTTATATCGCATCAAACACAATTCAATTCAAATTTTTACTATTCTTAAACCCAAACTCCAATCCAAACTTCAGAAAAATGTAACACATGAAAGTGAACATGACCATTAAGCAACATTCACAAAAATTGAGTAATTTTATGGAGTCGCAGAAAATAAAATTGGGGAAAGCTTACAGCCCGACAAGAAGAAATGCTGACGTTTGCATCACAATGGCACCTTCCCCAGTCGGCTTAGCTGAGTTTATGCACCGGGCGCAGAACCAACTTTTGTGAATCGAGGTCACAAGATCTTCCCCAAACATCGAATCGAAAACACATATAGCAATGCATTATACTATACATTACTAATTTTACCAATGAAATACATACATATGTATATATAATATACTTACATTGGTTTTCGAGGATGAAAAAGGTCTCCATGGGAAGTTTGTTCCTCTTAACAAAAGTAAGGAATTCGCTTATTTCGATCGGATCAGCTTTAACCCCTTCTTGCTCTGCACTACAATTCCAAGATTCGACTGAATCGAATCAAATCTAAGAATTTGAGGCAACTGAACTAGCTAATTGTATGCACACTCACGCTTACATATTGGATACTATGCGCGAAGGCCCCGTAGGATCGTAGTTAATCAATATGGCGCCTCTCAAAGGTTGGTCTGAAAAATGTGCCATCAGAACACACATCATAACCCACTAATGTAAGAATGCGATGAATATTGCATAAAGATTATCACCTGAAGTGCCAACGTTGTTTGGTGCCCATTTCTCCCATAGTTTTCGCACGACGCTCCAATCCATTGCTCTCCAGAAACTGTAATAATCGAATCGAAAAATCATTTCTCTGTAAGATAAAAGACCCAGCTGCCTCTCAGGCATTTCGTCGAACGGTTGACACGCACTAAAATAAATAGAAATTTTAAGAGCTCACCTTCGTCAATACGAGACAAAAACCTGATTTTTCACTGACATTGATTATTACTCCGGCGACGCCCTTCCCGAATCTTAGATAAATCCAGTTTTGAATTGACGAAATCGACGGCCGAAGTAGCTCCTTTGTTCTCTGTTAGGGTTTTGGTTTTGTCCTGTTTCTAGGAGCACGGAGAGACGCCGCCGGCGATGACCTCGACGGCGGAGGGAGGCGACGGATGGTGGGCGGCGGGAGACGCAGTCTGCAATCGGAGAGCTGAGATAGGATTTCACCTCTTCCTTTTCATTGAATTCCAACAGTTATGGATCATTTTTCTGTAGGTAGCCCAAATTTCAAAAAGTTCAAAATAATTACAGCCCGTTCTAAAATATTTTATATACTATAAAACTAATCTTTTTTATCAATTACTCCATCCTCTCGAATAAGATTTTGATATGTTCCATAATAATTTGTTCATTTATACATTTTAATTTTAATTTAAATTTCATAATTTATAATTTTTTTAATTTTAATTAAATTATTTAATTATTTTAATTTTAATTATTTTTTTTAATTTTAATTAAATTATTTTTATTTAGTAATTATATTTTACTTGAATTAGTGTACACTAACACAAAGAATTTATTCGGAACGGAGGGAGTATATTATTTTATTCAATTTAATTAAATATTTGTTTTGAAATTCTTATTTAATTGTCATATCCTATTCCTAGTAGAGTTATTAACGAGCCGAATTGAGACGAATTTTAAGTGTTCGTGTTCATTCGTTAACGTTCGTAAACAAAACTCGTGTTCGTTCGTTAAACTTTTGAACTCATTTGTGTGTTCGAGCTCGGCTCGTTAAGAACTTTTATTATTTGAGTTCGTGTTCATGGTCGGCTCATTTGGGCTCGATTAAGTTTGTTTAAGCTCATTCGTCTAACTTTTTTAATTTATATATAAATTAAAAAGAAAATTTAAAATTAGTTTATTTATTTGGACTTGTTGGTTAATCAAGCGAGTCTGTTTATGTTATTCGGCTCGACTCGTTAACATTCGCGAATGAGCTTTAATCGAGCCGAACCGAATCGAGTTCATGAACGACTCGGCTTGTTTAACAGTAATAAATGAGATAAAATAATTACTTAAACCATAGTAAATTAATATAAACATATTCACGGTTACAAAAATCAATCCGACCTGATAATTCGATCTGAACATAACTTGAAATTATTGAGTTTGGGTTGAGAGTTTTGATGGGATTAAATTCGTTTAACTTATTTAATTAAATGAGTTAAGTTTATGTACAAATTGTCAATCCATCTAACCTATTTAATTAATATTAATTTAAATTTAAATATATTTTTTAAATTTTATTAATTCAAGTCACATATTCAAGGCCTGTCTTATAAAAATAAAAAAAATTCAAAAATAAAATTTAAACTAAAATCTTATAAAATTAGGGTTAAATAAAAGAAAGCCTTTGATTTTTCTTTTTTTTTAATAGATATAAAACAAAATCCATAATATATTTGTTGTGTGTATTATTATGTAGTATGTTAATTCGAATATTGGTTTTATGGTATAGATAAATAGTTTTTGTTTTAATATATATATATATTATGCATTTAAAAAATTTATTGATAAAAATTCTGATTTTAAATTTAAAATATTTTTTTTTTTAAAATTTTAAAAGAGATGTACGGATCAATTCAGATTGATCAGATTAATAAAAAAACCAGATTAATATTGCAAATATCAACTAATTTAATTAAATAAGTTAGATCCAGGTCAAATAATTTCTAATCCGTTTATAACTTATCCAAATCCAAATTGAACCCGATTTGATCTGATTCAATTGTCATCCTTAATTATATAAATGTAATAAACAAGCACACCCTAAATATATTATTAAAAAATTAACAACCCTTAAAAAACCCTAATTAAGTTTAACAGCCGCCACCATCTTCTTCCACACTCCTCCTCCTTTTCCTTCTTCCATTTTGGTTCGCCGTCGCCACTGCCGCCGCCGCCACCGCCACCGCCACCGCCACCGCCATCGCCGCCGCCGCCGCTAAAGAGATTCAGAGGCAATGGGAAGAATTCAGCAATGGACATTGCAGATTGCGATTTGTCTGATTTTTGTGCTCAGAACTGAGAGCAAATTTATTCACATTACTTTTCTTGAGAGTGCTGTTGCAAAAGGGGCTGGTACGCTTTTGTTTTATTTTTTTAATTTTTATTTTTTAGGTAATAATCTGTAAATTTTGGAAATTTTGAAGTTTTGAATTTTTTGTAAATAATAAAAATGAAGCATTATTTAATACTATATTTTCCAAGATTAAAAAAAAAAGAAGAATTTCATACAATGACTTCTTTTTGTTAACCATATTTATTCTCATTTTGTCCGAAGATAAGACAACAATTTTACTATCAAACAATAATTCAATTTTTGTTACTATTTTATTATTTAATATACATATAAATATTAATTCACTTCCATAAGCTCGGATATAGCCCGGTTCATTAACATACCGATACTTACGGCCCAAAAATTTTCTGGTTTATTTTGAAAGTCCAAACACATTTTTTCTGTTGAATTCGAATTTTCAGGCTGTCTATTTTTACCAGCTCTATATAATAATTATTTATATAAAAATTTCAAAATAAAACACAGTAAATATGTATTATTACATGATACATAATTTTATTTATTTACCAATCATATATATATATTGTTACAGTTTGTTTGGATGGAAGTCCACCTGCCATTATTTTGATGGTGGATCTGGATCAGGGAGTCGAAATTGGTTAGTTTGGTTTCAGGTCAGAATATCTTTATGTGTATATTAATAAAATAGCAGCTTCTTCTTTCACATTTGTCCAGCTTATGATGATTCCATATATATATATATATATATATTCTTTATATTTTTATTTATTAATAATATTTTTATAAAAAATATTATATTAAATATTTATTTATTTTTATTAGATACGACAAATATTTATTTATTTTATTTCTAAAATTTTCAAAGCTAAAACCCCCAAAACCAATTTATATACTAAAAGTTATGCTTTGGATGTTATTCATTTAACTTTGAAAATGTAGGAAAATAATTGTGCAAACATATAGGAGTGTTTGTTTTGTAAAATTGTTGGAAATAAAAATATTTTATGTGAGGTATAAAAAATTACGTAGAGAATATAAAAATAATGAACGCGTGTAGTATATTAATTTTTTTGGAAAAACGTGCATGAAAAAAAATTGAAAGAATACGCCGAAGAAACACACTTAAAAATTTCATAATATATGATTTATTTTTTTTGTGCGTGTGTGTATATTAAGTAGTGTAGGCTCATAATCTTCTATCTCAAAGTCGTAATTTTAGCCCCCAACGACGATGTTCTAGCTACACTACTGAATATAATGTTTTATGAGGTGAAAAAATATTTAACTTTGTTTTGTATTGTACGTATAATCTAAGTTGATACATATATATATATATATATACTAAAAAGAATTTGCATACAAAATTAATTTTGATTTCAATAAAATTAAATTCAAAAAAATTTCTATATTTTGAAAACGCGTCGCACATCTTTAGTTTACTATTTGTAGTTTTAATATCTCTATTAGTATAGGGAGGAGGATGGTGCAAAAGTGTCATTGATTGCGTGGAACGGAGTAATTCCATTTACGGTTCATCAAAATATACGCCGGAGTTGATTCATTTTAGTGGAATTCTTTCAAACAATGCTTCTGAAAATCCCGCTATGCTTTAGATTTTGGATTTATATTATAATGTTATTCTTTCGTATAAGAAGTATTTATTTGTGGTTTTTATTGTGCTTAGTCTGAATTCGAAAAAGTTTTGAATTTGTGACTTAAAATTTATTTTTTTAAACGAACACAGGGTTTAAATAGTAAATGATTGAAAAGAAACTAAGAAACACAAGTAGTATTTTCATTTTGGTACTTTAGAGGGCGGCATTAAGATTAATTAGTTCTAATGAACGTATCATAATAGACCTCTATTTTTCCAACACTAATTTTCGATTGTAATTCCCAAAACTAATAATAAAAAACACAAAATATTTAATACAAAAGTTAAAAAGTAAAAAGAAATTACAAATACTTATTATAAAAAGTTATTTAAAAAAAATCAAAAAATCAAATATTCAAACTAAAATAATACTATATTTTATATTTTCGACACAATTTTTCATATCATATACCAAAAATCATAAGGTGTATATTAACATAACAACAACAACAATAATAATAATCTACACAATAGTGATAATACATTGATTTAATTCCAACACATCTTTTTGAAGTCTAATTTCATTTTCGTACTATTTACTAATTTTTTTCCCATTATTAAACGTTTATTTTCATTATGAGACAAAAAGAAATTTTATTCTATATTTTCTATGACATCTAATCAAACAAATATTCGATCATATTACATTACATACAATTTTAATTCAAATTTTTAGGAAATTGTTACGGTAGTGATATGGAAAATTCACCACCGAATCGTACTGTTAGTTCATGTGCAGTACTTGTATTATATTAACACATGTAAATGCATCAACTTTAGATTTCCATAACTGGAATCGAATTTGGGTTACTTACTGCGACGGTGGATCATATATGGGCGACATAGAAGCTGTGGATCCCGTGAGACTCCTTTCTTTCATCGTTTACATTTTTATTTTTGTATGTTATTCTGAAGAAAAATACTACCTCCGTCCGGCTCTAAGGGTCCCATTTACTTTTTGCATGTTGATATTTAAATATTAATTATTATATCAAAACGCAGTATAAATTAAGAAAAAATTGCAAAATTACTTCTATTAGCGTGTCTTATAATACTAATAGAAGGACATTTGTATAAAAAGTTATACAAATATAATGATATTTTTAATGTTAAATACAATGACGCAAATGATAAATATGACTTAGAGGCGGACGGAGGGAGTATATTTTATGGACAGTTGATTCTTGAATCCAACAGACAACGAAACTTCACTTCAGAGGCGCCAGAATCTTCGATGCTGTAATTGAAGAACTATTAGCTAAGGGAATGGATAATGCACAAAATGTATCGATCATTTATTCTTCTTAATTTTCTTAAAATCGAGCTTTGTCCAAATCATTACAACATTGTTCAACATCGACTTCCTTTGTAGGCGATTATCTCTGGAACCTCGGCAGGAGGATTGGCGACGATCCTCCATTGTGATAAGTTCAAAGCACTTCTCCCCTCGACTACCAACGTAAAATGCTTATCGGACGCGGGCTATGTCGTCAATATGTAAGCGCGCAATATAAATATGCTGTAAGAAATTGCGCCGTTATCCTCAACTAAACTTACTTTTTTATTTTTTTTTTGTCTTAATTCAATAGAAAGGATACTTCTGGAGATCGTTATGTCGAACATTTGTTCAATGAGATCGTTACATTGCATGTAAGAAACCGTTTGTGTCATTTCTCGATGACCATGTTCTATTAATTGGTTTCATTCAATTCTAATGCTATAGGGATCAGCCAAGAATTTGCCTTCATCGTGCACGTCGAGAATGAACCCAAGTTTGGTAAAATTCAACCCTTTTTTTTTTTTTTCGACATTGTTGGACTTGTAATAACTATATATTGGTCGATTACTGCAGTGCTTTTTCCCTCAAAACGTTGTGCAACATATCCGGACACCCCTTTTCGTAGTAAACTCTGCCTATGATACTTGGCAGGTGAGTGAGTACTTGCGCAAATATCTTTGCCAATGAGATATTTAAGATATTGTGTTTTAGATTTAGATTTGGTCTTATCTAACCCCTTTATTTTTTTTAAAACTTTAATAGACCTTGTTTAAAAATAGTCCCGTAAGTAATTTTTTTTCGCTAAAATAATTCTCCGATGCTAGACTCGCCACGCTGGTCCGCTGTCGCTGACATGGCGCTGACGCAGCTGACATGTATCGCCACGTAAATACCACGGACCATTTTAGCGAAAAAAGTTACTTGCAGGACGGCTTTAAGACAAATTCCATTTAAATGTTCTAAAAATTGATAAAATAGGTCATATATAGGAGTAAAAAATAGTTTATTAAGACATTTTGTAAAGAAAAAAAAAAAATTCACATGTCACTGACGTGAAATCTACGTGGCAATGACATGTCAGCCGCATCAGCAACGACGGGCCAGTGTGGCGAGTCTGGGTCCAAAAGGCCATTTTAGCAAATTTTTTTTACTTACGGTACTATTTTCAGACGGTCTATTTAAAGTTCTAAAATGATAAAAGGGTCTGGGACTTAGAAAACAGTTTTTGATGATCAATATAATGCAATTTTCCAATTTTTATAAAATATTTTCACACTATCTTTGCTGTTGTCTGAATGTTTTGATGTCTTAACTTTCACCATGTGATTAATCTATTTGTGCCCAATTTCACTGATCCTAATGGCCGTTGGACGAAATGCAAGGAAAGTCTTTCAGACTGCTCTGAATCCCAAATCGAGCTCTTGCAAGGTCGATGAGCTATCCTCGAATTTCATTTATTTACTTTTTTGTTTTTACGGTTAAAATATATTTAGAAATAGAGAATTTCAAATTCTTATTCTAATATTTACAACCTCAATCCCTACCAATAGTTCAAATTCTTGATTGAATCGGACAATGTATTTCAGTTTTCAGATTAAGATTTCTAGAGGCACTATTGCGAAATGTCCGGAGCTTGACAGGGTTCTACATCGTCTCTTGCTACTTGCACGGCGAAGTCCTGGGAAATTGGTTTGGCGAGGCTTCTACCCGGTTATTCGGGAAGGTCATATAATATTCTTATTTCTTTGCAGAAGCCGATGTTGTCTTTACATATTTGTGTAATGAATTTTGAATTTGATTGCAGACAATTGCCGAAGCAGTTGGAGATTGGTATTTTGAAAGAGGTTCGATGTTCCGGAAGATCGATGAGCCCTACCCCAGCGACAAAAGTTTTTGTCCTGGTCACATTTCTGCATCGGACGGCTACTCTATACTCGACGCACTACAAGAAAATATTATTTTTCTAACGAAATTTTTTCGTTTCTAAATCCAGTTTTTTCATTACTAATGATATTAGAAACATAATTAAGGATGAAATTACGTTAGCTACGTGAACTTTAGAGACAAAATTCCGTTACAAATATACTATTTTATTTTTTTGTAGTGATGGCTCATAGCAGCCTGCCGGGCTTAGGTGAGGATAGTACTAAGATGGGGTGGTAAAAATCCTCGTGTTGCAAAAAAAAAAAAAAAAAAAACAAAAAAAAAAAACTCGATGTATATTTTGCAAACTATACATATATGTGAGAAGTGTTATTCACAAGATATGCTATGCTATGCTTTGATGACAATGATTCTGTTAAGAAGGGATTCTGAGCTTCGTCTTGTTGAGGACTCCCGTTTGCGGGATATGTAACTTAATGTCTTAGTTTCCCTAACAAGTTCGAGCTTTTAGGTGAGACGGTCATTAGTTTCCGACATGGTATCAGAGCCTAGGTTAGGTCTCGAGTTCGAGTCCCGCCCGTCCCTATTTGTGGCATATGCATGTGCAAGTTTCGCAGACCCACTTGCACCTGAGGGGCGTGTTGAGGACTCCCGTTTGCGGGATATGTAACTTAATGTCTTAGTTTCCCTAACAAGTTCGAGCTTTTAGGTGAGACGGTCATTAGTTTCCGACACTAAGGAGTGTTACATATTTATAAACAACGTATCCAATATTTATTTTGTAATCAATATATAGTATATCTAACAATAATTCCAATATATATAATATATTCTATTTTTATTATAAATTAACATTTACATACAATTCCTCGAATCTCACAGATTATATATATATATATATAAACCTCAACTTAAACCCTAAACAAACAAACCCATTTCTCCAAAATCTGTGTTCTTTTTGCGAAAAAAAAAAAAAAAAAACACACGTTTTTTCTAAAAAATTAATATGTTACACATATTTATTATTTTTTAAAAAATATTTTTTAAAATTATTTTACAAAACAAACACATTCACAAGGAGTGTCATGTTGTGGCTTTTTTGGCTAACATAATAAAACTAATGCATACTCAAATAATAGCAGTTATACATTTACACATCTAAAAAAAAATACAAATCTTGCGAACGCAACCAAACGCTTTATTAAGAGTTATAAACTCATCGAATAGTAGAACACAAAACAATCAATACTTAATAACCATTCGAAGAGTAGCAGGTTTCGATTCTTTTATATAGAAGCATTCATGAATATGTTTTAGTGTATCCCACGTTGAAAAAATATTGAAAAATCCTCTTTGCTTACCAGAGCGAAAGACAACTACTTTTATCACCAATTGATTTTGAGACGTGTCGGAAGCTAATGACCGTCTCACCTAAAAGCTCGAACTTATTAAGTAAACTAAGCCACTAGTTATATCCCGCAAACGGGAGTCCTCAACACGCCCCCTCAGGTGCAAGTGGGTCTACGAAACTTGCACATGCATATGCCACAAATGGGGACGGACGGGACTCGAACTCGAGACCTAGCCTAGGCTCTGATACCATGTCGGAAGCTAATGACCGTCTCACCTAAAAGCTCGAACTTGTTAAGGAAACTAAGTCATTAGTTACATATCCCACAAACGGGAGTCCCCAACACGCCCCCTCAGGTGCAAGTGGGTCTGCGAAACTTGCACATGCATATGCCACAAATAAGGGACGGGCGGGACTCGAACTCGAGACCTAACCTAGGCTCTGATACCATGTCGGAAACTAATGACCGTCTCACCTAAAAGCTCGAACTTATTAAGTAAACTAAGCCACTAGTTATATCCCGCAAACGGGAGTCCTCAACACTTAGCAACGTAATATTCTTCGATACATAATAATAAGCAAAATACATGGAGAATTATGACATCGAAAAATAGCCCCCGAATTGGAGAGCGTCGCTCTTCCATTTCGGTAGCAAATTATTTACTAGTTTAAAAGCCTCGATGAATCCTCATCGAAGCATATAATATATGTATATCATCCAAAGAACACTTCTCACGTATAAGTATGTTCTTGAAATAGCGCGTCGTCGACTATAGATTGGTCGTGAGATCCAAGAACATCGTTGTGACAAGTTTTGTCGCAAGGGAATGGACAGTCGATCACCCGGAACAGTGGACCTCTGTTAAAATACCAATCTCCAGCTGCTTCGGCAATCCTCTGCAATCAAATTCACACATTGATTACACTGAAAGGGATAAAGACATCATCAGCTTCTGCAAAAGAAATATATTTCCTCAGCAGAAACAGGGGATGCCTTCTTATTATCTGAATTTGGAAATTCTCAAGCTTTCTTATTAAAATAAAATAAGATATATAATAAAACCTCAGAAATTTCGAACCTTCTTAGTAAAATAAAATAATATATATAACAAAACTTCTGAAATTCTGAGACCATTTAAATAGACTCAAAAAATTCCGAGCCTTCTTATTAAGATAAAATAATATATAATAGAATTTCTGAAATTCCAAGACCGTTTAAATGGACTCAGAAAATTCCGAGTCTTCTTATAAAATAAAATATTATATATGTGATAAAGCTTCGAAAATTTCGATATATTTACATGGACTCAAAATATTCCAAATTTTCTTAAGAATTTCCGAGACTACGTACATTAAAATTGGTTTTATATTTTTTAATTTTTTTTTAGAGTATCGGAATTGATTCCAAAGTCATTTCCGAGGCAACACACATTTTTTTTTGGGCAGTGAATTTTCATATGACCTTTCCGGCTAAACGGGGAGAATCTTCACTGAACCAAGAGTCTACGTCGATTTGGGTATGCACGAAGCAAGAATTTATGTAGATCCCCGTTGACGGGCGCGCATTGCCCAATGCCTTGATAAGTTTATCTCTGTACCCTGAAAAAGCACGTCGTACATCATTAGAGTGAATATATATAGTTTGTCTCGAATTGTAAGAAAAAAATAGAAAGAAAAAAAAATGCTTGTTTGATAGTTCATTTACCGTCCAAAACCTCGAGCTCCTCTCTCGAGCATTTGACAATATTGAGCTTGCATTTCATCCAAATTTCATTAGGATCCGAGACATTTGGTATGAATATAAAGTTTATCTGGTGAAGTTAGGACATGAAAACATTCAGACAACGATAAGCATCGAATTTAGAGAGTAAAATATATCATACACCCTGCATTTTATAAAAAATGTACATGAAACCGTATATTTTATTTATTGCATAAAAATCTTTCGTGCTAACATAAAGTCGGCATAAAATACTCTTTCTGTCTACAAGTAACTATATCACACACCCTTGTTTCTTGTTCGCTCGTTACTTTTGAATAAAAATATTATTTATGTCAATTTTATTACAATACGAGGGAATTTTATACAATAAATAAAATATCAGATGTTCTGTACATTTTTAATAAAACACATGGATATATTATATAATTCTAGCGCGCATCACCTGATACCAATCGTAGGCGGAGTTTATAAGGAAAAGGGGCGTTCGAATATCTTGAACCACATTTTCCGGGAAAAAGCACTGCAGTTCGAGGTTTTTGTAAAATTCTTACACAGGCCGAGAATGTCTATAAAGAAACTTGAAAGAAAGGAAATTATTTTACCAAACTCGGTTTCATTCTCCGAGTACACGAAGATGGCAAATTCTTGGCTGATCCCTAAAGTGAGAAATTTCAAGAATTACCAATCGAAAGATGCCATTCGAGAAATGAGAGAAATGGTAGGAATCTTACATGCAATGCAACGACTTCAGCGTAAAAACTTTCGAAGTGAGGAGCTCCCGAAATAGTATTTCTATCGAAGCGAGACCAAAAAATGAGACAAGTTTAGTTAAAGATAACAACGCGATTTCTTACAGCATTAAAGTTGTATGCTATACATTTTGTAGAATATAAGAGTTGACGCTAATAATAATGAAATCAAAGGCCTAGATGTGATACAAACTAAAAATATTCAATTAATAATAATCTAATCTAATGCATATAACTAAATAATAACAATTTAATCTAGGGCGACTGCTATAATGTTAAATTTAAAATTCAAGGTACTAATAGACAACACACAATATTATTATTGACAAAACATCATTTATATTAATATAATAAAAAACCCATGCTATAGTCTTACACAATATATATAACAGTTGATTTTAATACATGACATACTCTTATACAATATACAATATACGTTGTAGTTATGAACAAACATCACATCTCTTTATTACAAACAACACATACTCTGTATAATGAAGATATGTATTGTTTCTATATATTTTACGTATGTTCACAGTGATAATAGAAATTTTAATCTAAATTATAAATTAAATATCTAAAATATCTCAATACTTACACATGTAGGAAATAGCCGGCGTCTGCCAAGCATTTTACGTGGATGGTCCAGGGGAGAAGTTCTTTGAATTTATCGCAATGGAGCATCGTTGTCAATCCTCCTGCCGAGCTTCCGGAGATTAGCACCTACAAAGGAAGTGCGATTGTAATAATTTTGGAAGGACTTGGAAGAATTCTCATTGTCAGAAAAGAAGAAGAAACATATTTTGCGCGTACATTATGGGCATCGACCATTCCTAAACCTAAAAATTCTTCGACTACAGCATCGAAGATCCTTGATCCTCTAAAGTGAAGATTCGTAAACTGTTTGGATTCAAAAATTACTGTCGGTTAGAAGCATGTATTGCATTTGCTATTAAATAAGATTATAGACTTTCTCGAAACTTATAGAAGTCGAAAAACCAGATGTCTCACCGGATCCACTTCTTCGACATCGCCGGTATACGATCCTCCGTCGCAGTAATTAACTTGGATTCGATTCCAATTATGAAAATCTGGTGTTGATTCATTATTGGATTAGCAAAAGATAATAGTGTTTAGTTGGTGATTTATTTATTTTTTATTATTTGATTAGTACTTTATGTGTAATGTTTTGTGAAGGAAATTGATCTATTATAGGAAATTATCAAGATTAAATAGTAGACACTGAAAAAAAAAAAATTGCAAAAGAACAAACCATATTGACGTTTGATATTAGAACACCTCCAAATATTCGACTTTTATACTCCAAAAAGTACATACGTCATGGACTTGCCAACATTGACTTGAAAATATACGACCTCCATCCATAAACTAATATCCTATTTTTCTATTTGAAACTTCCAAAAATGATTGTCTTCTTTCTATATTTATACATAAAATTTATTTTTTTATCTTTACTTTATTTATCTTTTTTATATCTATACACAAATAAAGGGTTAATTTGTCAATTTACAACAAAAAACTAATTACCTAAAACAACGTGTAAATATCACTTAGTACATTAGAAAATGGACGGAGGGAGTATAATTCTTAAAATTTAATTTAACTAAAATATACTAATATAACTTAAAAATAAAATATGTTTAACTTCAGATTATTAAAATTAAGATTTGGGTGTAGTTTGTGTACTATAAGCTCAAATACCTCCTCTTATACAAGTTACAAATGGCATGTATATATATATATGTATATATTTCTGAAATATATATAATCCCAAAATCAATACATATCAAAACTCTAAAACAAACCGGGGTTTTTTGTAGCCTTGTTTGAGAGAATTCCGGCAAACTCGATGGTTTTATTCATGAACTTCGAAGAACCTATATAGCTTTTACTCCGGTCGAGGCAGTCGGCAACAGTGTTGCACCATGCTCCTCCCTAGATAGACATCGCCTTAAGAGATACTAAAAATACGAGTAATAAACTAACGACTTTCATTCGTGTGAATTGATTAAAATATTTCACTGTAAATTGTATAGTTCGATCGAGTACATTGATAATAGAAACAAACATTTCATAACAAAATAAAATAATTACATACAATCTACTAATTAATCATAATTATATGGATATTTTAAAAAACATAAATTAAGATTTCGAATTTATTGAAGTGTATTGACCTGAAACCAAATCAACCAATTTTTAATCCCTGATCCAAATCCTCTATCAAAATGGTAGGCTGGAGGACTTCCATCCAAACACACTGTTTCAAAACAAAATAAAATATGAAGACATAATATAATATATGTTGGAATATCTATATATATATATATATGTTATATGTTTTGATTACCAGCCCCTTTTGCGACAGCACTCTCAAGATAAGAAATATGAACAGATTGGCTTTCAACTCTGAGCACAAAAATCAGGAAAATCACAATCTGCACTATCCATTGCTGCTGTTGCTGAATTCTTCCCATTGTTGCTTTCTTGAGGCATTACATATGCTGAGTTGTTATATATATATATAGAGAGAGAGAGAGAGAGAAAGGGAGAGGAAGAGGGAGAGAGAAGCTTGGATCAATGTGAAGGTGACCTGACCTCAGTGGCGGAGCCAGAGTTATTTCACTGAGGGAGTTGAAGACTTTCGTTGAGGTCGAAAATTCAGACACTTTTATTGTATTGAGTGGGATTAACGGAAAAAAAGATGTATCTTCATTTGGTAGGGATGGTTCAACTCTAGTAAAGACAAACAGTCCATATAGTCAACATAATGTAATCAACGTATGTGGATGGGAGGATGAGTTGGGGGGCTCGGGTCCCCTAGCCCCCATGTTGTTCTATCTCTGCCAAACCCATTTGCGCCGGATATGATAAATTAGAACTGCTATCGGATCGAATCAAGATAAACTTTTCATGTTTCAATTTGACTAATCAAGGGCGAAGCTCGGCTTGCATTCATTCGTTAAAAAATTATGTCATTTATTATTATATATAAATTAATGTTATCACTATCATATTTAATTGCAGACTTAACATTACTATATATATTAATAAATAATGACTGTTGAAAAATGGAGTTTGATCAAATCTCTTTCGAACACTTTAAGAAGGACCAACTCCCCAAAATGTGGGTAACTCACTGTATAACAACCCACTGCCAAGAAATAAATATGAACTCCAAAGTAGTAAATGGGACAAGTGTTTCTTAACGCATCAGTTCGGTTATAAATCAGCCTGCATTTGAAGGATCTAATCTGTGCTGATTAGAGAATAAAAACAATCACAAACTCCATCAATCCATTTCTTCTACAATGGCTCACATTGGAATATTTTCAAAGATATTGGTTGTCACAAGCTCGTACGGACAACAATTATAGAGTAAGACAACTGAGAGTTGGTCGTCTCCTCTGGAAACTCCTCCAGCGAGTTTTTTTGATAAACACATGTTGAAAACATAGAGATAAAGTGAGACCAGAATGAGAACTCGAACAATAATTTCTCTCTCTAGAATAAACTTTTAAATATCTTTCTCTCAACCATGGTGTCCCAGTTGATCAAGCACTTTTGTTTTATTTAAATGTAATTTCAATCAATTATTATCAATTTTATTAAAAAATTTTGTGAAAATTTTAGAACTATTATATAATATTATATATATATGTATTCATGTCTAGAAATTATTAATTTAAAATTTTAACAAACACTATCGAACATTTCTTTTGACAAAGCTCAAGATTGTTTATAAATGTAACGAGTTAAATTTTGAATTTTTGTTAAACTAATATATATTAGAAAATGAGTTTTTCACAAGTTTAAACTAGCTTAATCTAGCCGTGAATAATTTGATTGTTTTCAAGCTCTATCATCCATCGCTTTTTAGTTATTGAGAAAGATGTGTAAGTAAATTAAGATGGTCCTAAATTGGGGATGGAATGGACGGTGGTTCTCAAACACTTCTAAGAGAAATTCTACACTCGTGTTTTGTCAATTTTAATTCTCTGAGGACTCCTTGTACTAAATAATAATAATAATATCAAAATTGTAAGACCATACATTTTTTCTTTTAAATGATTTTTTATTCAACAAATCTATGTTGATAATTGTTATGATTTTTTTGGTACCTAAAAATACAGAAGTAGCAGTGGATCGAAAAATATATGAAACATAATTAAAAACTACTACAAAAATAAGAAAGAACACAATATTTATTTGAAACACCCAAAACCGGATAAATCATGTTGTTGGAGACTCGCATTTGCGGATAAATAATTAATGATTGTATTTCTCTGATAGTTCGAACTTTTAGGTGAGACGGTCATTCTACATCCAATATGGTATCAGAGGTTAGACTATGTTTCGAGTTTGCATCCCCATTTTGCGGCATATGCATGTTCAATTTTTGCATAACCCCAGCACCTCAGGGGACATGTTGGAAGTCCTTGACAGTTCCACCTTTTAGGTGAAATAGTTATATTTTGTATCCGATACCATGAGCATTGAAAAATCCACTCTAGATGAATCAAATTATTACAATCATATAATTTTCGAATGGATGGCAAAAAATTCTACCTCAAAATGTTCACGATGAAATCCTTATATAAAATAATAATAATAATAATAATAATAATAACATCAAATCAAGAGCCTTAGAAATTGAAAGTTAAAATCAAAGATATAATAAAAATAAAATCATATCAAGAACCTTAGAAATTGTTTGTGGGCCTAGTTTGTCTCTATTAGGTTCAGCCGGGTTTACCCAGGGCGCACTCTGACTGCGGTTCCCACCGTTATAAAATAAAAAATATATATAAATACACTATAATAAATTACGACAGTTGTAAATTTGATTCTAGGCCACAAATCTTTTCTATCCGTTTTGAGTGCGTAGTGGTTAAACTTTGGATCGACTGATAAACTAAACCAATAAAAAAAAGTGATCTTACGGTCATAGCTTCATTAGACACCCGTAGGTCATTTTAGACTTATTATTATTATTATTACACACTCGAATAGAATTTGTCTTAATTAACTTTTCCGTTTGGTTGAAGGGATTTGAGTGTTTATTTTTTATATAACTGTCAAATTCATTTAATTTTATTTGCCAGTGCAATTTATTTTAAATTTTAAAAGTTGATTGTGATTTTAAATTCACCCACTTTAATATTTCAACTACTTTTTATAGTGTCATTTCAAATATTTCTTGGAATCAGATAATGTATATATATATATATATTTAATTACAAAGTATTTCAATTTCAAAATAATTCAAATACATTCATTCAGGAATTTAAATTCATCCCATCAACGGAACTTAAATCAAAATTAACATGAATAGTAGGACCTATCCAATACATGCCTAAATAACTAATAACTTGCCAAAATTATCATATCATTGTATTGTTTATAGGTTTGGAGTTGGGAATTGTAAAATTTTAAATCGGAATTGTTGTTTGTGCCTTTGTGGTGATATTAAAAATCTTTGGTTTGATGTTTCGAAAATAAAATTAAATTTTAGTATAATATAAAAATAAAAAATCAATTTGATTTGACGTCAGAAAAGATTAGTAAACAGTAAGATTTGATTTTGAAACTCAAACAAAATCAAAATTCATTCAATAGAATTCGTGTATTTCAATGCCCAAGGTCAATCTAATTTAATTTGAAGAAATAAAATAGAATCAATGAATGTTTGCCAAATGGGACAAGATTTGCATATTTCAACTCAAGCTTAAATCCATTTCAATTCTCCTTTGAACATAATGTGCACATAGCTATGTACAGGCATTTGAGGAAAAAAAATGTTGTAGAAAAAACAAAAAAACCGAAGAAGATGACATATATTTTGCACGCCTCAGAAAAAAAGTGTTTGTTCAGTATATTTTTTTTTGTTAGGTGCATACCCAAGTTCCACACAGAAAAATTAGAAAAAAAATGTACTTTATAAGTTCTACATAAACTCTACTAGTTTAAGGTCTTTTGGAGGAAGTCCAATAAGAAAAATTCGCGGGCTAAGCCCAAAGCAGACAATATCAGACAGAGTGTTGAGTTAGCTCAGTCCCAACATTTTCCAATGTCGCGTTATTATGTATACCTAAACTAGGACATTTGAACCGCCAAAGCTAAGTTAGCTTTGAAGTTATATATGGTTGAAATTATATAACAATGTGCGGAAATTATCGACATACAACTATTCTTTTAAGTTATATATGTTGCGACTTTGAGCTCGCTCTAATGGTCTTGATGCTTGTCCACATCATTAATGGATGTGAATTGGAAATTAAAGTTTGTTAGAAATTAGTACTTCACTAATTCGACTTTTTTTTCCCCGGATCCTTATATAGCGGCATGGCATAGTTGGAGTTAAAACAACTTGCCACATCAATGTTGAAAACAATGCTCGCCAACAATGACGCTGTGTCATAAAATCTCGTGTTAAATGAGCGAAATAGGGAAATCAAAGCAGTTAGGATAACATTTCAATGGCTTTAAAGGACATCAATTACAAAGAATCCAACATACAAGACTACAATTATAAATTTTCTATAAAGTTGATCAAAGTAATAGACAAAACTGTATAAAATCAACCCGGTGGTTTGTCCAGATTGCACAAAAATCTTATATTGTTTAAAAATTGTGCCAAACTCTATGGTTTCAAAAATCCTGCATATAATCCACTTTTCATTATTAGTGAATGTTGACTTGAATTTCTAAATTATCTTTAAAGTTAGAGTGCGTCTAGCACAATCACCGTTAACTAACGGTGGAAAAGGGATTATATGCTGGATTTTTGAAACTATAAGGGAGTCTGACGCAAGGGGTTTCGTACAATTTTTATAAACCATAGATGGATTTTAGGTTGTTTTTCGAAAATAATATAATGAATAATTACTTTACTTTTGATCTTGTTTCTACCGTAGGTTGTGTTTCAACTTGTTTGGCCCAACCTATTTTAACCCGTGCTGATTTGGACTTGATTCAAAATCTTAATGCGAACATCTAAATTAACTATTTTGATGGACACCAAGTCATCGTAACGAATTATATGAAAAAAAAACATTAAAATATTTATATAATTAACTCGTCAATCTAGCCCGAACAAAATTGGACTAGGCCCGCTACAATATCAAGTCACTAGTTTGTACCGATCCTTTCGAGCCCATCCCGGTACAACCCACTAAAAGGTTTTAATATTTTTGGACCCAATTAAAATGGGCCTAAATAGGTTGGGCCCATTTCAACAATTTGAATTTTGTTATGTTTCTCTATAAGGATTGCGTGTAACACACAATAATTATCAATTTCTATTATATGATTTTACACGATCATATTTTAGTAGATTTATCAAAAATAGGTTAAGCCCGGTGCCCTTTCGTATAAAAGTAGAGTTGAGTTTTTTTACAATTTCCAGCCCATTTTGAATGTCCCTAAATTGTTAAAGCAAAATAGTTTTTGTGTGAAGTACATTGCATAACTTGTTACTCTCTCCGTTTTTGTTCAATATATATATATATATATAGATC